TGTATATTACAAGAGAAGAATTGAGAAGGACAGGGCATGCAATTGAGGTCTAATATAATGCTTATTTGAACATTACAGATTCATCAGAAATGAGAGGCAGAGAGTTATGAATTGTGTTAAGTGAATGCAATGATTATGAAAATTTGAATGAGAATGGAAGAAGAGTTGTATGAGCAGCGTCAATTAACATTTGGATGTCCACATTCACTGACACATAATTACATTTGTCACCACTTTTAATCAATCTATCAATCAGCTTCTCAAATTATTGCCTTGCGGTTTCCATTATTGTTCTACAAACAGTAGCACTTTTACAAGCTTATTCTGTCCTCATATGTGGTTTTATTTTGTTTAATAAAATATTATTTTATTATAAAACTGTTATTTTTTTATTTTTAAAGATTTATATAAAAACAATTAAAAATAGAAAAATATATTTTTTCATCATTTTTATTTAAATATTTTATAATAAAAAACAAAAATATTTTTTTACCATATTCTAAAGGTTTAAAGTTTGAGTTCAAAGAAAAATAACTATTTCATTTTTTTCATCTATCGGTTACGGTTATAACAATGGTTCGTGTTTTAATTTTACAAAGACTGTGTAAAGATTTGAAGTTATTTCTGTAAACTATCACAATTCTTCATTATTAATCTTGACATTGTTCATACAACTTTATAATGTTATTTTTAACGGTAGAAAATTAAATTAATTTAAGAATAAATTTAGTTAAAATTACTTTGTTTAGTAACTTTAAATGAATATCCGAACAAATGTAAAAATGTAATCTTAAAATTAATATTTAAAATATAAAGTATACAGTCAAATAAAGTTATTCAATGAAATATATATCAATTATTTTTAAATTTATATGATTTTTTTTTGTAAAGTTGATCTATATATTTAATAAAAATATTATTTTAATTAATGAAGGGATAAATTTTAACATATGCACTGGGATTTTTAGTTTCTTTGGATCCGATGCAGCTGTTGGCTTTTCTGTACCGTGTATTTTCCCATGAGGGACAAATTCAAAATAATAATAAGTTTGGCCAACCCTTTTTTGAGTTAAATTATCTCTAATCATTCATAACCTTTAATAGAGTATTAAGCAATAAATTACCTCATTGACGAATGACTTTATCTTGAATGATGTACACTCGTCAAAATGGAGATCGCATGTTCAATATTGTTGCGTTATTAAAAATTTTATAATGGTAATTACTTGGTTTTTTAATATCTAAGAAAGAGTAAGACAAAAATCAAAGTAGAAATTTAATTTCATTATGGTTATTGTGTGTGCATGCACACATGCACTTAATAAAGGGAAAGACAAGGTTAGAAGTCAAGATTTAGATATTAGGTGTGCGCGCACACATTTTAAAAGTAGAGATTTGATTTGATTTGGTTGTGAATTAATATGTCTCTTTAAAAAATTTTATACATAATTTAATTAATGTAATTTGTATTATATTAGATCTATTTATACGTTCCTTAATATATTTATCCAAATTATTTATGTTATGCATATAATTATGTTTTTAAAATTATAATATCATTCAAGTAATTGCAGTATAAAAAGAAAAAAGTTTGAACTTCATTTGGAACTCTAGTTAACTAATTAATTTGACCAAAAGTTTTTAGGAAAAAAAGAAAATTATGATTACAATTTTTCAAAGTGTTCTAAACATAAACATATGAATTAAACAGTATGATTTGGTGCTGTTTACGTATCAGTGTAGCTTATTGCATTGATGATTTGGATGACATAATATAGACCAAACCTAATTGTCTTAGGCTATGCAAAATCAAACCAGAAGAGTGTGCACTTTTTCACAACTAACTAGCAAGTTTGTCAGATGAGGGAACACATGATATTGCTGTATATCCTGAACAAAAATAAGCTGTCTACTGATGATGAAGCAAATTAATAACAAATAATTTCAATCTATTATATTTACGTGTCGCTGTTTATATATTATTGAAGAAAAACATTGTATATTGTTTGCCACTATATGTTAATACTTAATGCGCCATATCGTCCAAACTGATGCATACTTAACTTTCACGTAAAGTTATGATTATGTTTCATAGAATCAATGATGGGTCCAGCCTTAATTTGAACCAATTATCTTCGTTAATTGTTTATTGTTATCTCATCGATAGAGAGGTGAGGGGGCATATGTTGCATTACATAGGCACCCATTTAAATATCATCAAAGCCACTGAGTAGATCGAAGCACCAGATTATCAATATGCTACAGAATGAACTATAATTATGATGTTGGAGATTTCAAGAGTCACCCACGTTTCCGAAAAACATTTTCAAAGAAAACACTTAGTTTGATTGGTAAATAAAAATAAAAATAAAATTTATTTAAATCACATTACAAGAAAATTCTTCTTCTAAATATTTAATATAACTATATTTAAGAAGAATTAAATTTAAAATGCAATCTCTTATATCAGCTGATCCACCTGACAGTTGATTTTGTACATAAATAAAGAGCTTGCTTTATATTAAAAAATAAATAAATATTTTACTTGGAAGTTTTTTTAATATAAAATTATCTAGCTGAGTAAAGAAGGTCGTCACTCCCGTCGTCTTTAAAGAGGAATATTCCTCATGTGTGTCGTTAAATATATGGTTTAATAAAAGATTCCTCCATTTTGATTTGATTTTAATTTCAGCTATGAAAACGATAATTATCATTTATTAAATAACCAAAACTAAAACGTTTCTACCAAGTTTCCTCCCTCCCGAGTAAAAGGACATGACATCTCATCAGAGACTTCGAACCTTCAAAACAAAAGGCCAACATTTTTTTTTTGTAACTAAGCTGAATATAGCACTTTCTTTAAACAACACGGTGTTTATATTAACTTTACTCTTAGAGGAGATGATCATTTTAGCTACACAGACATATCAACCACCGTTTCTTAAAATCGGTATAGCTTTAATGTTAGTTTTAAGCATATAAAAGTGATGATTATATATATATATATATATATATATATATATATATATATATATAAAGTTATTACTACATGCATTTTTATATATATTTTTATGAAGACTATTTCTATGTAAAAAATAATTTTTAAAAATAAATGAAAATTATAGATATTTTGTAGCATCTTCTCCAAATATGAATGTTAATCCACATTATTATTTTTTAATATATTTACTATAAACAGTAACATAAAGCTATATTTTAATTGAATTTGGATATTCTGCATAAGAAAAATTGTTAGTAATATATTTTTTAACATATTTTTAATTATTAACTAAATTTTATTAAAAACTACAAAAAATATTAATTTAAGAATAAAAAATGATAACAACATAATTTTTATAATTTTATTAAATTGTAATTAATAAATAATAATATTAAAGAGTATATTACTAATATTTCTTTCTTCCTAACACAATAATCGCTGCATAAAAGAATGAGACGGGCAGCAAAAAAAGAGGATTAAGAGAATTTTTATTTCATTTTTAAAAAAACTTTTCTCTTTTTAAAAACAAAAAATATACTTATAATGTAGGAATTTATGATGTACAGTAATTATCGACAAAAATTGAACAATAGATCGTGGCCACTCATGTGAGTAATTAATTATATATCCGAAACGATAAAAAGATATTCAATTTGAAAAACCAAATTCAATAACCATAATACATTAATCCTCTCACATTTTATAAATTTGAATCTTTACCAAAATTATAAATTTGAATTTTTTTAAAACATGAACAATTTTTTTTATATACCTTTTTATTGAGACAAATGATTTCATCATTACATGATACTTATTTTTTTTAAAAAAATTACTCTAAAATTATTAATTGCTTTCAGTATTTTTTTAGTTATTTATTTTCGTCAAATCTCAAATTTCTCAAATTTTGACTATTTATGCCTTCAAATTAACTCTTTTAATTAAAAAAAAAAAACTTGGTGTTTTCCTTCTGGATATTAATTATTTAAATTTGAGTCACTTATATTTTTACTTATTTACTTAAATTCATCGTACATATTTGTCTTAAAACTTTATCTTATACTTTTACGAATTTACTTAAAAAATTCGTCACTTGCTAGTTCTCATATGATGATATCTTTACTTCAGGAGTTTAACACACTAGCTTCACAATTAAAAAAATTTCCTATTTTTATATTTCAATAATAAATTAATTATTTTGATATTTCTCCTTTTACATTAAATAATCTTTTTCCTTATATCTCAATGGTTTATTTCATCAAATTAATTACTTTTAAATTAAATTATATGTATTACATCCAAAGAAAAATAAATTCACCTTTATATATTAATTTAAATATACTCCTTAGAACGACTTAATTGCTCGGCAGTTTCTGGACCTCTCCTTATATACATATGAATTAACTACCATACTTTTTATTATTTATAACATTTTCCTCTCTTAAGAATTTTAATTAACATATTATATGAATTAAGAAATGTGTATATAATATCCAAGATACTTGCTAATTTAACTCTAATACTTGTAAAGAACCGTATGTAATCTACTCTCCAATTCCTCAAAAGTCTTAGAAAGTCGAATAAAATCCGTAACATAGGAAATGGTCTCAGAACTGGAACACGTTATCAATAAAACCCCAATTCTTTGTAGAAATTAACCTTGAAAGCCCAATCCTATCTTCTTTTTTTTTGCCAAAGCCCAGTCCTATCTCTCTCTAACAAATTCTCTATTATTGAATAAAATTCTTACAAAACTTACAAACAAAATAATAAAAGCAAATGTATACCGAGTCATCAGAATATTAATTAAATAATTCAAAGATTTTTTTTTAATTGAGAAGGATAAATGTATTCCTTCCATAATTTTCAATATAGCTCCAATGAAATTTTCAATAAAATTTTTCATTTAATTATTCTTTAATTAGGGTCATAAAAGTATTGGTTAAAATAACACAAAAATAAAATCCATCAAATAGAGTGCGATATAGATTATTTAGCAGTGGATTTGATATGAATATTAACTTTATCACTTTTAATTTAAAATCTAAATGGCGAGCAATACGGTTTTTTTTTTCTAAATAACGCAACATACCTATTATTAATGAAAATACATTCGTAGTAGAAGCTATGAAAGCACATAACCTAGTCACATGATAGCCTCCAGCGAGCAGTAACCTGAAATGTACATAAACTTAAGTAGTTTAGTTAATCATTAAGTTCACAGGTAAGGGTAAAAACAGAACAGAGATGAATAAATTAGTGAATAATTGTACAGAATATTAGATATAGGGAAAAGAAAACATGCATTAATTTCAATTGGTCCGCGTTGATAGCAGATGAAAGTGATTGAAAAATGTTCTAAGCCTGTTTTCTTGATCAAACCAGGATGAAACACGTTGTCATTTCACCTATATAGTGTCTCACATAAAAGACACATTTGAAGTGATATAAGCCATTATATATTTAAAGTACCTCTTCTTGAAATTAACAGCGAAAAGGAGCAGATGAATCATTTCATAGACATGTAGGACTTTCTGGATCTCTAATCTTTTGAGACCCTAATAATTAAACCGGTTGGAGTCTGGTCAGTTCTGAGATGACCAGAACCAATCAAATCACGAAGATGAAATCTCATATCAAATTGAGACATTCGAAGACGCTTCTTTTCCAAAGAGGCCAACATCATCTCCTTATATCTCCGACGGCAGAGAAGAGAGACAATTTCCTTTCTTCCCTGAACAACAAAGTAAAAACAATTTCATTATTATCTCAAAAATGTTTCCTAATGATCAAAATTCAAGTTATATGCAAATATTATTAAACTTTCACGACCCAGGGGGGGGGGGAATTCTGGGCATCTATCGTTCGGGCAAAAAATACAAATCTTAAACGCTGTTAGTTCCAAATGACAACCCAAAAGATATAACCCAATCCACACTATCCCTCAGCCATTCCATAGAATAAATATCCTAGGCAATTAACTTCAAAGATGGACTTGGTCATGTCTACAGTGGCGGTATTTAACAGATCAAGCTCAACCTAACAAAGATCCCAACTGTGATGTAATATATGCCTAGCCGTTTACATGATAACTTTCCCAATGCATATCAGTTACCTGAAAAGCTACAATGAAGATATGAGCTTAATGGGGAGGGTGGTCAACTTGAGGGCACCTGGCTCCTCTCCACACATAAACATTTAGTAAGGAATGTTATGATGTAATTAATACAAATGTCTTCCTATCATGTCTGTGATCGTAATCTAGCACATAATATCGGTACTGCATTTAAAGTACACAAAAATTACTAAAATTTCACGTTGTGAATACGTGTGTGCTACAAGCATTTAGACAAAACCACATGGTAACCATTAAATGTTCATACCTGAACTAGACCCTTAAGAAGTGAGCCAATATTCGGAATTGCAAACCAATACATGTTTGGATCAATAAGTTGCCTAGTCTGAAAAGCATGGATTAGTGTTATTATACAAATTCAACTAAAAAAAAAAAAACGAAACATAAAATTAGAAAGGCTACAAGATTCTCAATACAGCTGATAGTGCTCAACTTTGATAAAGGAAAATGCAGAAAATGTAAACATTTATAAGATTTTCAATGATATATAACTTCACTAACAAATTTAGGCAGAAAAAGGGGCTAGGAACATTCAATAAGTTTGAAGAGGTAACCAAGGAGTGAGAATATGGGTACAACCTTCTTTTTCTTTTTTTAATAATGAAAGAAAATATGAAATTAAGTGAAATATTAGGCAAAAATAGTTGCATAAACTACAAGGTAATAGTTACTTCATACTTTCCAGAAAACTGAATGTTATTTTGATGTTGGTTTTGTTAGCCAAGTTGAGAGCAATATTATGAAGTTTAAACATTGACAGGAAGCTTTGCTACAAAATGTTTGTAATGATCTAAAACCCTGAATGTAAATCATGGCCACCTAGTGCATTAGGCTCCCTCCTAGTGAGGTATGAAGAGGGCAGATATACACAGCCTACCCTTGCAAGCAGAGTCTAATTCTAGGACTTGAATTTGTGACTTCCAAGTCACAAGGTAGCAACCTTACTGTTATGTTAATGCTTGCCCTCTTAAAATCGCAAATGTAAATCCATAAAGAAAATTAAAAAATGCCCATGCATCAATAATTTAGACTTTCTAGATTATTAGATCCCAAAATATCCGAAGACTGTAATTGCTTCTTTTAGTTGTCATAAAAAGAGCTCACATTCTGTTTAAAAACATAGACATTTTGGGGCAGTTATAAACACAAAACTGCTTGAATATAAACCAATTGTGCAATGCCTTATACTTCATTTTACTCACAAGGATCCCTGCATTAATTAGAAGGGAGATGTGATGGTCCTTCACCTTTCCCCCAAGTGACAAGAGTGAGCACTGCATAAAAAAGAATCACCCCCAGCAGAGAAACCTGATTAGTAAATATCCTGGGATAACATAAATATTTACCAGTCAATATGGCTTAAAATCAAAGTATCAAACTAAAAGATTTAAGCTGGTAAACTGGAATAATATGTTTTGATATTAGTATTTAATATTTATCACTGTAAATGTGGGCGTGACAGATTCCCAAATTGTGCATTCACATTCTCCCAAGTCAGGTTGCCAGATTATAACAAACTCTGTTGAGTAGACAGTGCAATGAGCAGAAGTACAAATTTTGAGAATCTCACTCACAAGCTCTTGATGTTCGATGCCAGTTTCCAGCTTTGAATCTAGAACATGAGTATTGAACCACCCAAAAACTTCATGTTCCCCTCCTTTATCTCCTTCCATTCTTTTCACAACACGGTCTATCTATTGCTCAATAGTTAGATAAATATAAACACATCAGTTCATAAACAATCCTTCAGAAACATAAGTCAATCAGAAAATATCCAATGGTGCTGTAATATACATTTTTTTTCTAAAGGAAATGTAAACTTCAAAAATAAGACACTAGAGTACAGTAGCACTCAAAGCCTCAGACTATAATGAATGGTTTGACATTATAACCCAACCATACATTCCTGATACTGAAACATGCACACATATACAATGAGGGATCAGTTTATACTGGTCTAAATTAAAACCATATTTGTACTATTATATAACTTTTTGGGGATAGTTTCATTCCAAAACCTACTATAAGATTGAAAATATTTATCATATAGATCTTTATGTATAAAATCTTGTATTATTCTAAATTATTTAATACTTCATTCAAGATTGACACCATATATACTTTCAAATTTAATGAAAATATGAACCAATCAATTATATTCTCAATATTGTTTAAAAAATTTGACACAAATAATGAAGTTAATGAATAATTATATTGCAACTGTTAGATCGAAGAAAAGCAAAATCTATATTAAGTTGTTGAACAATGTAAGAATTTCATGTCCTAATCCAGAATAAACCAATCTCTCTCTCTCTCTCTCTCTCTCTCTCTCTCTCTCTCTCTCTCTCTCTCTCTCTAAACTATGAAACCAACCTGCTTTAGGTAGTCATCCAAAAACATTACAGCATGATCATCTTGTCCAGTATTCAATTTGAAAAGGCGCAGCACTTTGTCCCTCCTTAGAGACTGCACCACAGTAAATAAATAATCATTATTATCACATTAATCCAGCAAAACTCCAGAACTTAAATTAGCAAGAACATACGAGGAAAGAAAACACTATTGTCTAGCAAATTACAACACTAAAATTATAAATTCCTAAACAAACCTCCAATTCCCTATCCACTTGTGTTCTGTCCTTCACACTGCTATACAATTGTGACTTCAATATAAAAGGCTCAACTGAAACCTGCAAACAGCCATCACCACTAATAAATTTGAATTGAACAATTAAATAATTCATCACAAACACGCATGGAGAATACAGAAGACGAATTAAATTTTGTTGATGTGGTTAAACGCTAACCTAACCTTGTGAATGTGGGGAAACTGAGCTCGCATGATTCGAAGCGCAACGAGCGTGTCGGAGAATGTGAGATCGCCCTCTGCGAATCGACGTAAAGATTAATGTAACCTACAAAGAGAATGAAAGGCTTAGAATAGGAGAGAATTGCGTACCGAGCGACGAGGTGTTTCCGGCGTCGGAATCTTCATCTCGCCGGCGTTTCGTCCCTTTCGATGAAGATTCTGGAATGTTTTCCATGCGCTGTGCTTGGTAGTTCTAACTAACTTCCTACAATGCTGAAATTTCACTGCCATCAAAAGGTTTCAGTTTTATTTTAAATAGAAATCAAAGACATTACCCAGAAGAAACGTCTATGGAAGATTTTTTCATAATGATGACTGGAATATGAACTTATGTCGCTTGTAAATTTTCTACATCTTTTACCAGAATGGCGCCTGTGAAAAGTGAAAATGCTTAATTTTGAAAGCATGGTGATTTTTTATAAAATACTTTTTAAAATTTGGCAAAATAAATATTATTTTTCAAAATGAATTATACTAGACACTTGTTTAATAATATTTTTGCAAACCAGTATCTTTTATTTTAAGAAATACTAGACAATAATTTTTTTTATCAAAAACTATATTGAAATGCATTAACAATTACATAAATAAATATAATTTTACATTTTAAAGAATATCTGTTAGAAATTTTTATTAAATAATTTATCATAAAAAATATCCAATTCAGTCAAAATAAGTTATATAATTTGAATGTTGAAATAAAATTGATATGTGATCATAAAATATATTTGTCAACAGGTAATTTTTTCAAATTAATCTTTTTCAGTCTTTGTTTTTTTCGCTTAATACATGTCGGTGCATTGAATACAAAATATGTAAATATTTTTTACACTTTTCATTAATTTTTCTTTTAACTAAGAACAATTTTATTGGAAATTTTATTCTAGTTTTTTCAGGTAAACAATTGTTTCTAACGGTGTACTACTAATAGAATCTATTAAACTAGCATCAATTATATCTCATGCAATATCAATAAAAAAATACAGGGTTGAGAATTGACATTGTACAACCAACAAGAACAAATTTAAAATACAAAATACCATCATTCATGGAATATAAAATATGAGAAACAAATACCAACAATTACATCCAATTCAAAAAATGTGCCATGAGTAAAAAATTAAATAGAATAACCTTTTGATTATTGAAAGTAAACTTGATTTATTTAAGCACACAATAATTAATTTGAATTTTGTTTGGATATTTACTTAAAAACTCAAATAAAAAAATGAATTTTTTATCCAGTCGAATAAAATTTACCTCGTTTTGTTAACTCTATTCCTAATACACATAACAAATACTAAGATCTCATCAACACGCTTGTTAAAGGTTCAAGTGTTAGTTTCTATCTTATTCAACAAATTCTTAATGCAGGAGAAGTATAATATTAATCTTATAAGTGAAACTCCATGTATCTAGCTACATTTCATCTGTCACAGATAAAATCACAGTTAAGTTAAAGAAAACCCATGTTTGAGCCTTATAATATGAAAGATTTCCCGAGCAATAAAGTGCTCTTTCATTAAATCTCAAATAATGGGCAAAAAAATTGTTAACAGAGGATGAAAATAAATTGTAATATGAGATATAATATGAAATGAGAAAATAATTTATTATATTGAAAATAAAATTCTGAAATTAGAAAGTTTAATTACAATTTTTATGATATAAAATACAAAGCTTGATTAAAAATTAAAAATATTTTAAAAAATAGTATTAAAAAGTGTCTTTTTAATATTTGTTTTAACTAAAATTTATTAAAGATTATAAAAATATAAATGAAATTTATTAAATTTCGATCAATAATATAAAATATATTAAAAATATTTCCGTAGCATTCATCTCATATTTTACTCTTACAATATATAATAATATATTTCATTTATGCTTTTTCCAATTTTGGATGTTGCATTGTTTGTTACTGTTCCAAATCCATTACCATTACCCACTTTTACTCACTCCCCGTCTCAAGCAACCTCCGAACTGAAGAGAACCCGCGTCCGAGGTCTCTCTCTCTCTCTCTCTCTCTTTATCATTCCATTTCTGTTTTTACCTCCTCAGATCTATTTACATGACCTTCAATTGCCACTCACATTCACAAAATGCTAACTTTTGCCTCTTTCTGCATCTGCCACCTCAGATTGTTAACATCTTCTATCACTCTATTGTTTTCATGAGATGGGTCAATGAAAGCTGCGAACTTTCGGTGATGCCTTTTGCTTCATTTGGACAATTCATATATATATGCATACCCATTACATATTTTTCCATTATTGCTGAGGTTTTATTTATTGGGGTACTCATTTGTTGATGTTTTTGTGTGTTTGCTCCATCACTCTGTTTATAGTTATTTTTAAAATAAAAAAAAAAATGGTTATTAGTATGTGTATTTTGATCCAATAGTGATGTTTATGTGTCCTTTCCTAGGGAACGTGCTTCTGGTTCCTTAAATGGATTATTCTTATTCGAACTTTCAGTCATTATGGTTTTAGTGTGTTGTTTCATTTGTTTCAATTTCAACTTTGTGTGCAGTTCTTGTTTGGTGGCTCTAAACTGCATCACCTAGGTGCTTTGCGGAACACGAGTCATTGAGTTGGGACTCCCCCCTTGAATCAGTAAGTGTGGTGAGAGAAATTTTGGGATATGATTCTTTGGCTAAATAGTTGTTTTGCCTTGTAATTATGGATTTTTTGTCTGCAAGTTGAAGCCAATGTAGTGAAATGTGATTCTTATTATGTAGTGGCAAGAATGGCAAGAGGAAGACCAGATGGGAAACCGAGAAAGCGGTTGATCACAACTGTGTTGGTTTTAGGGATTTTTGGTGCTTTATTTTACCTGTATTCTCGGAAAAGTGGTTCATCTTATATTGAGTATGGAAGCAAATATATGAAAACCGGAGGAGGAGACGATATTGTTATTCCAAAGACCATCCCAGTGAGTTATCTCAGTCTGAACTGAACAGCTTTTACACGTAACCCTTCCAACTTGCCTCAAATGTTAGTATTTCATGTGAAACATTCTAATTATTTTACTCGTTTATTCACTTTTTTAAGGTCTGCGATGATCGTCTCTCGGAGCTAATTCCCTGTCTAGACAGAAATCTCATATACCAAACAAGATTGAAGCTTGATCTGAATTTGATGGAGCACTATGAGCGACACTGTCCAATGCCTGAGAGGCGTTATAATTGTTTGATTCCCCCTCCTCCAGGGTACAAGGTGGCTCTCTTCTCTCCAGGCACTGATTCTTAGATGGAAATAAGAAAGTTCAATATATTTGGAAATTTTCTGTGCTTAAAGCTTTGAGTGTCTTATGCTGTTCTTGATAATAATAGATTCCAATCAAGTGGCCCAAAAGCAGAGATCAGGTATGGAGGGCAAATATACCTCATACCCATCTTGCAACTGAGAAATCTGACCAGAATTGGATGGTTGTAAAAGGTGAAAAGATAGTTTTCCCTGGTGGAGGAACCCACTTCCATTATGGTGCTGACAAATATATTTCATCAATTGCCAATGTAAGCTAGTTACTCCTATCTGGGCTAGCACTAAAATAATCACCAAACGTAAAACAATTGCATAGCTGGAAAAATAACTTTATATTCGTGATTGGTATTACAGATGCTCAACTTTCCAAACAATATTATCAACAATGGAGGAGCACTCCGCAATGTTCTTGATGTTGGCTGTGGCGTTGCAAGCTTTGGAGGATATCTTCTTTCTTCTAATGTAATAGCAATGTCATTAGCACCAAATGATGTTCATGAAAACCAAATACAGTTTGCTTTGGAGAGAGGAATTCCCGCATATCTTGGTGTCTTGGGGACACTAAGACTCCCTTACCCTAGTAGATCTTTTGAACTTGCTCATTGTTCTCGCTGTAGAATTGATTGGCTTCAAAGAGATGGCATACTTCTTCTTGAGCTAGATAGGTTACTCAGGCCAGGAGGCTACTTTGCCTACTCATCTCCTGAAGCCTATGCTCAGGATGAAGAGGATCGAAGAATATGGAAAGAGATGAATGCTCTTGTAGGGAGGATGTGCTGGAAAGTTGCTGCTAAGAGGAACCAAACTGTCATATGGGTCAAGCCTCTTACAAATGATTGTTACTTAAAAAGAGATCCAGATACTCAGCCTCCACTCTGCAGATCCGATGATGATCCTGATGCTGTTTGGGGTGTTAAAATGCAAGTTTGCATCACACGTTACTCTGATCGTGAGTGATATTTTTCCTATTTCATACAATGATTTAGTCTTTTTAATTTCAAGACCATGAGATAAACTGATAATAAGAATGCTCCTCGACCTTGAACTTTTCTAAAGAATCTGACTATAAATAATAAAAGATGAAACAAACAATTGCTGGGAAAAATAAAAAAGAAAAACTGCTTTGTGATTATGCATCTGCATGCAAGAGTTGACTTTGTAAATCAGATAACCTTTGCTTTTCTAGATAGATCCATGTTCTCTCTGATTACATTATATTTGACACTAGTTTTGAACTCAGTTTTTGCGTATATTAATGTAGCATGATTTTGTTCTGTTCCATCAGCAATTTCTGGTATTATTGATGACTCCTCTATTAAAAGCTGAAAAGTCAATAACCGTATATTCTGCTGGTCTATACAGAGATGCACAGAGCAAGAGGAAGTGGTTTGGCTCCTTGGCCAGCTCGATTGACTACTCCACCTCCTCGTCTTGCTGACTTCAACTATTCTACTGAAATGTTTGACAAGGATGTGGTAGTTTAAAATTTAACTTGTTTTTCACTTTTAATTTCTTCAATTATGAATGCTTATACTCATCAGAAGGAAGTAGCAATAAAGCCTCAGGTAACAGTAAAAAGAGAAGAAAAATATGGGAGAATATACAAGGGGGGTGGGAGAAGCACATGCTGGAAACCCTGACATTAATCAACTGAAACTATAAAAGAGGAAAACTGAGATCACTTTTCTTGCTTGACTAAGTTTGAAATGACCTAATTAAGAACCTCAATTGCTGTCCAAGTGTCGTTTTCTTTCCAGAATGTGCCCATAGGAAGACAACCTAAATGTGACACCATATGCATTATTCTTTTTATTGGTTGAATTTGTGGAAAACTTTGATTTTCATATTTAGCCTGGAGATGAATTGGGTGCAAAAAATAAGTAATTATTCTTGAATTTAGCCTTAAATCTAAGGCATGATAGCATCAGAGTTAGGTGTCTGATTATTCGGTTTGTGCAGGAAGTTTGGCAAAAAGAAGTTGCTAATTACTGGAAAATGCTAGGCAATAAAATCAAGCCTGATACGATTCGGAACGTGATGGACATGAAGGCAAATTTGGGTTCATTTGCAGCTGCTTTGAAGGACAAAGATGTTTGGGTTATGAATGTGGTCCCAGAAAATGGGCCAAACACTCTCAAGATCATATATGACAGAGGGCTGTTAGGAACAGTTCACAACTGGTATGGATATGACTCTACTTCTAAGCTTCACTAGGTTATATCAACAGCAATTCTTGTTTGATGTATTTCTTCATTTTTTTAATACTCTAAAATGCAAGATACCCATTGAAATCACTGAAGTGATAAAATTAAGCTACATGCTTGTTGGCATTGTACTACATTTCTTTGACCTTGCTTTGGCATCAATGAGACAGGTGTGAAGCATTTTCAACCTACCCTCGAACTTACGATTTACTCCATGCATGGACAATATTTTCTGATATCATTGAGAAGGAATGCAGTCCAGAGGATTTATTGATTGAGATGGATAGAATTCTGAGGCCAAAAGGTTTCGTCATTGTCCACGATAAGCAGTCAGCGGTGTTATCTATAAAGAAGTTTTTGCCAGCATTGCACTGGGATGCAGTGGCCATGTCTAATGTGGAGAAAGATTCGGATCAAGGTAAGGATGATGCAGTGTTGATAATTCAGAAGAAGATTTGGCTGACAAGTGAGAGCATTCGGGTTTCAGAATAATAACATACTTTGGTAATGCACTTTCTAGTTTAAAAAATCTCAGCAACACTGAATGATACACCGTCGTGGAAAATTGCTCTCTAATAACTCTTTTCATGTGCTGTTGGTGTTCTCTTACATGTTATTCCTATTCTCTAAACTACAGGTAGAAGTTACAGTGAAAGGTCATTCCAATTCATGTTAGTTGAATTTATTTGATTTTGGACACAGGTGACCCTATTACTGTGATTAAGAAAATTAGATGAATCTGAGGAAATTTCTTGCTTTCTAAATTAATTTAAACAAATTACAGGATATTCTTCCCCCCCCCCCTCCCCCCATTTTGCTTGTTTTTTGAGACTGCTGATCAAGTTGTCTAAATTTCAGTACGACGAATGTTAGTAACATTTTTTTTTAAGAAAAAACATTTAAAAAAGTGTTCAGTTTACAAGATAAATGTTTTGACTTTTTAAAAAATAATTACAAATAATGTTAAAAAATGTGTTTAAAAGAGTATGTTATTAGTGTTTTTCGTTTTAAGTAAAGGATTTTGCTTCACTTCCCCCCGTCTCTAACCCAGATGGGGAAATCGTAGATGGGGGGTGAACTAACAAACAGAAAATAAACAATTGCATTTACTGCGATGTGCTTTTGAGACTTGTAACTTGGTGTGGTTTAAAATGAATATAAACTCTTCAGTTACTTGAGAATAACGCTTTGCACGAACAGGAGCACAGAAACTATTCTACGCAGCCATTACATTCTTTTAGCTAGCAAAGTATACTTCATCTTTCTTTTAGTCTGAAACATAGTGCTTCATGAACGTTCAAATTTTGTTTGGATGCTCACGCACCAACTTAAGCCGGAACAAAATGGCTTTGTTTATGAAAACTTAGCTAAAATTTGTTTAATGACTACAAATGATATACAATTATTGTGAGTGTTTATTTAAAAAATAAAAGTGAAAATGAGAAGCAAATCAAAATTTGTTTAATGACTACAAATGATATACAATTAGTAAGTGTTTATTTAAAAAGTAAAAGTAAAAAAGAGAAGCAAATCATTAGTAGCTAACTTCCGAAAGTTAGAAGCTACTTCGAGCATCTTTCTAAAAACTTGTTTTCAAAAGATACAGACTTTATTTATTGTGTTTATCAAACACACTTAATATGGGATATCTTGACCTGGTTAATATTTTGAATTGAGACTTACATTATAACTAAAATTAAGATTGGATCAGGACTTCGTCAAAATCTACAACTTCAAACATTAATAACTGATTAAAATTTTACAAGTATAAACTAAAATAAAGGATGCTTTAACAATATATTTTTTATAATAAAATATATTAACACAAATACTATTGACAAAAATGTATCCTGTCGAGAAATGTAGTAATTAACCCCTAATTTTTTTAAACAAATAAATATTATCCAACCTTAAGCCAAGTTAGGCCAACCCAAAGCAAGCCTAAATCCAATTCCAAAACTCATTAGGTTTAAATTTTATGACCCGAACCCAACTCAATTAACTTCGGGCCGAAGCAAGCTGTTAAATCAAAGCATACAATAAACACGTTACACGGTCGGATAAAATCCCTTGAAGGTAGAATAAGGTTTCGGTACACAACTTTAAGTTTAACAAATTGAACTGTATGAGTAAAACCTAAGTGGATCACCTTTCATCAAAAGGTGAAAACAAAGCAAAATATAACGAGATACGTGTTAATTATCTAATTAGCAGTTTGTCTGACCTTTATTTGAGGCTGAAACCCTACTCAGACATTTGTGAAATAAATTTGCCATAAAGTGCATAAGTACATATCCACCCTGACTTAATGACAAGCATACCGTGATCTTAATCCGTTAAAATTTAAAATTAGGTGAAACAAAAAAATTTTAAGGAGCATTTGCCAAAATGTAATATGTAAAATGTGATACTGACTAATAGGTACAGAACAGGGTAAGTGGACAAAATACAGGATAGGGACTGTGGATGATGAAAGCATGAACCACGAAGTCTCGAAAAAGCTAGCAGCTTACCGTAACGTCAAGGGAAGAGTTAGACTGAGTAAAATAGCCGGTTAATCGGGATCAACCAAGATCGAGGTAAAGTTTTTCTCTTACGATATAACTGAGTTCTCTTTCCTAAATGATATAATTGAGCTCTCTAAATTTGTCATTAGATAATCCAACAAAGGTTCTACAAAATTGGATTGGTACCATTGCTTTAAAGGAAAAACTAGAATTCTCATCGGCTCTTTATAAATAAAAATTATTTGTTCCGCTCATGCAGATTTTAACTTGGCTGATGTCAAAGCAATATGGGAAAGAATTCTGTGTCCCACAAACATCAAAAAAGCTCCCAAAAGACCAAGTGTTTTGAGTGTAGTGAACAGGTCCAGCTGCATATGAACAAAAATGAGATACGTTTCAGAGGAAAAAGTTAGAAGAAACGGACAGTATTGAATATTGCCCCACCAGAAAATATGTGGAACGAAAAAAAACAGTTCCAATGAAAACCTCAATTTATCAACATCATGGGATCTGATTAATAATAAATTACTCTACTCTATATTCATCAATAAATACCACCACAGAAGAAGTGGACTTCACGTTCAATTGGATCATTTAATAATGTAATTTGAATGAAGAGTGGACATACCTTCAACCAGAAAAGTACATAAAGAAACAAAACTGCAGCAATACCAAGATGGAAAAGGATTCCAAATGTAGCAGGTACTGCTGAACCAGGGAAATTCTTTAGGTTCACCCCTAAACGCAATAACTGCAAATGATATAAAAGAGAATCAAAAGAGTTAACCACCATACAGGAACATAGACCTAATCAAAGGAAAATGAAGCAGCTTAACAACATTTTTGTAACAACATTGAATGCAAGTACCGAAAAAATCCTTTTCACTTTGCCTCATCTACCTTTCTATGCATACGAAGCAAAGTAAACCTACCTATAATATTATTAACATATATAATCCAAGCTTTTGGACTGACAATAACTTGTCCTAAAGCCATTAGACAAGGCCGCTATAGAGACCTAACTTCGTACAGATAACTACGGAAGTCTTGAAAGTTTTGAACAGCATCTTTCATATATATATATATATATATATATATATATATTACATGCTAATTTTTTACAAATACTATCCACATAAATCATGACTCAATACTGTTCTAAATTTGAAATACTTTTAAAAGTGTTCTAACTTCTAAGCAGGTAAGACCTCTTCCATTCATAAACCATATTCATTTCCCAAACAGAGACATAGCTCAATTGGAAAGGGAGTTCAAAAGGTAATACAAGAGAGAGACCACTCAATTTTGGTCTCCATTATCAACTCAGATCCACCAACAGATTTTTGTCCTAATTATTCAGTTGATATCACAAAATTTCCAAAAGCAGACATTGTTTCCTTATTTAAGTGCTTGTTGACTAAACTAATACAGATTAAAGTCATAAGAGTATGTTTATCATAAAAATAAACATCACACTTTCTGTTTCCATTTCTTATTTTTCCCATTCTTATCTCCAATGCCTTTGCTCTTAAATAGGAACAAATACATTCATGCCACTCTCTAGTGGGAATTATAATGAGACTTACCCCAACCAAAAAACCAATGAATGGCAAAAGGGTCAAACCCAAGAAAGCAAGAGAGAGGTTCTGGGGTGGACGCTTTTCAGGAGCCCTGAACAAATGGATAATCTCTGCTTTGGGCCCATATCTTGAGTAAGGGTCAACAGGTGGCAGCGGAGGACGGGCTGCTTTCTCAGGTGCCTCTGGAAGATCTAATTCCACATGGCCAAGAAGCCTTAAGAAAGAGTTCTCCTGAAATAATAAATTTTCACTCAGATTCACAAGTAGACTTGTGGGTGGGGGGGAATTAAAAATGTGGAAGTAGTGCAAGATACCATGACAGCATCGCCAATAGTTAGCTCAATGTCATATCTGCCTGAGAGATAAAAAAGTTTCTCCACCAAGCCAAGAAAATCCTACAGCCCAAAGTAACAAAATAAGGGAAAAAAGTGATTAAAGTTGCAATATATTATAATCAGTATATAACCTTTTCCATTTGATGATTCTTGTTTCTTGATTTTTATATTAGATGATATATATATGCCATAGAGACGAATCATTCGAATCCAGCTGTGTAGAAGTTTAATTTAACAAAACTGAACTATTACTCATGGAGTGATGGAGAGACCTCTAAACCTAGACAATGAAATATGAAATAAGAGATACTTAACAAGAATTATCTCAAATTTCTTGCCGGTATTTCCAACCACAAAGACGTGTTCAACCTTTGTCTCATGTCTCAACTTGAGAAGTGCCTGCAGAACAACAAAATCCTCAATAAACAAAGCATTGCAATGACATTCATTCAAAAGGTCTTATAAGGGCAACTGCAAACCTGATGAGGCTTAAAAACTTGACCACGAGGAGTTGCCAATTGGAAAGAAAACCTCAACTTTTGCAGATGGTTAGCTGAGAGCGATAAAGCATCGTTTCCACCCAAATCTAGCCTGGATAGGTAAAGCATAAGTGAAAGTTAAAAGTCAATAAATCAAAACCATACGGAAGAGTTACAAGTTATAGCACTGAAATATGAATTCATATGCAACAAGTTCAGACATCAAAGAACGTGATAGAATGACAATCATCAGACATACTAATTAGAAATCAAAAGTTTCATAAAGGACACCACAGATAACTGACAAATAGGACACTAAAGCAAAAATAGAAACATACATTTTCTGGGTTTCAGCACTTCCAAGATCACTGTCCAGAACTACAATTTCTGCATTGCTAACTTCAATAATTCCAGTGACATATATTGGTACATGAATTTGGCCTCCAGTTGCATAAACTTTTTCACTGTCCGCATGATGAAGCACAATCTACAATATAAGGTAAAATATTATAATTGATAGGTACATACAATACAAATACACCTTGACGTAACTAAAATGAAAAATAATAACTAAATTAAACAAGCAGGGGAATACCTCAAAAACAAACACATATGTCCCCACATCCACATTCTTCAGGAAAGCATCCAAGACATGAAATCCACTTTTTTGGTCATACTGGAGTTCCTGTGTCATGTGAAATAGAATGCATCAGAGATAAGAAAGAATCCCAGGAAACTAAATGATTATACAAGAGCAGGGAAAAATATTCTCAAGCTTCACCCCTCGGAAGAAGCCATTGACTCATCACTCACCTTGCTGTCAATAATAGCTGAATCTTTTGCAGCAGTACTAAAAGCACGGACAATCTTAACTGTTAGAGGTGGTGCAGCTGAACCAAGCACTGTATTCACCCTAACCTAATATCGTAACAGACATTTGTCATATATTCCCAATGGTATTGAGAAGTGGAATAAAAATGATTGCACAATAAAAAATCTAATACTGCAAAGAGACCACAACAGAAAGTGAAATTGTTTGGTTGAGTGAAGCAGACTCTGCTGCAGATATTTCAGAAAATGGGTGAGATATTAATGTAGAACTGCATGCAGAAGAATCAACAAGCAAGACATTGGGGATAATGCAACCAGAATCCACTCCTTGATCTTTTAATAGAAAAACTACTGAATATAAATGGGCTAATGATAACAAGTACTGCCCTAATTTCTATAGAAAGAAAGAAAGCCTAATCAGAAATGTGAACTGCTTCAGTAAGCTTTTCAGAGTTTAGACTCATCAACACCAGGATCATGACAAGAAATGGAATGCAAAATTATAAATTTATGGGAGGGCTGAGACTCAATGGACAAAAGCCAAGTAGCTATTGAGTTACCAACCATTCCCTACTTTCTTTTTGAAAGACAAAAATGCCAATTGTCATGATACAGCATTGGGTTTACCCCCATCAACTATTCATTACATCCCAATTTCTTAGAAAAACTAATTATAAATTTATAATACTAGCAAAATAAGTATTCTAAACACATTAACTTAGTTGCATACCTTAAGTTGGCCTTTTTTGGTCAATGAATAAACTGTTTCAGGGATTGACAATATCAATGGGATGGAAATCCTACACCACAAGAAGAAATCCAAGTTATATATTATTGCTGGAAAGCATGAGTAGGTCAATACATCAGCAAAGAAACAGAAGAAAAAGGAAATGTCCTCCATAAACCTGCAATAGATTGTTCTTAGAAAAGCACTTGCCTGTTGTTCTCTAGAAAAGCTAATGCTTCAACTTGATTGAAGAAGTCCTTAGCATCTCCTGGGACTCCAATGCCCAAGAAAAATTTTGCCAAACCCAATATTTTATCCCCTGGAAGCTGGAAAATGCAAAGCCAAAACATTAACATTAAATTCTAACCAATTGCAAAATTAAACAAAAATTTCTTACACTTCACAGTTCACACACATTTATTTTTCCTGAAGTTAAAGCAGCAAATGCAGTAACCCCTCGAACAACTGAAGAAGTTGTGGAAAGAGAATCTTGATGCTCAAGTCCACCAACAAATTTCTCATCAAAATAAAAGTTTCCATCATCTGAAAAATGACAATATGTTCATCTAAGTCCAGTATGACAGTGTAAAGCATAATCAATGGCATTGCCATTCAAGTGAAATACCAAAAAAAAAAAAAAAAAAAAAAAAAAGAGGAGGGATGGGGGAAAAAGGTGGACATCAAGCAAAATTATGTGACATTAAAAAACACAGTACAGAAATGCACTGAAGCAAACATGCAGCAATCTCACCCTACATACAACAACAACAAGTCTTATCCCACTAGCTGAGATCGGCTAATCTCAACCCTACATAGATGTGTAGAATTTGATTGTCACAAAAAACAGGTCTTCAAGATTCAATCATTTTGAAGAGATGTATCTACTCTCTTCCGGTTACTTAAGTCATAAAAGTAGGTCACTGAGTTTAATGATAATAATAATAACGTCCTATCACAAGCAACTGACAAAAGCTGTTAATTACTTATCAACAGAAACCCTCAATTCTAGTAGTTTCCTCTAGGGAAGCTTACACCCACACTGTCAGCAAAATAATGACAATTAGTTCTTAGCATGTAGGCAGTTGCAACTTGATACATTGTTAAGCCCAAAATCAAAGCAGCAAAAAGAGAAAATAAGAAACAAGATGTGATGAAACATTAAAAACACTAACATAAGGATAAATTTAAAACTACCACTTACTAAAGAACAAATGTTATGAACAGGCACTATGGCTGCTATCCATTGTAGGGAATTCTTAATTTACAAAATAATCATTAACAGTTATCACTTTGAATGAGGTAAAAGCAAAGCTACGCATACCATATTTCTCAATTCTGTCAAAAAGCTTCACTATGTCATTTTTCACTATATTGACCTGCCAATATGGAGAAAATATAAGATGCTGATAGAAGTACCAAGACAAATTATGCTAGCAATATGGATCAATAGCCAGAAAAGCATGAATAAGAAAGGAAAAATAGATATTAAGAAAAATACAGGCTTCAACATTCATTAGTCTAACTTTAGCTTCATTATATGCCCCAAAGCATACTATTTATAATGCAAATAATATCATATGCATATCTTTATGTACAATGTATTACAATTATTACTAGCTTTGAAATATTGGCAACCAATATAAAGATCCAGAACTTTACCTTAGACTGATCAATTTTAGAAGATGCTAGTGAGATCACTCCAGCAAGTGCTTCAAGTGCCAATCCTGTTAAAGATATGATAAGATTTTGTCAGCATAGATAAACTGCAGCTATTACAATATTCCCAAGGATCTTGTGATGCCTTGCTTCAGTAAAGAAAATATTGGGCATATAAGACAGAAATTAAATATCAATATTGAATTTAGAGGGATATTTAGAATAGAGAAGAGAATATTTTAGAGAGAAACTAGAAAGTGAAAATGGTTTCTTATTTCAGTAGTTCCATTATGCAAAACAATTCCATATATATAGACACTCTATCAACTTAGTGGGTACTATTTCAAAGGCTAAGAGTGCAACTTCCTGAATACTAATTACTAAGAAATATGAATACTAAATACATTTTAACTAACATGTGATACATGAACTCATTTATGATACATGAACTATAAATAATTCTAAATTATAACAAATAAATTTCCATGCAAATTATTACCAGCAGCATAGGTACTAGACTCTGGATTATCAGAACTATAGCGCCATCTTCCGTCGCTTTGACTTAGTGCCTGCCAACAATGGAGGACATGAAATAAGTGTTGCAAAACATATTTGAATTGCAAATGCAACAATATTAATTGACATAGCGTATGGAGGAAAACTAATAAGTGGGGAGCTGTTCTTGTATTCAATCCCCTATTCCCCTATCATCCACATTAGATGTGTCCATAATATTAGTTACCAAGAAGAAAACCTAGTTCCCATCTTATTTAATAGATATCAACAAAACGGACCTTGATTGATTGAAAAATCCCATCAGCATCAGCAAGAAGCACATCAACCTTAGAATCCTGATCCTGTGTGCAAAGAAGGGGCGTTCAAAAGCAGGTAAGAATCATAACACGATATAATATCTCATTCGCAATCCACAAGTCACAATAAGAAAAAAAAAAAGAGTATTATGTCTACTACTTAAAAATAATATAATATAAGAAGATTTGGCATACCAATCATTCAAACAGCACGAATAGTATTCCCAAAGGATTCTAAATTTCTAATAAAAAACCAAAATAACAAAGAATTACCTTTATAAGAACCAAACCTCCTATTGAGTAATATATGTCAAGCAAAGTACTTGCATCATGAACAGTGGCTTTAAGTCCCGAAGCAATATCCTTTACAATATTAAAAAATATATACATTAGCATAAATTTTCAACACTTGATAAGAAATGGCACTCGAGCCGCAACCAAATGATGATTAAAAAAACCACAGGAAATAAATAAATAGTACCTTCAAAACTTCCCCATTAACGTTGCATTTTAACATGCCATTTACTTTCAAGGCATAGAACAAATCCTTAAGCGGGGAAGACGAGCGTAGATTTTCCAACACTTTCTGACAAGTCTCTGCGCTGGCAAGAGGCTTCTTTTCGATTCCGAGAATTTCAAAAACTCTAAGCGCCTCGTACGCATCTTCTAAACTGATAACAGATCAAAGAACAGCAAAACCGTTGACTTTAGTTATATAGAGTCGTTTAGAATCTGAAGAAAACGACATGAACCAAATGATCCTTTCATAAGGAATGCAATTGAGTTTAATTAGGGTTTTGTGTTTTGACCTTGGGAAGAGTCCGTGAGTCGGAGCGAAGAGATCGATGGCGGCGGAAGAGTGAGAATGAGAAATCGATTGGGAGAAGGAGAAAGGGAGAAGAAGCAGTAACAGCATAAATGTTTCTGCTCGGAATGCAACTTTCGTAGCCATTTGTGGAGCAACGATGAATCAGAATCAGAATCAGAATCACAGTGCTCTCACTCTCTCGATCCACTGTGGTGGGGGTTGCGGGAGTGAACATAATTTGTTTGTTTTAAAGATATAAAATTAAATTTTTAATATAAATAAAAATTTTAATTAAAAATTGTAATTTACAACAATTTAATTATATGCTCTAATTATGTTTAATGCTTTTAAAATTAATTTCAATTAAATTAATATTATCTAATTTAAACGAAAAAGCGAGTAGCAATTATTAGATGAATTAATATTTTCTGTTTTTGTTTATTTTGTACATAAAAAACTGGTTAACTTTCTTTACTTTTAATTAAGCAGGATTATTAATTACTGTCCAAATTAAACTCAGTTTCAGTTGCGTTGCTTAACATTCCATTTGCTTTGAATTAAATTTATTGTTTTTTTTTCATGTTTATGTTAAATGTATAACGTCTTAATTTTTTTTATAAATAAATAGTTTTTTTGTCAATGTTAATTTATTAAAATGTGTGAGAACTCACCTAAAGAAAATTACGAAAAAGGATTTTTATGTCGTATCACTTGTAAATGCATTTTAATACTAAGTTATATAATATTTCTCAGTAGAGTAATATTATAAAAGTAAGACATTGAACGTACTATAGAGTAATTATAACGTGAAATAGATTTTAATTGTTAAATATTTATAAAATTTAACAGAAGGAATGAGATAATGACTTAGATTATTTACTCTTGAGCGTAAAAGATATTATAAAATATATATTAAGTGACTTATTAAACGACTCTTCGACTTGATCAAAAGTTTTGGCAATTAAAACTCTATTAGCCTGAAATGTAAAGGATTAAACCTAACTATGCAAGCCTATATTATATAGCAAATATGAACTTGATAAAATTTTCAATCATTGCTTTTCAACTTAATAGTTGTAATCATGTTTTGTCCTTTAAACTTTAAAGTGCTTTTTTTTTTTCTCTTTAAAACAACCAATTGAAAAAACACATTTTATGATATTTCTAAATTCTTTTGACAATAAAGCTTGTATTGTGTAAAATACACGATTATCTATAACAAACTACTTTGTGAAATAAGTTAAGAGTGATTATTGTCACTTGTTAATTTCTCACACACAATTAACATAACCTTAAGTGTTTAACTTTTGTTTTGGTTAAAGTAAATATTGTTACATTGTGTGTGAAATTTCATATAAATAGACAAGATGGACAAGAAAAAAAAAAGTAAGAAAAATAAATCATGAAAAGTATAATGCATGTATAATGGGTTGAGCAATCTATATTATAATAAAATTGTGCAAATCAATTATAACGTATTAAATTTTGGTGCCATTCTCTGGTTCAAATGGTTGATTTAATAGCTTTGTGGTAACTTGCCGTAATTAATGTGTATTTTTGTTTGAAAGTCGTTTGTTGAGTGCAAACTATAAAATCTATGAAGGAACTATACTTTTAACTTATTTATACTTTATATCATTGTAGCCTAACAATGTATTATCATTTTGTTTTGGATAAAAAATATTATAATTTATATTTTTCTCACGCATTTCTAAATATAAAATTGAGTTTTGATTACCTTTCTCATGATTTTCCAACCCTGTGTGGTCCTTGTCCTTCTTGGTAGCCGGCACTTTTTGTGAGTGCAACTAAGCATATCATATCGTCACTGGGATTTCACATTTTATTCAATCCATCAACACACCCACAAAAAATTTACCACATCACATGAAAACTACTAATTAAAAGAATAAAAATGATTAATTTTGTTAAATATTAAAACAGTGCCTACCACCTACGCCTAAGTGTAGTGTATAGGCAAAAACCCTAATGAAATGTGAAAAAACAGAAAATTTAGTGGTAAAATGAGGATTGAAGAAGATAAAGGAAAAGGGATGAAATTGTGAATAGGATGGTGCATCTCCCGAAACAGTTGACCCTGTGAGAGTTGGAGACACAGACACCCCACCCACACAAAAACCTCTTCAAATTGCAAAGTGCAAACCACCAAAGGAGAACGCATCTCTCAAATTCAGATTAAATTCAGCTGAAACTCGAACTCAAATAAAATTTCCTCCCCCAAAACGATGTCGTTCGAGGAGGAGGAGGAAGCCTTCGAGCACACGCTCCTGGTGGTGCGTGAGGTATCCGTCTACAAGATCCCGCCGCGCACCACCTCCGGCGGCTATAAGTGCGGCGAGTGGCTCCAGTCCGATAAGATCTGGTCGGGTCGGATCCGGGTCGTGTCTCGCCGGGACCGTTGCGAGATCCGCCTCGAGGATCCTAACTCCGGCGAGCTCTTCGCCGCGTGTTTCGTGTACCCCGGCCAGCGCGATAACTCAGTTGAACCAGTCCTTGACTCGTCGCGCTACTTCGTCCTCAAGATCGAGGATGGTCGTGGCAAGCACGCCTTCATCGGGCTAGGGTTCAACGAGAGGAACGAGGCGTTTGATTTCAACGTTGCGCTCTCCGATCACGAAAAGTACGTCCGGCGGGAGCACGAGAAGGAGGCTGGCGACTCCGCCTCCACGGAGGAGTCTCAGATCGACATTCACCCCGCCGTTAATCACCGGCTCAAGGTCTTAACCCTAATTTTTGTATTCTACTTGTTCTAATTCAGTTATAATTCACGATCTGGATTATTGTTATGAAATATGGATGATACCATGAATTGCTTTGGATTGACTTGTTTTGAGTTGAAAATAGAAATAAATAAATAAATAAGCAGTTTTAAGCTTGTTATTTTTGTGTAACTTTGATGTGTCTACTTGTGGTGCTTGAGTGAATGAAGCGTGATTCAGTGCTGTGATTTGTGGATCACTGAGATTGTGCTTATATTCTCTCGGTAACTGCATATGCTATTCTTATTATTATCATGATGATGAATTGGTTTCTTTTGGCTAAATCTGGTATTTAGAGCGGTTTGTAGATGTGTTTTTTTGTTTCACAAACATGGTTTCCCTTTTGGGTTTTCTTCCTCCCAAACTTGTTCTTTCCTTCTGCTAAATTTTGATGAATTTACTTTCTCTTGTCTTAACAGTTTTTTTTTTACCCTGTGGATCATGGCTTTTCTCGTAGTTGAAATGGGTTTGTTTGTGATTTGGTCTCTAGGAAGGGGAAACCATCAGGATTAATGTTAAGCACAAAGCATCTAGTGGAACTGGCATGCTTTCAGCTGCAGGACTAACGGGTGCGCATTCTGGAACACCAAAGCCAAAAACCTTGAGCATTGCTCCCCCTCCAAGTGGGGCAGGGAAAATTAGGTCTCCTCTTCCGCCCCCACCAAACGATCCTGTTGCTGCTCGGATTGCTTCCACTGGTTACGATAGTGTGAAACACTCTACTGACTCTTTATCAGATCTTTCTCAACTACAGGTATGCTGGTCCAACTCATTCTTCTGGCTATTTCCTTTTTGCATGTTATTTGTTCTTGAAATTGAAAATTTTAGAGCTTAACAATTATTGCATGAATTGATAGTAAGGTCATGTCTTTTAGATTCTTTAAGATTATTCAGATGGAATCTAATTGTGGAGATTTCATGCTTTACCTATCCAATTATAATACATAGGATTAATTAGCTTTACTTTTTCAAGGTTGCGATCTTGATGTTGTAACCTAAATGTAAAGTTATTGTTTCTTTGTTTACAAGGCATAACTGCGTAAAGGTACTTCTTGCTTTGGGCTGACTCAAGTTATTCAATCCAGACATAACAATAAGAATACTAACTGCCTTTTGTCTTTACTTGTGTATATAAATGTATCTATTTTGGTTGATTTGTTGATTGAGTTGTAGTTTTAGATCCCGCTCACCAATTGATTCCTACATACACTAGTAGCTTGAAAATGAATCAAGTCGAGTTGAGCACTTATTCTAGTTTGACTTGCAAAAATAATTATGGTGCCAAAGCTATGCTTGTTTAGATAAATTATAGCATGATTATTTTTTATTCATCAAATATGATCTTGAAGTATTTTTAAGTCTTTTATGTTAAAAGTATGAAAAAAAGAAAAGAAAGAGAATAAAGAAATATTTAAACATAAAAATAATGTAATAATATTTTTATAGATAAATTACAATTCACAAAGTCTATCCCTTTTTACTCTAAATATAAGATTGACATTTTTTTATCATTATATACACACACGCACACAAGCTATTTATGAAAATTTTTAATATTAAGGCTATAAAGCTCAGCTTCGTCGTTTATATATATCACCGAGGTTATTGTCAAGTTTAGGCATGTTTTGTTCACTAAAATAGACAAACTTAAATGGGTTTTTAATGAATCGAGTTCAAATAATTTATGAATAGTTTAGTTCATTTATGATCTGTAAAATCAACCCATTTTCTTCGTTATATATTCATCAAGTACTTTCTGGAGCATCCCAGTTTAATTTACCTGTATGTGTTAGAATACCGGCGTCTGAAATCATTTGTAACATTTATATTTCTTGTTTGCATTTACAGAAGAATCTTCCTTCATCAACCAACTCGGGATCGACCACTGCTTCAGGATGGGCAGCCTTCTGATTATATATATATATGAGCATTTTAACCATGAGGCTTTTACTATTCTCTGATTTTTTTGGTTCATTTGAGAAAAGAAACAGTGGAAGAAATTGAAGAAAAGAAGTGTCATTAGTAAAGCTAGCACAAGGTACCAGTAATTCGATGTCTTGAGGAATATGCTGGAAATATTTATGTTTTTCTTTGTTTGTAATAACAGATTTCTACATCCATATAAAAAGATTTACTCACCTTTCCCCTGCCCCCGAAAAAAATTCTCTCTTTCTTGACTGAGGTGTTCTTATAATTTTATGTTCAAGGAGTGTTCAGGATGTCATGTATCATTCATCAACCGATTGCCAATTGCTTGACATAGGTATATATAAGGTTATTATTACGCTACTCATAATAATTATGGAGTGACGAAAGTCCATTTAGCAGCCGGTATATCCGTTACACCGGTGCAACAGCTGTGTGCTTATGTGGCTCTACTTGGACGATTGTATTGAATCTATGAAAAAGGTTATACCAATGTAAGATTCCACTAACTTGCGCTTTGGTTTATTCATACATGGGATTCAGGAATCAAAGCAGTAAACAGCCATTATTAAGTCATATTGAAATGTAGGATTTCATGCAGATATTAGGTCACTAGGCATAAATCTTTTAGAGAACAAAGTTTACAGTTTAGAGAGAGGGGATATTGATTTAGAGATGAGGCAGTTACCATCTGAAAAAACCAAATAAGCTACATTAACCAATATCTTCCAGACGACTATAGGCTTGAAGCAACTCGGTGCTCAAAAACAGTAGCATTGTCAATAAATAACACAGTAAGCGTAACACGCTCCCTGTACAAGTTCACATTTATATTCCCTCTTAAAACTCGTGAAACTGTAACTCTACACTAGCGACTTTTGTCCACTTCGAGAATCAAACAAAAGAAACCAAATTAAGCGGCTATATAAAACTATTATTTAAATATTCACTGCACAGCAAAAAGCCGTCTGTTTACCTATTTGTCCCTTTTCAGTATACAAAATTGTGTTAGGAACCTAACAATGAATGCTACAGGTACATTCTTCTTCTTACCTGTATCCCAAAAAAACTAAAGATCAATACAAAAAATTTAACTGCCACAGCGCAAGAAGGTAAGCTTCAGAGTTTATTAAGACTGTATAACGAATATTCCATCAACTCAATTGATCAGCACCGTGCAGTAGGCATTGAAATATTGACAAATGGCTTACTACACTAGATAATCTGGCTTCAGAACCCAATGAGATCCATTTGATCCTTTATGCAGAGTTGCTATTTCCTTTAACAGATTCTTGAACAGGGCAAGATCTTTTGAGGGAATTCGGTCCTTGAAATACTGAACTATACTGGCTGAATTGGAACTACCACCTTGCTGTTGCAGAAAGGTACAGATTTGCCGAATCAATACTTCAGGTTGTAATCCAGATGAATTTTCAGTAGCCCTAAAAGATCTAACATCTACAGATCTTGATTGATTAGTGGAACTTGACAACATACCAAACTGATGTTCAAGCCCAGCACCAATGGCTTTTTCTTGGTTACCTCGAATTTGAGCCAAGAGTTCAGCAGAAGATAATGCTTTACCAGAAGATGCACCAGCAGGGAATCCATTAAATTTGTTAGTTCCATTGCTGGGTAAATCAGATGCTTTGGTATTATTTACCAACTGGGAATTCACAGTTGAACCAAACTTCCGCCGAACAGTTGATGGTGCACCAGCAGTTCCTGACCTTCCTGTCCATGTTGGAACAGAGATGCTATCATGGCTTCGTAGCATCCGTGACTGACGTAAAGCTTCTGCTGCTCTTTGTGCAACCTGGGATGCTTGCTCCTCAAGTCTCAACTTCTCCCCATCATGGGCATTCATGATCAAATCATGGTTCATGGCACTCTATCATCATAAAGTTTATCACAAAGGAACAGACAGTACATGGAAAAAGGAAATACTAATTAGAAGCATCACTCTAGAACTAGAAACAGACCAATATCACAATCTAATGGAGCCTGATCATGGTAAAGACACATTGTAATCCATGTAAAATCAACATATGCAGTATGCTTGCTTGTTACATAATTACTTTAATTCTTGAATAATTACTCATGGAACATGGTGTGGTTTTCAGATAATTAGACAAACAAACATAGTGATGCATGATAAATTGGATGTAAGCTGAAACCCACAGAAGAAACTTACATGTATCCCATTGGCATCAATAAGGCTTTTCAATATATTGGTTTCCTCATCAACCCCGTCACTATGTTCAACATTATCTTTCTCCTTTCCCCTGGAATATCTTCTCTGTGATTTGTCATCATTACCAACTGCAACATCTTCAGCATCCGGTTCAACAGTCTGGCTGTGTTTACGCTTATCCTTATTCTCTCTGTGTGTCCCAACAATATTTACTTCTTCAGATATTTGACTGAAAATACTTGAAGTTTCAGTTGAACCAGTTTCTCCATCCACATTAAGTGTAAAAAGATCTTTCATATCCCGGGCTTTAAAGAACCTTTTCTGTTGTGGGTTCTTCAATATCTTATTGGTAAGAAAATGTTTGTAAATCTGGCGATGATACACTTTCTCCTCAATAGTTCCACGTGTGATCAACCTATACACTGTCACATCTCGTTTCTGACCAATTCGCCAAGCACGCTCTCTGGCCTGTTAGAAGAAACAATGATCTCCTAAATGACATTTTGGAATTTAAATTTGTAATAACAATATTATTCTCCATGAGAATGAAAATTGAAACAAGTTCACAAACATAAATATATTAGAAATATAAACAATAAAAAAAATTAATCCAAAAGTTTTCAGAGGCAGTAAACTTCAGAGTTTGCATCCTGTTCCATACCCCTCTATTCATATCATTTTTCTTCCCCATATTTCATTCCACTCACCATAAAACATCTAAATGCAACTCTTGTTGATTCTGTTTAATACATAACAAATTGGCTAAGTGAACATGGTGAGAGGAAGTTCATCATTCACATTTCAACAATTTATGAACAAAAGGATGTAATCAGGACAAACTCACCTGCATGTCAGTTGAAGGATTCCAGTCAGGGTCAAAGATGATCACCCTATCTGCGCCTGTAAGATTCGTCCCCAAACCCCCAACTTTGGTTGTTAAAATGAAAATAAATATTTCACTTGAGGCATTAAATTCATCTATTAAAGCCATCCTCTGTTTTATAGGAGTGAGACCATCCATTCTCCGATAAATAAGACCAGAAGTTGTTAAAAAATTCTCAAAAATGTCAAGCATTTGTTGGGTTTGAGTAAAAAGAAGAACACGGTGACCCTGTTCCTTCCATACATTAAGAACTTGAGCTACAACTTTCATTTTCCCACTACGTTCTGGATTTCCATAATCTGGATCCCGGAAGGCATGTTCCCTTTCGAGTAGATCAGGGTGGTTACAGATCTTGCGCATCACATCAATTCCGTAAAGAGAATTCCTGTGTCCATCTAATATATCCTCCACTTCAGTGCTTGCTAAAAATGCTCTATAAGCAGATACTTGCTCTGATGCAAGGCTGCAAAACAGAACATGTTCAGTTTTCTTTGGAAGTTGGGCATTCACATCAGCCTTCATTCGTCGGAGAAGATAAGGCATGATTAAATCGCGCAGCACCACCGCACACCTGTAAAATGACAAAATTATATTCATATAATTTCGTGATGGAGGCTGACCTTCATAACTAACTCAATATCCCTAGATGAAATATGCCAACAATCTAATTGAAAATATTTGTCAACAACCTTCTTTTGCTCCATTTTCCCACATCTTAGGATCAGATGAGTAAATCAGTTGTTACTTATAATTAATACAATTTAATTATTTAATTAAATTTTATGTTTGAAGAATGAAAATTTACAATATCCTGGAAAAATATATCATGTTTATGAACAAAAAATATCAATGTAGTAACCATGTATTGACCAAATTAAGGTATCACATTCACATGAACAATAATTTCTAGACAAGAAATAGTTTTGATGTGAATTTTTTAACTGTATATCTCCATTTCATTAAGCATTGGTCAACTTACATGTGACAATAAAAAGGATATGAAAAGACCAACTTGATCTCATTTACCCCTCAAAACTTTCAATTGGTATATTGCAGTACACCCATAAATCTATCCGAATGTGCACTTTATCCATTCTGTTACAGTGTCATTAAAATTGGTTATCGAAATCAATAGGGAGTGGTAAATTGCACTGATTGAAAGGTTGATGGGAGCAAATTGCACATTAGGATAGATTATGGCTGAAAAATGCTACATCGAAAGTTGAGGCTAATTGCAAATGAAATAAAGTTCAAGATTTTTTTAAAGGTTAAATCAAAGAATTGGTCCCTATATCTGATTTTTTTTTTAAATTTTGGTTCCAACATTAAAAAACTCTACATTTCGGTTCCTACATTAAAAAATTTTAGAAATTGGTCCCTACTATTAACAAAAGTTATTACAGTGTTAAACATTTGTCCTACATGTCAGTAGGGACCAAACAAATTTAACACCATTCTGGCTTCAGTTAAGGGTAGAGACCATGTGTAAACTTTTTTTTATGTTTGTACAAACCAAAATGTAGAATTTTTTTATGTAAGGACCAAAATTAAAAAACAGTGTGAAGTATAGGATCTATATTTTTAATTTGAACTTTTGCAAATTTTCCCTTCGTTCAAGGAAAAAAGGAATATTGATCCACCTGTATGCTGTGGATACTTGTAAGGGTGAAGCATTTGCATATCCACCAACTGCTATAGGAACTGCAAATTCAGCTTCAAATACAGGCAAAACACCCAACTTTCCAGGAAAAACAAAGTCAAACAATGACCACAGTTCAGTCAGTTTGTTTTGAATAGGTGCACCAGTCATTATGATGCGGTGTACAGTTTGTAGCTGTTTGCAAACTAGGGTAACTTCAGCATTTGGATTCCTTATTCTATGCCCTTCATCAAGAACTGCATAACCCCATTCAATATCAAGCAACTGGTCCCCCAGAATTCTAAGCTGCTCATAAGTGGTGATAAGTAATCCGGATTCTGATCTCATGACACGATTTATCAGGGATTCCCATTTTCTTGTGTTTCTAGATGGCACACTTTTCACATAATCATTGTCACTTGAACTATTGCTTTCACTGTCCGTTTCATCGGATTTAGCTGGCTTCTTTCTTGGAGCAGAATCCTGAGCAGAATCATGTAAAAGCTCAACATGGAATTTTGGGTACCACTTTTTAGCTTCCCTTTTCCACTGTCGCAAGAGAGTAACAGGACAGACAATAATGCTGGGTTTGTACATGCCACTGAAATGCAATGAACCAAGAAATGACAAGACCTGGACAGTTTTGCCAAGACCCATCTCGTCACCAATAATTCCACCAGCTCTTTGGCAATGCAATTCCCACATCCACTGAACGCCAACCTTTTGATAGTCAAACAGAGCTTCAAATATTTTATCAGGGACTTTTAGCCCACCTTCCAATGTTACATAAGAATGATCATCAAGTTCAACATCTTGTGCTTCTGAGTTTTCACAACTGGAAGTGTCCAAGCAACCATTCACATTTGCTGCAAAATATTCAATAAATTGAATATGAAATTATGAACCTAAATAGAAAGTGTATATAATATTGCAAACAAAGAATCGTAGAGAAGTAAATAAAGAAAAAACAGTTAGTGATGGATCACATGCCAACCTTCCCTCACACGATAGGTCAATGAATAGTCAAGTATCAACATGTGAATTGCCTATTGACATACACTCTTACTCAGCAAAACATCAGATTTAAAAGCTGTCATTTTAAAACTGCATGCGACAAACACATCTAATACTAAAAGAAAAGAATCAGCACAAATGAAGACACGTCACCATTTTGATATAATCAAATGCCAAAACAAATAACAATTACTACAAAATGATATTCACATTAAATTTATAAAAGTATAACCAAATGCAACTAGTTTGAATGGTTTCATATCAACATTTCTAACAAAATTGTATCATTTTTTTCTATGAGAACACTATATGTTCAACATACCACTTTTTTCCAGATGTATATCCTCACAAGAAACACGCTTGGTCCATTTCCTATCGGGCAACGGCCGTCTCTTTTTCCTTTTAGAATCTTTATTTGGCTCCTCCTCTGTCTCTAAAGGTTTGGGAAATTTTAGTGGTTTCTTGAGCCTGAGAAAAGGAAAAGTGGGTGCATCAAGCTTCGGTGCAGCTTCAGGCTCAAGCAGCTTGGTGGTTGGACGAGATCTTGCTGCCTCAGACATTGATTTGGCAGCTCTTTCAACACTGGAAGAAGCCAGATCACCAGCAATATCTTCCTCAGCTGCATTATGACTAGTTGATGTTTCAGTTTGTTGGAAGCGGCGTTCAACGCCCTTCAACTTATGAAAAGGGGTTAAAATTCCCTTTCTCACCAGTTCATCCCTTTCCTAAAGGGTAAGCAGAAGAAAATTAGTTCTTCTATTTCTAACTCCACCAATTATATCCTTCAAATTTGGAACAAACATAGCACTTTAACATCAAAAGTAATCTTTATATATTAAACATTGTTTTAGAACAACAAATAAGTAACATACTAGCAGCTGTAATTATTAACAAGTAACTCACAAGTAACTCACCGTTTCAACAAAGCCAGCCGAGGCTGCATCCAGAGCAGCATCAAAATTAATATCATCATCATATGATACTTTCTTAATCCGCTTCCCTGAGCCCTTACTCAATTTCTCATCTTCTTTGGACTTCCTCTTAGATCTTCTTTCTTCCTTAACTAAACTAAAGATCAATTTCTCTTGCTCAACACTTTCGAAAGCATTATCCTTAGACAAATTCAAAAGCTCTTTCTCTAGTTGAGCCTTTGTCTTCTTTAGGCTCCTCAACCTATCAGCAGCAAGAACACGCTGAAGGTTTGAACCATTGGAGGAATCACCCTCCGCAACCCCTTGCTCCGAGCCGTCCTCAACAACATCACTGCATTCTCCATTATTTTCGACATTTCTCAACTGCTCAACGGTGGAGGCTACCGCATTTATTTCAAATTCTACTGCTCTCAACTTTTGATGAAGTTCAGTTTTAGCAGTAGACGATGGATCGACATTTTCAGGTAAATGACAACACTCTTCCTTGGCGCTATCTTCAGCTTCAGTAACGGTCACTGCATCATTCCTAGCCTACAAATTAACATCCTCTCAATCAAATCTTAAGGTTTTGTTTCAAGTAAACACCACTATGCTTATAAATTTCAACACCGAGTTCTAAATTAAAGTTCCACAACAATTTCAAAGGAAACAGAATCAGTGAAACATGAACAAAAAAATTAGGAAAAAAATAATAACAAACTGTGGAAGCATAAACTGATACCTTCTCTAAAACGTCGCGTTCAATGTCTTCAGGATTTGCAGACTTTACGCCCAAACGAGAGAGCAAAATTCGATCCTCCTCTTCCTCCATCGAATTATGATCACATTAACCACTTCTTCTGCTTATCGTGTGGCGTAACTTTAAACCTAGCAGACAAAACAGAAAACGTTGATATTTTTTATCATAGCTTAACGGCATTTAATCTCAGTTTGATTTCCTACTCATTTCCGATGCGAATGAAAGAAGCTTCTTCGTCTTCTTCCGATTAACATTTCGCAGAGAGGAGTGGGTATGACCGTCGTCTTGGGTTTTGTTTCGGTTTCACCCCTGTTTTGTTATTGCTGCGATGCCGCGTCTTAACTCTGGAAACAGTCGTCGTATTGCTTCTTGCGCAAGATTGTTCTCATGTCGTTTATTCGGAATAACGATCGCACGGCAACGCAAATTTAGTGTAAACCCTTTTGATCACCATTATATGATCCTCTGGTAAATGAATAAATGCACACATTTTTTTCTCACTTATTAAAGAGATACTGATTAAAGAATTTTAAGACAAATATTTTTAAAATACAGATTGAAGAAATATAATTATTAATATTGATAAAAATTTTCAATACCATTCTTGTATATAAAGAAATGAGTCTTTCAAGAAATTTAAATGCTTATCATTTCATAGCATTACCCTCATTTTTTTAATAGAATATACATATAAAAAGATTTATTTTCTATTAAGTGAAAGAATGCACAAAATAAAAGTTCGTCTATTGTTAATTTCAGTTTTAAAAAAATTATAATACGCATGCATTTTTATTTTTTACCCTACGCATCTTATTTTTTAAAAAGTTCAAATGTTAGATAAAAGTCCATCAATTGTGATAAATTTTATTAAAAATTTGTCAAAATTCTAAATAATGTAATAATCAAATGGTTGATATAAAGCATTTTTATTGAAGACTACATTTAAAAAAATAATTAATATTTTGAAACTTAATTTGTTTTGCTTGATTATACTTTTTATTTCTTTATTATAAAAATAAATTATTTTTTATTTTAATATTTTTTGTGTGAATTTAGTCTTATAATTTTCACAATCATTTTTTTCTTAAATTTTCATATCTATTTTTTTAACTCAAAGTTTAAATATTAATTATCAAAAAACAAAAATAATATATCATAATAAAGGTATAAAAAAAACTTTTTTTTAATTTTAGTTACACGGTCACTAATCTATTAATATGGTTTGAGTTTTCATATAGGCTTGACTAAACGACGTGCGTTTTGACGTTCCATTAAGCACCGCGAAAAAACGGTAGGTGGAAGTGGCGACGTGGTTTGTCGTCTATTCCCCCGTTTGGGTTGCTTTCAACTACCTCAGCACTGACGTGTAAGTTTTCTATTGGCTTGGGAAGTGGAACCAGAGAAAATATGAAGAGCGCTCTCCCTCCATTGGAGTTTGCACTTGCAGCCAAAAATGGCGGAAGAAGAACAACAAGAGAAGCAGTATTGCCGTGGAATCCAAGTCCGCGCCATGCAATTCACTTACGATGTTCAACAACCACCGCTCTTCCTCGACTTCAACCTTAACGTCGCTCCCGGATCGCGATGCCTCCTCGTCGGTGCCAATGGATCCGGTAACTGAATGGATTTTGTATTTGTTATTGTGTTTGTGACCGTTTTGTGTGTAAATTTGGTTACTCGCGTTTGTTCAGGGAAAACGACTTTGCTGAAGATTCTAGCGGGGAAGCATATGGTTGGAGGAACAGACGTCGTGCGTGTGTTGAACTGTTCTGCTTTTCATGACACTAAACTCGTTTGTAGTGGAGATCTCGCTTATTTAGGGGAATCCTGGAGCAAAAACGTTGGTTCTGCTGTAAGTTTCATTTATTTTCATGATTTATCGATGTGCTCGCATTTTAGGGTAAAATTTCCCCTGTTCACCTTTCGTAGTTGATTGATTATTGACTATTCGTCCACATTCTGAGATAATATTGTGCCATGTAAAGTGTTCTAAATTACGGTTGCTGTTGCGTCGCTATCCTCGATATTGCGGCAAATTGCAGACAAATTATGCTGCAATGCGGTCGCGATGTGGTTGCGGTAACTCAAAAGTCCTCTATATTGCGGCGGCGATTGCGGTTGTGGACCGCAATTTAAATACGATTATCGTGTGGACCGCAATTTAAATACGATTATCGTGTGGAAACTATAACTCGTATGGTCTTCAAGTTTTATGCTGAAACTTTTAATTACCTGCTGTAATTTCTTGGTGAACGTGAAGATGTGTTTCACACTTATTCTTGTCAGCGCGCTGTTTACAAAAGTTGTGCGCCGTTTGTGAATCAGTGTCTCTGGTTTTTTGCTACCGTGGATACTTTTCGATTCTGTTTCCCTCAAGCCAGTGCCGAGGTTCTTTTTCTTCGTCGTGGCAGTTTTTTTACTGATATACTAATTTAGCAAGAATCTTATGACCGAAGTTGACCTGTGGCTTTTATCTGTTGTTAATTTGAATTGATTATTTTCTCCTCACTTTTCAGTTGCATTGAAACGAGTCATTGGATTTGGGGAGTTTAATAAACTAATAAAGTTAATATTGGAAGACCAAGCTGGGGAATCTTGTTTTTCTCACAAGGCAGAGAATTTGGCTCCTCTAAAGTGAAGCTGTGCATGATGTTAGGGAATACAGTGTAATTATGACAATTGATTAGGAAATCAACAGTTGAGATTATGATTAAGGACATGCACATATATGACAAACTATGAAGTTGTTAAATTATCAACCATATCTTCACTTTATCATCTAAAGTACACCATCTTCACTTTATCCTAGTATAGCTGCTCAGCCTTTGTGTTCTCTTTTAGCTAGACCTAATAACTACAGATAGATTTCTTCAGAAATTTGGTTTCCATATTGCTGAACAGCCATGCATCGTCAGCCTGGTCCATAATGTGGGCTTTGGTCCTAACAAGAGTCCATTGTTCATGAATTACAGTGACCCACTTCAGAGCCTCAGTTCTCTAATGGTTTCCTTTTGACACAATTTTTCTTTTACTAATTTTTCTTCATATTACTGTGTTTGGGTGGTGGTTGGCATAGAAATTGAACCTAAGCCTCTGCGCTTACCTCACTACTAACCTGTATTTTACATGATTTGATTAGTTTCATTTCAAGTATTAATGTAGTTGCAAATATCCAGGGAGAAATTCCGCTCCAGGGTGACTTCTCTGCCGAACATATGATTTTTGGAGGTGGGTTTTTGAACATAGTTTTCTTTGTTGCTGAGTGCAATTGTATCTCCATTTTTTATTTCTAAATATCTGGAGAAAAGTTAATCATCATGTCATGGCTGCATTGGCTATTCTGTAGTGTTGCATTAGTGATTCAAAATCAAATCAATTGTTCTTTACTCTTGATGTATGGTGGATCTAAAGTATTCACTACCTTTGGCAGTTGAGGGCGCTGATCCTGAAAGGAGAGATAAGTTGATTGAGCTGCTTGATATAGACCTGCAGTGGCGAATGCATAAGGTATCTGATGGGCAGCGGCGTCGAGTGCAAATCTGTCTTGGTCTTTTATATCCATTTAAGGTATTGAGAAATTAAAAGCCTAGAGAATTTGTTGCGTATGTGGTTGCTGTGCTGTTGCTAGACAATTTGTTTGATGCTCTTATCTGATTGTAATTTTTATTGCATGGTATTGCACCTACTTTATCGTAAAAGAAAAAGGGAAAAAACTGATTTCTGACAATGCGCTAATGTCATGTCATTTGCTATATTTTTCATGTACCACAACAGGTAAAATTAAACCAGATATATAACTGGAACCCTTGATTGACATTTCAGGTTCTCTTGCTGGATGAGGTTACTGTTGACCTGGACGTTGTTACTCGGATGGATTTATTGGACTTCTTTAAGGAAGAATGTGAGCAGGTATTGATTGGCTCTATCTATTTGACTGCTGAAACACAATGGATGTGAGTATGGAAAACTGCGACGAGGATGGCCCCCAAATGCTACATTTGATGATAGCTGGTCCTAGTTGGAATAATGATCATATTAAAATATAATAATGAGTTCGATCTTCAATTTCTACTGGGGATGAAATATATACTGTATATTGTCCCAATATGTCTACTTAAAGCAATAATGAAAAATATAATGCCTCAACAAATTATTATCACTTAGGGTGACGATATGCGCATCTTGCAAAGGCTGGAATGTTGAGTTCAGAAACAATACCTAATTTCTCTCGTGTTTTCTATTTTTTGCAGAGAGAAGCTACAATCGTATATGCAACTCATATTTTTGATGGACTAGAGACATGGGCAACTCATTTGGCATACATACAAGACGGTGAACTGAGAAGAGCAGAAAAAATATCAGATGTTAACGAGTTGAAGTCTTCAACTAATCTGCTGTCAGTTGTTGAGTCCTGGCTTCGTGCTGAAACAAAGCTTGAGAAGAAATCCCATGTTCAAAAGACTTCCTTTGCTAGCTCTCCGTTCTTTTCATCTAGACAAATGGCATACTATCGATAGTCTCTTTTGACACAAAATTCTTGTGAAAATAATGTGAGAGAGACAAATATGAGTAATTCATTCTGTCTTGCTTGTGAAGTTAGTGGTAGTTTATACTTTGTTATTCTGTAGTAGCTATACGTTTAAACAAGCATGCAAATGAATCATAGCCTTGTAATTAGCAGGCCATCATGAAGTCATTTGAGGCTGGCTTTGGCCAATAACACGTATTCGTTTGTTTGACTTGCGGTGACTAGACACTTTTGGCAATATGTTTGCGTCATGGTTTGAGCTGTTACAGGCTCTGCGATGTACTTACTTATGCTAATTACCGTGTGGAAAGTTAACAGCGGAAGGTAATGGTTTACAAAATAAGAATATCCCTAGACTGGTAGTGGGCTTATGAACCTGAAAACAAAAGATCATGTCATGTAGCTACTCAGATACCTACTTCACTGTAATGAACTTGGCTTCCCCCTCCTCAGAATTGATATTATGGGCTTAAATGACGATTCGCTTATTTGCCGAACCGTAGTTGGAAATCAATTAAAAATTGAGGCCCAAGAAAAGGAGATTTGAAACGTGTTTCTCTTACGTGGGGACAGGGTCAAGACAATAATGATTCATATATATACATTGCAGTCCTGTAGGAAAGAAAAACAATGTGTGGCGTAGTTTTAAGGTAAGAAATATCATTCTCCTGATATAATCATCCTACTTAGAAATTGTGATGAATAAGTGGTGCACATTTGAGGAGCTGGTTGAAGTCTGTGACATGACGAGGCTGATGATTTAATTTTTGACCTAAAACAAAACATTGTGGTCTGTTCGTCTCGCGTAATAATATCTTCTGATTTTGCTTGCCAACATTCAGTTTTTTGGAATTTTGTGGCCACTAATTCTAATCTTGGTCATGACTCAATCCTATATCAAAAGGTTAACAATAAACTTCATATTAAAACGTATGTTATAGTAAGAAAAAATAATTTTAGGCTTAAAACAAACATGTCGTTAGCAACATCTTTGTCAGCTGTTATTATACTTAAACTTTTTAAATTTTATTTTACCCTTTCATAAAAAAATTGACGTGATGTTTTAACTATTCAAAAATTCATTTTTTTTTTTATATTTGTTATGTATTCTTATATATTTTAAAATCTTTTCATACATTTTTAATTTTATTTAAAGTAATTCTTTTTTTTTAATTTTAAATATTGTTAGTATTTCACTAAGATTTAGAAATACTTAACATTCAAATAGATCATGATACGTTTGTTTTTGTAAATTTTGGGTATTATTCCCTCTCATTCCCGTGATTCTACAAAAATTCTATTCATGACAAACTATCAGTTACTTATGTAAAGGGTAACTGGAAAATATAAATGCTAAATTTTAAAGAAATATCAAGAACCATACTAAATTTAAATTAAACTAAAAAAAAAGGCTCACAAAAATAAAGAATAAAGATACGAGCTTCACTAATTAGTGTCATAATATTAAAATTAAAATAAATATCATATTAAATTGTATTAAAAATACAAAAAATATTAATAATATTTTAATGAAAAAATAATAAATTTTTAAAATAAAAAATAATTAATATTTGTCAAAATATATTTAAATGTAAAACAAATTTATTGTCCCCTCAGGCAACTAATTTAGCTGTGGTTCATACATTTTGACAACAATGTGTCTCCAACATTCATTTGGCAAGACAAATTCAATGAAGCCACGCTTGTCTTCATTTGCAGTCTTCTTAGTCTGTTGATTTTAGTTCCCTCTATGGGATCATATTATCCATGTAAAACAACTGCAATTTCAATATTTTCATTTAATACATCATTAATTCTTGCCTCCAGAGGGGTTGATAAGGGTGGTCCCTGCCCCCTCACCATAATTTGTTTTAAAACTTTACATATAATTATATTTTTTTTATGTAAAATATACAATGTAATAAATTAATAATTTGATTGTGCATATTAATTACTATTTCCAGTTTTTTATAAGAAATAAATATTTTTCAATTTTCCTGTTAAGATTTTACATAGAAATCAATAAATAATTAATATTTTAAATTTCGTTAAAGATAGCACTTAACTTTTTATCGAACTGTCATCTATTAAATTTATTAATATATTTTTATTTACTGGCCTCTACTACATAAATATTAATTATTAAGATTACAATTATTAAAAAATATTAATTTTATAAAATGACAATAAAAATAAATAAAGTAAAATTATTAAAGTGTAAAAGAAAAAAACAGAGGGAGTAAATTGATCTTGATCGATAAACATATATCATAAATTTATATTTTATTTTTAAAATACTTATAATATCAGTGATTTAGGAATCACTTTGTTAATATAAACTTTACATGATAAAATATGAGTATATTAGTAACATTTATAATGAAAAAAAAATAAGTGATTTGAAGAAAATAATTGTGGTAAGATTGCAAGGCTCTTAAAATTAAAAAAGGTTAAAATGTATTTTAAAATAAATTAATTTACGAGATAGATAACTTATTAAAAAAACAAATCAATATTTAAAATATTTTTTGAAAAATGTACTTTTATCACGTTTTTATATCTAAATATGACATGCTAAACGAGAGTTAAAAGCATTAAACTTCATATCTCTCTCTATACATAATAAACCTTTTTGCCAAACATTGTTTAACTTTCTTTTAGTTCTTCAATAAAGGTTAATTTGTTCAAATTTTTTAAATATGAAAAAAATATAGATGATGAATGTAAAGCTAAATAAGAAAAAAGAAAGTACGTTTTCTTATTTAAATCGGAACAGCAATGTTTTATTTAATTTAGTACTTTAATTTCTACCAATCTTAATATTCCTATTTACCTTTGCAATTTTTAAAAACTATTTTAATTCTTTAACTTTTTTTTCTGATATTTTTTTTATCGTCTAACAAGTTTATATTTCTATTTATTTGTGTAAATAAAAAATAAACTATAAGTGATTAAAAGTTAGAAAACTAAAATAAAAAAATGAAAAAAAAAGGTTAAATAAAATTAGAAGATGATTAAGTAATTTTTACCTTATTAAATGTAACAAACATGTAAATAGATTGGGACATTGCTAACTTAAGATTATCCTAACTGTGACTACAAAAGGGGATTGGTCTTTGAGATGTCATGCTTTCCAATATAACCAGTGCTTGCCAAACCATGTGTTCACAACGAGTTAGTAAAACACATTTTTTAAATATATTTTTTATTATCATTTTATTTTATAAAGAAATTAAATAATTTATAATTTTTTTTAAAAGTAATAACATAAAAGTAAACTATGGATGTAATTTTAAAATTAATTACTGTGAAAATCGATAATTCTTAATGACACAATAATTAATAATTGAGTGATAATATACTTTTTTTACATTATCAATATATTTTAACTAAATTATAAAAATAATATGTAGTTTCGCGTATTTTTTTTTCTGGATAATTGGTGTGTAAATTTTGTTATTGATTAATCGGTAATAAATTAAAAGAAGGGCAATATAGGTAGTCATAATGTTATGAACTTACAAAATAAGATCCGAAAATTCTAATGTTTGTAACATATTTTTTAATATATTTTTTATTATTAATTTATGTATATTTTATTTTTAAATTAATATTTATCTGTTAATTTTTTTATAAATTATAGTTAATAGTTGAGAACAGTGTTAAAAGAGAGTAGAGTAAAAATTAATTTAGTTTTTTCTTTGGGTTGTTGGGAACTTGGTTTGGTTTGCTTTGAAAGATGAATGTGCGGTCCAATGAAGCAAAAGATTCCAATTTGAAGTTTTGTTTTGGGGTCCAATAAATAAACAACACACGCCAATAAATTATAGCTTTTTTAGGAATATTAATACTATTCACAAAAATTAACTTCAAATACGATCAATTTCACTTTTATTTTTTATTTTTTAATTTTACAGATTTGATTTACATTAAAATTGAGTAAAAATAATAATTTAATATAAATTTAAATGTTGTAATTTATATTTTAGGTAAGAGATTGAACTGATTTAATTAGATAGATCTATTTTGTCAGCTTTAAATGACAAAGACTTTTCTTAAAATATATTTAATTCTCATTAGTTGGTATTTTAAAATATTAGTAAAAATATATAAAATTACAAAAAATTAAGAAACATGCATATTGATAATTTTTGTTGATTTTTTTAAAAAAATTTGTCAGTGTTCCTAGTCAAACATTTGTTATACTTTTTTATGCGATTTTTTAATTGATTAGTGTTTTAAAAATTTCAAATCAAATTTAAAAATTATTGATTTATGAGGCAAATAGCTTTTTATAAAAAGGTTTGACCAGTAAGTGCATTAAATATTATATTAAAAACAATGTGTTGCTGTTATTTATTTCACTATCGTGTTTTTCTTATAAAATTGTATGTGTTTATCTGAATTTGTTTTAATTTTTTTTAATTTATCGATATCTTTTTAAAAATAAACAAATATTCTTTAAAATAAGTTTTGACAAACACGCACTGATTTTTATACTGAGAATAAAAATGTACATGTAATTTATCATGTTCTTAATTGTTTAAAAACTAAAGTGTCTATTTTTATTTGTTTTCATGTATGGCATGAAATTTAATCACCATATAATTTTGTTTACTAATTTGTATCAAAATTGGCATTACAAATAAAAAATATTTATCATTTAAAAAAGTTTCAAGCATTGTTAATTTACACATCTTTAGCCATCACCTTTCATGTCATAGTAAAATCATGGCTCAAAATATAATTTATCATTTAATGTATTACTTTTTATATATCAAACTAACTAATCAATCGATTTTGTATATTAATGTGTTTGTCATCTATAGATACGAAAGAGACTTAGTAATGAAATTCCATCTTATTTTTCTCATTTATTCATATCCATATACATTTTTTTATAGTTAGAGACTACTTTTTTACAACACATCATATAATTACTAGAACAATTTGTGTATAAGTCTCCAAGTATTTATGAAAGTTATGTAAATAATCTATGTTTTAAAAAATTGAGCATACTTATTTGTTAAAATAGATGTTTTCATTCTAATTTAAAATATTTAGAACACAATAAAAATACATTTTAAACATATTTTTTTATAGAAAAATTTCGAATCCACAATTTTATATAACTAAGACAAGAAATAACACCCGTATTTATGTTAGTTGCTTGATTCATCAAAATCCAATATGCTTGATTAAGTTAATCATTATTAACGTATTTTAATACTAAAAAGTGTTCAATTTAATATTATCAGTTATAATATTTACCTTAAATTCATATTTAATTTTTTTAAAAGTATTTTCAAATCTATATCAACTAATTTGAGCCGAAAGAATGATTTGAAATGTTTTCGTTTCAACTTTTGTTTCCTTTTTAATTATAATAACTATCGTGTACACACAATTACATGTATAATTTCATCGATTCCATACCTAAATTTTTAAAAATATAATTTTCCCAAAAAGGAGAAAAAATTATAAAATTGATTAAAGAAAATAATAATAAGGGCAACATTGAATAGGATCCGGTTTCTCGCGGGATCCAAAATAACTAATTTTTAAATGAGAAAAACCCAAAAATTGCCCTTTTAGTTTTTCTTTTCCATTTTCAATATTTTAAAAATAGTATTAATAATTTTTTTTTAAAAAAAAAGTTGGCTTGCAAATTTGGCATAAAAAGTGAACGCCATGTCATGTAACTAAACAATACACAGAGGAAGAGAGCTTGAAACACAAATCACGCGCACAAATCGTCTCTTCTGAGTTTCTCGCCGGAGCCATTGTCCATTGTCATTGCCATTACACAACCAAATTGCTTTTCCCTCTCTTGTTAGGGTTTCGTTCGATCATATAACATTCCTTTCTGACGCGGTAATCCGAATTCTCAGCTTCTTTCTACAAACGCTTTTCTTTCACATTCTGATTCCTCTCTCCCATTCTCTCCGTTCCCAAATCCCTAAAATCCTCTTGTTTCTGCCACCTCATCGATTTTATTGCTTTCTCCTTAGAAACGCTTGTAACCGAGGAATTGAGATGCCCGGAGGAAATCCTTTCGTTTTCTTCACGTGAGTTTTTAAGAGAACATGTAAATAACCGTTGTGGAAAATGGGTCATCTTCAAATTAGAAAAGTGCAGGGAAACGAGAGTAAAAGTGTTTCTTTTTTTTTTTTTTAATTAATTGGGCCTTTTTGTGTGTGTGGAAATCATATGCGTGACTTGTGTTTTGGTTAATGCATATTTCATGCAATTGTTTGTTTTTTAGGGATTTGAAGCGAACTGATTGAGAATGCATAGAAAGATTGTTGTTAACCATTGAGGTAAGGAAATGGATTCTGCAAGGAGTTGGCTTCAGAAGTTCCAGCCTCGGGATAAAACGAGGGGTGCTGCAAAGAAGAAAGAGGAGGATAGTAATGGAGGTAATTATGAATCGAATGGACCTGAGGATGAAGCATCGCTTTCAAGTGCCACGAAGCAGAAGGTGGCAGCTGCAAAGCAGTACATTGAAAACCATTATAAGGAGCAAATGAAGAATCTTCAGGAGAGGAAGGAGCGGTATCATTCCATTTATCTTTGCTTATGATAAATTGATAATTACTTTTCTTTTTAACCATTAGAAAACATCAAGTGATGACACGCTTGTCTTTAGATCAGTTACATGTAGTTTCTTGTGAGCACTTTCTGGCATTTCCCTCTGTTTCATGTGAGCACTTTGAGTGTTTTTCTTTAGCCCAGAGTTGTTTCCATGACTTATGTACCGCTGGTACTTAAATCTCCTTGGCTGACACTGTTGATTGATACTGATTTTGCAATTCTTGAAGGGTAGAGAGTTTCTTTGTTGATATTTGTTTCATATGTTTACATCGTTTTGAACTCTAGTTCTATAAATCTGCTGGTATTTTTGTTTCTAGTATTACATTCCATTGCACTTTGCCGTTACAGTGTTATGGTTCACATAGATACAAGTCTTAATGTAGGTGATGTTAAATCTTGCATATGGCTTTGCTGGTTTAGCTGGGATTTAACAAGAACCCTGGGTGGATTTCAAATTGATTTGAGTTTGAACATTGAATGTGGTTATGTCTCATTGAGTTCAGTCTAATGAGAATGTTTGTGTTTGTGATGCAAATTTGAGGGGGCATTGGTATTATTTCCCTCATGAGGTTTGGATTTTTTTTGAAGAACTATTTATAAAATGAGTGATTTATTTTTTTAACTGGCGGGTAATGTGCATGTGCATCTAGTGGGTTTTAAGATATCTCTCTATTCTGTTCTTAAGGGGAGGGAGGTTAGGTTTCATGATCCAAGGTCATTGACGTGACATATATCACAAGCTCTTAGTACTGTGGAATCTATGAAGTTCTAATAATATATAGGATTGGGTTTTGGAAATGTAATATTGTGGGAGACCAACTCCTCTCTCTTCTTGTTGTTGAGTTGCATATAAAAATAATTGGAACTGGAAATGTTATTTTTTGCTCGAATATTAATGTTCACAATGTTAGTTGCTTTGACAAACATGCGGTGAACTTTTATAACACTTCACTTCACTTGCTAATAACAGTCGAACCACCTTGGAAAAGAAGTTGGCTGATGCTGATGTCTCTGAAGAAGATCAAAACAACCTGCTTAAATTTTTAGAGAAAAAGGAAACTGAATATATGCGCCTTCAGAGGCATAAGATGGGTGTTGATGATTTTGAGTTATTGACTATGATCGGAAAAGGTGCATTTGGGGAGGTATGCATATGATTTATTGTGATATGAAAAATGTGACATGACTGTTAAATTTTTTTCTTCCAACTTTTGATTACTTTATTTGTAAATTGAAATGTAACGGTGGGTTGTTTATATTGTGTCTGTTCATCAAAACTAAGATTAAATTATTTTTCTGTGGGCTACATTGGTTTATATTAGTTTATGTTGAAAAGTCTCATATCAACTATAAATATGACTAAATAAGATTTTATAAAGGCTAAAATAATCCTCACCTTATGAGCTAACTTTTGGGGTTGAGTTAGGTTTAAAGTCCAACTTTAACATGGTATCAGAGCCGATTGTAGATCTGATATTAGGCCACCCTTGATTAAAAAAGAATTTGGCTCCATGAATTTTTCCAGTGCAATTAACCTGGTCTCTATTTCTTTGTGCAACTTACCTGATCCTGCAAAGTGCTACCTACTTGTTCCTGCAACTTATCTAGAGTGTGTGTATATATATATCAGTCCTATAATTTCTACGCTCTAAATGTCTAATCTTGGACGTAAGAGGGTGCGTTGAAAATACCTAAATCAACTATAAATATGGTTAAATAAGAGCTTATAAAGGCTCAAGCAATCCTCACCTTATGAGCTAATTTTTGGGGTTGAGTTAGGTTTAAACCTTAAAGCCCAAATTTGACAGTTTATTTTGCCTAAAATTTGAATTTGTTGCAGGTCAGAGTCTGTAGGGAGAAGACGACTGGTCATGTATATGCAATGAAAAAACTAAAGAAATCAGAGATGCTTCGCAGAGGCCAGGTTTACAGTCATTTGTCTTGCTAGATTGTGTTATTCCAGAGATTAGCAGTTTAAATGCCTAAGGTTAATGGAGTCATCGTACTTATTCCTATTTTATTAAGTTTTTCAGGTTGAACATGTCAAAGCTGAAAGGAACCTCCTTGCAGAGGTTGACAGCAATTGCATAGTCAAACTTTATTGTTCTTTCCAAGATGAAGAATATCTGTATCTTATTATGGAGTATCTACCTGGTGGGGATATGATGACTCTACTTATGAGAAAGGATATCTTGACTGAAGATGAAACCAGATTTTATGTAGGAGAAACAGTTTTGGCTATTGAATCTATACATAAACACAATTATATACATAGGTATACAAATCCGTGTTCATTTACTTTCAATCTAGTCCTGTTTCCTTAATTATGCTATATTTAACTTTTTTATGTTGGGTTAGCTTCTAATGGAGCCTGGTATAACTTTAAGTTAATTTCCAGAATATGCTGTTAGAATTATTAGTCTTGTCATGACTCTTACCAAAACCATTCCAGGATATGATGTATCATTTCAATATTTTGTGTTGCAGGGATATCAAGCCAGACAACTTATTACTAGATAGATATGGACACTTAAGGCTGTCAGATTTTGGACTTTGTAAACCATTAGATTGTAGTACACTTGAAGAAAAAGACTTTTCTGTGGGTCAGAATGCGAATGGACCTACACAGTCTGATGAGCGTGCAGCTCCAAAACGCTCACAACAGGAACAATTGCAACATTGGCAAAAGAATAGGAGGACACTCGTAAGTTTGCTTCTATTATGTTTCTATCCCTTTTTATTTATTATGATAGTAAATGTAATTATAAAACTTGTCCTAGTGTTTTCCTTATGTTTTAGTGAAATATTAAGGTCATATGCTGAAGCCGATAAATTGTAAATCCCCTCTCATCCCACCCTACTCAAAATGTGAAATAAATAAATAAATATTTAATGACTGTTTCCTATTGTTGAGGGTATCTGTGTGGAAGATACCTTTCATATCTCCATGTGTTTAAGATAGTGTTCCTTCTACATTTCTCTGTGCATTTGTAATCGTAAATGTATAAATGTTGCAGGCTTATTCCACAGTTGGTACACCGGATTATATTGCTCCAGAAGTTCTTTTGAAGAAAGGTTATGGGATGGAATGTGATTGGTAAGTTTTATGCATGTGAATGCTGACATGTTAACTAATATTGATTTTGCTCTGCTCTGTATGCTGCATGTATGTCATAGTGTCCAGCATTATTCTTTTAGTTCATTGCTGGATGCTTCTGGGACATTTTTTTTTTTTGTTTATTTATTTATTTTCCATTCAAATGTTTTGTAAACATATTGGGTTTTGCTTTGTTTATATGGAATTTGTGAATAAAAACATAATAAGATCAGAGTTAAATGATTTATTCCTGACCAACAATGGTTATAAAATTTTCAGGTGGTCACTTGGAGCTATTATGTATGAAATGTTGGTGGGATATCCACCTTTTTATTCTGATGATCCAATGTCAACATGTAGGAAGGTAATCTTTCTAATAGAAATCTTTCTTGTGACTAATGTTTGTGTGATATTCAGCTTTGTTTTTATAGCTGTACTGGACACTCACTATACATTATGGCTTTTGCTGTTGGCACTTATTTTAAAATTTCTGTTTGGCAATTTATCACCTTATGGGCTTGCTGCATGCTTTGTTATAAGTGGAGTTGCATTGAGTATGGAATTTGGGAAAGGTTGTTGCAATGACAACTATAAGTTGAAGCCAACTATGTCATTTAAGATTTTATATTCTTTGATTGATAGTCAATTTTTTTTTTCTTTTTTGTGTGTGTTAGCATGTATGCTATACTGTCTCATTTGATGTTTTCAAACATTTTTAATTTCAATTATAAACATGGATTACGATTCTCTAAAGTATACACTATCTCCGAAGTGTAGAGCAAGGTTATTAAAAACTCGAGTTTATGTAAACTTGTGAAGTGTCGTAAACTCAAATTGTAAACTTGTAAGAGTTTATCTCATGCAAAAATAATATTTAAAAAGCAACAATAATGAAATAAAGCTCAATAATAAAGTTAAAATAATACTTAAATAGTCAAATCACATGATAATAATGTGATTTTGGTGCCTTAATTGTAAATGTAGTGTTTGACAGGGTTTAATAAAAAGTGGTGCCCTAATTTCAAATGGTGTTATTTTGGTGAAATATGTGATTTTCTCTTTGTTTTATTAAAGTCATAAAATCAGGTGTAAATTCAAGAGTTTACTCAAAAATGAATTTACATGCAATTTGACACAATTTCCTTACCTAAGAATTAAGATCATAAACTTGTAACCCGAACGAGTTTACAACTTAAAATGCTCGTTTAACAATCATGGTGTAGAGTGGCATTGAGATTTATCAAAATTGGGTAAACAATGCGGTGTCCCAAATAGCAATGCACGAATTTTTTGAAAACTATTTCTTTTGATTTTCTCTTCAATGGTAATCCATCAGAGATTCCCAAATATTAACACTTAAAGATAGGTAGTGATGTTTGGAGGACTCGGGCTTAGCATAAATGAAAGGAGAGACAGAAGGGTGGCATTGAGATTTGTCAGCATTGTTTACACAATACTGTGTTGCACATTATTTTATTTTATTTTTATATTTCCATTGTGAGATCCATTGATTAACCAAATTTCTAAAAATTTAATATTTTGACCAAGGTCAATGATTATTGTCGATTTCACCTAGTGGGATAAGGTTTGATTATTGTTGTTGTTCCATTATATGTTCCTAATATAATCCATGATATAGTGTGATATGCTCCTTAGAAAAGCAAAATGCTACACATATAATTAGAGTTTTTGTAAATTTTGTAGAACATGGTAATTGTATCTTGGTTTTTCTTTTTCTTTTTTTGCAGATAGTAAACTGGAAATCTCACTTGAAATTTCCTGAAGAAGCTAGACTATCCCCTGAGGCTAAAGATCTTATTAGTAAACTTTTGTGTAATGTCAACCAGAGGTTGGGGTCAAAAGGTGCAGATGAAATAAAGGTGTTGTACGGTGTGTCCTTCTCTAAATTCTTAGATTTGTTGTATTATATATTTGGATATTAAGTTACCTTTGTGTTCTATCCATCTTTAGGCTCATCCATTCTTCAAAGGTCTTGAATGGGATAAACTTTATCACATGGAAGCTGCATTTATTCCTGAGGTCAATGATGAGTTAGATACTCAGAACTTTGAAAAGTTTGATGAGGTATGAGTCTCAAATTCTTCCTTATTTTGTGTAGCTATGCCTTGTTAAATTTTTCTCATTTTATCTTTTTGCATCTGCAGTCGGACAGCCAAAGTCAATCATCATCTAGAGCTGGTCCATGGAGGAAGGTAATCTTAGGCATTTCCTTCACTGTTGGTATTTGTCAACAAGTTGTATATATAGTTAGTTGGTTGATATGGTGATAAAGTAGTATGTTGTTCCTGTTCAATGCCTATATTTTTTTAATATAGGGAAGAGCAAAGAAAATCAATTATTTTTGTTTGTACTTTTAAACCTATCTGATAATTATAGTATTTATATCCTGTTTTTAAAATCCTACTTGAATGGCTATGTGTAAGCTGTTGATGTGCCTTTTAGATAGAGTTCATGGGTTGACTTGGTAGTCAGTAGTTGAGATGGTATAAACAATAGGCAGGGCTATGGGAGTAGGAAAAATGTCTTGTAGCAAGCAAATTTTGTTTCTATTTGTTCTCCTTTCACTTTTAAGACAAATTTTGGCTTTTGAAACCGCTTGACTTAATTTAAGACAAACTAACTCTTCTTTTCAGAATCATGATATGAATAATGTTTCGATAATACACTTATAATATCTAACTAATATTATACTCCAGCAAACAAGAATGCACTTTTCCCTGGATTCTTAGGAAGCTTAAGTTATGGCTCAACCAAGAAGGTGTATTTGTTGGGCTGGCTATAATGTTCCTGCTAGGTTAGCAATAATTTTCATGATTGAGTTGTTTATATCTGTTTTAGTCTCGAATATACTCCAGGAAAATCTTGTCAGCACTTAATAAAAAACTCACTGGTGTTTAACTTGATAGCAGTGGCTAATGGACATGTCTTTCTCAAGTTCAAGTTATCTTGTTTGTATACTGACATCTGTGATACTTTCTTTCAATATTTTCTCGTCATCATATAATTCTCAGTCTTCAAATTTTCAGGTTGTTACTTTAAGCTGTTTTCTCACCTGTATTCATTTCCCCATATCTTATTCTTCTTCTGTTGTTTGTTGGGATGTACCAGATGCTTTCGTCTAAGGACTTGAATTTTGTTGGATATACGTACAAGAACTTTGAAATTGTCAACGATTATCAAGTTCCTGGGATGGGTATATTCTTTTTCTCTTTTCACTCATGAGTATTATTTTATGTTAAAATGTTTGCTGCAAGGTTCTATTTCGGCTATGGCTGTGGCTATTATATTTGTTTGATAAAAGAGAGACATTCATAATCATTTGAGTAAATGATCATTACAGAGCTCTCCATGAAGATGTTTCCAACTTAGATACATTAACCAAAAGATTTAGTGCTTTAGTCAGTAAAAATACATTTACCAATCTTAACACCATAGTCACCACTACTCTTTTGGTTAATGTCCTCATAGGGGAGTATTTTGTTACCAAGGCTTCCTATATGACTAAATTATATCTCTCCCTTTACTTTTTCATATAAACAAAGAATCTATTTTTCAGCAATCTTAACTATAGTTCTATCAACTTCAGAGTCAGCATATAAAAAGAAGACAATAGCCCATGCTGTCTCAGGGATAAAAAATATAATAGAGAAAAGATAATAACAAGCTGGAGGATCAGGAGTTATAAAAGCAAAAGAAACAATAAAAGCATTAGTTGTTAAACCAAAATTACATGCAAATTAGGGATAAGATAATCAATCTACTGGCATAACCATTATGTGCTATACTTGGTCCATATGAAGGGATCTGGCCCGTCTTGCATTTTATTCATTCCACCCTCTGAGGTTGGAAGGCCAATATATAAAACCACATCAATGAGGTGATGTCTTGTCAGGTTGGAATGACGAAAATGGGTGGGTGGGGTTTGGTTTTGTTGAAAAGAAAAATATTTTAAATTGAGTTTGTGTTTTTGCTAATTGTTTTTACATTTTACCCTTGAAAATGTTCTGGAGGTTCATGTCAATGTTTCTTCTGAGTTGATTTTTCCATCCTTGCCCTTACAGCTGAACTTAAGAAGAAACCTTCCAAATCCAAGAGACCATCTATCAAGTCGCTTTTTGGTAGGCTTTTTCCGTGTGACCATTTGATTCATTGAAACTGTTCTGTTTAGAATGTTTTATTCTTTGCATACTCTGTTTTTGGCATGTAACCATAAATCTTTTCATCCGATCAAACTGGCTGACATAGATCTTGAATCAGAAACACCAGAGGCATCTGAGGAGGAACCACATACTCCTGTGGGTAATCAACCTGCTCAAGGAAGCTTTTTAAATCTCTTGCCGCCCCAATTAGAGGGGTCTCATAGCCAGAAGAATCATCCTCCTAGGTCCTAACTACACAATCTCATGATCTATCCGAATACTCAACGAATGGCTTTTACAAATCTTTTTTCTCAGTGGACACAACTATTGAATTGTAAATCTCTTGTTGTTCCGTGTACTTTGTCAAATACCCATGTCAGTGAATACTGGATACCATGTATATTCCTGTTGTCTTTTGCATTAATGATAGCAGAACATTTTTCTTCCTGTGACACTAGTGTAACGACTCACTGACAAGTTAATTTTGCTGAACAAGACCTGTGTGAATTATTTGTTCATTAATGTCAATAATGTGTAATTTGTGATGGTTAGTTTATTAATATAATTGCCATGGACTTTTCCTATAATTATTAGATGGTTACAGCATTTTATGCATTTTTCTGCACACTGTAAATTCTTCTATATAATCTTCAGATATATTTGCATCATATTATTTTATCATTGTCCGTTTTTGTTAGAATCAATTATTTCCTTTAAACTTCCCATTGCCTAGTCGATCAATAATTTACAGCAGAAATTATTTGTTTTCCATTTTCTAAATGAGATAGACTTAAACCATATTATATACATATTTGGGAGAAATTATTTTAAAAATAATTATTTACTTTTTATACTCTCAACAAAATTATAAAAGTAAATGATTATATATTCAAAATTACTTGAACCAACTCTTAATAGGTTGATGATAATTGCCCAAAGCAACAGATAGTGCTTGGAACACAAACAACTGGGAAGGGGGACTAAGTGCATGTTTGAATTTTAAAAAAAAAAACTATTTTCTAATAACTCTCTCGCAAAATTAGTAAAAGTAATTGATTATTTCCTTAAAATAAATTATACAAAAAATGTAGTAAATATTTTAGAAGCATATCAGTCCTATTTAAAAAATCACATGGACTTAAATTAATTGCAGGCAAATACGAGACTCTTGTGACTGACGCTGCTGCAGGACCATTCCAAGGAAGAATGATTCGAATACACTGTTGAGGCGTTGACCCAAAAAAAAAAAAAAAGAGGAATATACTGTCACAACTTGGGAGTTAGCATGGGCCTAGATACTCTTTCTTGTCCGTGGTGTTTCAACTTTTATTTTATATAATAAAAATTATTTTTCAAAATATTATCACTAAAATTAGTTGAACAATTTATGATTAATACTTGATTGTTTTTAGTAGTATGAAATGGTACATAACTATTATATTTATTAAAATATTATTTACATCATTATATATATAAACACTTTTCTTATATACTGACTCCTTTACTCTAGTTTGAACACTTGATTTCCTTACACATTACAGTGACACTGACACTTTCTATTTTATGCATTGGAACGGTCCTATGCTTCCTTTTATTTTATTTTCCCTAAATACAAAATAATGGTATTCTATACTATATCCAGTGAAGCTATTGCTTATCAACAAGCCTGAATCAGGAAAATGTCAAATATGGTGAAATATTAATATGACAATATACAGTGACATAAGAATCAGCCCACAGATATGGATACCATTTCTTTTTATGTGCCGTGTCGTTTAAAGCATATATTAGAAAAAAAGAAAAAAGAGAAAAGAACTTGACCCAAAATAGTACACAACTACACATTACAAGTCGGCAAGCTTACAAAATAAATCATGATTAACTGTATGTTATTTATTAATGAATAGAGTTGCATTCTAATAAAAATTAGATTAGACAATAAGCTTTGTATATTAAACTGTCATTGTTGCTTGGTAAATTAACTTGGACGGTCGTTCCAAGCCCCTGCAGCCACAATAAACTACCGTTTAGGCATCACTTTCATCTAAAAGGTGGTTTAATAACTGAATTGATATTTGTTATTTTCACTTAATAATTAAAGGTTTTAGCCTATTGTAGTTAAAGATGTTTTCTCAATATCTTAACTACTCGAACTTAAGCTTTGTTGTTACGCTAATTAATTAATGCTACTAAATAATACATTACATGAAAGATGTTCTAATCTAAAAAAAATTGTCTTTCTTTCTCTCTTTTGTTTTTGTTTTAAACCTCGCTCTCAAACTTATTTTTATGAGATTCAAAAAAATTAAATAGTAAAAACACATTGCTCACAAAAGACCTTAAGAATCCATGTTTCTAATCTTTATTTGATGATAAAGTAAGTAATATAAACAAGGCAAGTCGTTTATAACAATTTATTATGGTCTTATTTAATAAATTTATGAATTAAAATTTAGTATATTTTTTTTAAAATTTCTATTATTTAACTTTTTGATATAACTTGCTTTTAACTTATGAATTTTTTTATTAATTTTTTAATAAAAAATCATCTAAAAATTTTAGCATATACTCTAAATGACAAGAAATTTTACCATGTCCATGGTGTTTGTTGTAGCGTCTAAATATTTTGTGGATGTGTCTAAAATTAACGAAGAAAACTTTCTTTAATTGTTTAATTTAAGATCTTATAATATTTTCTCCAAACTACAAAAGTTTCCTTAGTGTTGCAGTTAAATTACTGGGCAAGGCATATGTAAGGAAAATAGCAAAGATCGATTCCTGTAATATATACATACATACACACACATATATATATATTCCAATTAGACAGATCGACTTAAGTTTTATAAAATTATTTTTTTAAGTTAAAGATCCAAGTGTGATATGTTTATTTGATATAAGATTTTTTTTAATATGTTAAAATATTTTTTTAATTATGTAAATAAATAACTTAGTTTTTAAATAAAGTAATAAATATACTATCTAAAAGTTTTTATTATTGATAATAATAACTTATATAATATTATTATAACATTATTTATATTTTTTTAATAACATAAAACCTAAACTTTAATTAAATAATATTTAAAAAAAATCTTAACTTGTCTAATAAATAAGCATGACATAAATTTGGTCATAAACAGCCAACAAACGACATAAAATGTTTTGAGAGCCAATCTTTAAAAAGATGAAAACAGAGACAATATCTGTCCGCACTACCGCAGCAAATATGAATGCATTATCTGAATAATTTCCATTTCACTAAGAAGCAACAATGCATTGCATAGCATAGGCATTATGCACACCAACGTAATCTATGACATGGCATTTTAATTATTGCAATTTCTCAGTGCTTCGTTGCCAAGTCAGAGACCATTAACATAAACGACTCAAAAGCAATTTTCACTACATGACATTAATCATATTATTTTATAAAGGGTAGTTGCTATTTCTCCATCGCCATAATCACGACAAATAAAAATGTCCCTTTCCCAGCTATTTACAACAACTTTGAAAAATAGCTCAAACTATTGAGCTATGTAATTAAAAGCTTGAAAATATTTAGCTTCTTAATATAATGCTAAAATCACTGCCAAATCGACGTGTAATGATTAGCTTCTAGTGACTTATCTTTTTCTAAATGGCTCTATTATGCCGGCCATTCCATGGAATTGGTAATGGCATAGACAAGCCCACAATTTTATTTTATTTTATCATCAAATTTTGCCTTTAAAAGTCACATAAACCTCTTCTTGAAAACCCCCCTCTCACAGTACCTCCTCTCTTTTCTAATTTCTACATATCTGTGTTTTGGTGCATGTTTCTTTAGGTCTCATAATTTTCTTATACATACATAAGTAGATAACAAAGCATTTGATATATCTCTCTCTATGATGAAAGTGGGATTTGAGGTGGTTCATGCAAATCCAAACATGATTCATCCTCACATGCATGGAACTTGGGACTACCCAAATATTTCTGCTAATTCCTTGCCATTACCAGCTCCAACCCCATCAAACCTATATCCAAAGCCAGCATCAGAAAATCACTGCCTAAACTTGGGTCAAAATGAGCTTTGTGATTGGGTGGAGGAGCACATTGGTGATATTACCAAACACCTTGTTGAAGACTTACCAGAAACCACACCTAATAACTTGCTGGCTAATAACCCAACAAAGGCTTCTCAAAACAACCTTGTTCCCTCACTTTCACCCAATTTCAATCCAAGAAAACCCTCATGTTGGAGAACCCAATTTGGCTCCTTCACCAATGAGCCCTCAAAAAACAACTACACCAATCTCCACATTCAAACAAACACCTCAGGTTTAGATCCTGACCACAATGTTTATGATCATGAGTTGAACCTAATAACCATTCTAATGGAGTGTGCAGTTGCAATCTCAGTTGAGAACCTTGGTGAGGCTCACAAGATGTTACTTGAACTAACACAAGTAGCCTCACCCTACAAAGCATCATGTGCTGAACGTGTTGTTGCCTATTTTGCAAAGGCCATGGCTAGCAGGGTGATTAACTCTTGGCTTGGTGTGTGTTCCCCTTTGGTTGATCACAAGAGCATTCACTCAGCATTCCAAGTCTTCAACAACGTTTCCCCTTTCATAAAGTTTGCTCATTTCACTTCCAACCAAGCAATCCTTGAGGCTGTGAGCCATTGTGAAAGCATTCACATCATTGACTTAGACATCATGCAAGGCTTGCAATGGCCAGCTTTCTTCCATATATTAGCCACAAGAATGGAGGGTCCCCCTCAGGTCACAATGACAGGTATGGGAACCTCAATGGAACTCCTTGTTGAAACTGGAAAACAACTCTCAAACTTTGCAAGAAGGCTTGGCATGTCATTGAAGTTCCACCCTCTTGCAACCAAGTTTGGAGAAGTTGATGTTTCCATGTTGCAAATAAGGCATGGTGAGACACTAGCAGTGCATTGGTTGCAACATTCTTTGTATGATGCAGCTGGACCTGATTGGAAAACATTGAGGCTTCTCGAGGAGTTGGAGCCAAGAATCATCACTTTGGTAGAGCAAGATGTTATCCATGGAGGGTCTTTCTTGGACCGTTTTGTTGCCTCCTTGCACTACTACTCCACACTTTTTGACTCTCTTGGAGCATATTTGCACTGTGATGATGCTAGTAGACATCGTGTGGAACATGGCCTTCTTTCTAAGGAGATTAACAATATATTAGCCATAGGAGGCCCTGCAAGGAGTGGTGAAGACAAGTTTAGGCAATGGAGAAGTCAGCTTTGTAGGCATTGTTTTGTGCAGGTTCCAATGAGTGTGAATTCAATGGCTCAAGCACAGTTGATATTGAACATGTTTGCACCAGCTCATGGTTATAGCCTTGCACAAATTGATGGCACATTAAGGCTTGGATGGAAGGATACCAGCTTGTACACTGCTTCTGCATGGACCAGTAGAACTTACTAGCAAATAATAAAGGTTCTTAGCTTTTTGGGCTTTGTTATGAGGTTTGAATATTGGGTCTTAAAGCAATTTTACTTCATCAACTACTTGCATGAAAATTGAGCTGTATATTGAGAAATTTTATTATAACTTTTAGGCAATAAACAATTCTGTAATTATATTCACGTTTACGCAATTTATGATTACCTTAAAATCTTGTTTGCTTTTATGCGTCATGTTGAGTGTAGACTCCAATGCATGTTCACAAATAAGTTACCCTCAACAGTAGTAGAACTTACTAATATATAACTTATAAAAGGTAATATTAATGAATTTCATGTCAACTATTAACTTATTGAATAAACATTTAAATAAGTTATATATTTAAACCTGCACGTTTTAAATAATTACATCCTAAGTAAATTAATAAAGTTAACATACTATATTAAATATTATATATATATAGTTTTACAAATAAGATTTCATTATTTTACTTAAAATAATTTATTTATTCACGAGATAATTTAGAAAAATCTGTCCAGAAAAAGAGTTACCAATTGGATGTGTTATGAGCTTTTTCTTCCATTTTTTCGGGGCCTCAGAAGGTACCTGAATCTTTCAACTTTCCATCTCCTTGTCTCATTGGATGCTTCCATATCTTGTTTTAACTACAAAAACGTTGAAATTGTAATTATATATAAACGGGAATCTTATTCACATCAACATAGTATGAGAAAAATGGGCAGAGAAAAGAGAAGTTTATTCCAAATTGAGACCCCTAATAAGTGGTAAAAGAGACACTAGTTGAATTTGTGATGTCTAACAAAGTTATATCTGATAATGTCAAAGTTTTTTGCACTTTTTTTCTTTTAACATTTCTTTTTTTTTACACACATCATTACAAGTTTATTTATATAAATTTTGAACATAAATAATAAATTAAAAGTATACTGAATTTTTACATTAAAATGAAAATGAAATCAATATTTTTCTGGCAGATAAATAATGTCATTTTATCAGGAAAAAAGAAATAGAGTAAAGGCAGAAAGTTAGTCAATTTGTGAAAGGGTAATAAGTTTGTAAAATTCAACATCAAAATGTCATATCCATACATAAAGCCCAGTGATGTTCATAATAAATCCCTATCAATTATTGCAAATAGTTTGCTACTATTCTATAATTATAAAAGCCTTCATTATTATGTTCTTGTTGGGTATTGGGCATCTCATTGATTGCTTGGGGTATGCTTGGAGTGGGCTCACTGGGATTTATAATTAATCGCACGTGCCACTCGTGTATAAATTACATAAATAATAAACCATTTATCACTCTTATCTTACCTTATTTTTTAGGGTTTTGGATTTTATGCACTCGTGAGTCGTGACATATCGATTATTATAAATTATACTCTTCTTTTTATGAATTTATCCCTTTTCACCATAACATTCAAGTATTTTAAAAGGCATAATAATATATATATTTTTTACAAATGATTGTAAAAGATGTTGAGAAGAGATTGTTTGGGTTAATAAACCTGATTTTGTGACTTTATGTATATTTTTCTTTTAAAGGAACAAGTTAAATTTTTTAATAAACTTTGTAACTTGAATAAATTCTTATTCCATAATTTTTTAAAATAAATATTTAATTAATCTGTTTATTAAAATTTAAGATTATTTTATATTTTTTAACACTTTTAAAAATTGAATCTTTTTGATACATCAAAGCCCTCTTTTATCTTTGCTCCATTCTTTACGCAATAAAAAAGTTTAGTCTTTTGTGTATAGAATTATAAGCATTAAATATCCATTAGGGAGTCTGACTCTTTTTACCCTTTTTTAAGAAAAGGTAATTTGAAGTCTTTATTCTAACTAGTTAATTTAAAGAAGGTGACAACTTTTAATAAAGGAAGGTAGAGAGAAGTGAAAAACAATACAGAAGAAATACAGCAATAAATAATTTTGAGAGTACTTTATATAATCAAAACCATAAAAGTTTTATTCACATCTATTTCTGTAAATTAGCACTAAAAGAATTTTTTTTAATAAAATTTCTAGGGCATGATATAAAATGTCAAACTGAAGAAAATGATGTTATCAATATTTCTTTTATCAAAAATAAATCTTATTAGTTTAATTTTTAAATTTAAGGCTCCCATAAAGTAAATTAATTTTATATAATTTAAAATTCAATTAATATTTTATTATTCTTTCTATTTTAACATGTAGTAAATTATTTAAAATATAAATAAATAACTATAATTAAATTACATATATAAAATTATGTAAGATTTTATATCACTATCATTATAATAATATCATAAATCAATAGTTTGAGAAAAAATATTAAAGATATTACGTTTCTAAATTTGATAGTTAATATTGTTTCATATTTATTATACATAAAAAATAATATAAAGACATTAATTATATTTCTCTAACTAAATGCTATTTTCTAAATTAACAGATAAGAAAGGAGGGATGTAACAGATTCCTCTGTTTTACAGAAAAGAGACGAAATATATGTTTTTTAAACAAATAAGACCAAAAAAGCAAAAGAGAAAGAAGAAACGCAATCCCCATTATAATAAGACAGCAATCAGCAACAGTTGCTTTGACAAATAGAAGTGAATCAAAATTGACCAAAGCACCAGCAGCAATTATACAGAAAAAGAAGATAAAAAGCTCAAAAAAAGAAAAAGACAATAATAATAATAAATAAATAAATAAATAAATAAAAGAAATTAAGAAAAACACTTTTGGCTTTTGACAGCACAAACATGGACGGCATACAGAGAAGGAATCGGATAACCCCTCGTCTCTCTTCTATTTGAAATTTTAATAAAGAAAAGAAAAAGAAATTAAACAAACACAGTTCAATTTTACACGTAAAAAAGGAATAAACGAACAATAGTAACATTTTTTTATATATAAAAAGCCATATATAATAAGTTTTTAATAAAAATTATTATATATATTTATGTTATATGATGCTGTACAAATTAAAAAAATAGTAATAACAATAAGTTAGTAGCAAATAAAAAAACATAAAAAGAAAATTACAACCAAGAAAAGAAAACAGCGAATTCTATTCCTATAATCTGATGCGTGGTTTTTTCCGTTCACAATTTTCTCTTTCTCTCTCCTCACACCAAACTGCAACAGCTTCCTCCATTCATCTCATTACTTTCTTATTTGCGGAGTTTCATTTGTGTCTTTCTCTCTGATCTTTCACGGACTCCTGTTCGTTTTGCTTTGTCAACCTATTTTGCAAAAAAGTTCTCTTTTTTTTGGCCCCTTTTTTGGTTTCTTAAACGCGTTAATCATTCTGGTTTTGTTGGGTCAATGGGGTATCAATTTCTAGAATCACGGCTTCAGATTTTGGGGTGTGGGGGTTATTGATTTGGGTTGAAGGAATGTAGCTGGAGGAGGTGGTTTTGTGCTCTGAATAAGAATTTCATCCTCATTGATGGGGATGTTGTAAATTTATTAAATTTGATTCATTTCATTTACCCTTTGTCCTGGATACGCTGAATTTGATGACTTGATTGTGAAATCTCATTGGATTTGGGTGGATAGTTGAAGAAAGTTTGGATTTTTTACTCTGGTGAATCTGTGGATAATCGGTTTGGTTTGGTCCTTCTTTTTCCCTCTCCATTTGGGATTGTTCACAATCACTTGTTGAATTGGGCACAAATCTAAGAAGAAAATATCCTTGCAGTTGCTGGCTGTAGCTGTATTGAAGGTTATTTCATTATGGAGCATGTGATTGGTGGGAAGTTTAAACTGGGAAGAAAAATTGGGAGTGGGTCTTTTGGGGAGCTCTATTTAGGTATGTTCATGTTCCTTCCCCCCACCCCCACCCCCACCTTTTTTGTTTTATTTTATTTTTGCTTCATTTCATTTTTTTTTTTGTATTGTTTTATGTTTTATTGGTTTAAAGGTGTTTGTTATATTCTTTCTTATGTTAGGTGTTAATGTACAAACTGGAGAGGAGGTGGCTGTAAAGTTGGTATGTGAAGTTCTGTACAAGCTTTTAACCCTTTTTATGTTTGGATGGGCCACAATTTTTCATTATTGAATTTTTTCATGAATTTCTTGAGATGGGTTGATCTTATTTTTTTTCCTGGTGGTTCTGAATGTATTTATTGTATATTGTCTTTAAAATGTATGTTGATAATAACAGTGTCATACTTATGCTTTCTTTACTATATAAATTAATATGCTTTTTGTGGTCTTTTGTTATTCTATGTGGTAGACATTGTCACTTTGGAAGGTGAAGCATCCTAAATTTTTTATCAATGTTACAGAAGTTCCAATGAGTAACAGTGATACCTGGAATTTGACATTAAATATGATTTTTTGGTTGAAATAAATAACAAAAGAAATAATATCCCTTTTACTCTCTACTGTTAAGGATTAACTTTTGAACTTTAAGTGGTTGGTTTTTTTCTTAAGCTTTAAAAGAAATAAACAAGTTCTTTTTATGGATTGAAGTGGCATGCGAAATGTCATGTTATGTTTTTCTTTGTAAGTTTGTTTTACAGCTGCTGGATGCTCATTTTGGCTCATATTTGACAACCCAGTTTATGTTGGATTGCTCATAATACTTTGCTGGGTTTTGAGATTAATTTTTTTCTCTGTTTCAAATTTGTAATCCTTCTCTCTTGTTTTGTCAAAATCCAGGAACCTGTAAAGACCAGGCATCCACAGCTTCACTATGAGTCAAAATTGTACATGCTTCTTCAAGGAGGAAGTAAGTCTACACCCTCCATCCTTTTAGTATTGAGGATACTAAAAGAATTCTCTAACCTAATGCTATAAGTTTTGGGCAAATTTATCTTAATTGTTATATAATATACACATTTGTCTCTGTTTTCTTGATTCTGGCATATCACATGATTGGTGCATCAGATCTTCTTTTATTAATGAAATCAGAACCATTAGTCTCTAACCATGGCCTCATATCAAAATGTTTGAAACAAAGATGTCTCCATTTGAGTAATCCAATATGATTTTTCCTTTATGAAGCGGGGATTCCCCACCTCAAATGGTTTGGAGTTGAGGGAGACTACAATGTCATGGTTATTGACCTTCTTGGACCAAGTCTAGAAGATTTATTCAATTATTGCAACCGGAAGTTCTCATTGAAGACAGTGTTAATGCTTGCTGATCAATTGGTAAGTCTGTTTGGAAACTATTTTTGAAGACAGCACTTTAACTAATGATAATAATGTTTTATTTGCTTCATATTCTTGTTTGTTTTCAGCTTAACAGAGTTGAATATATGCATTCAAGAGGTTTCCTTCACCGTGACATAAAGCCAGACAATTTTCTAATGGGCCTAGGACGAAAAGCAAATCAAGTAAGTTATTGTGGAGAATTTCTTTCAACTTTTGTTTGACTATTTTTTTAACTTTCTATTCCCTTTACTGTTCTGGAAGCAATATGCCTTTTACCAAGTTTGATGAAGAGTAGTGGAGGAACTTAAATGATCTACATATTATCTTCATAGACCTGGAAAAGGCATATGATAGAGTGCCAAAAGAAGTCTTGTGAAAGACTTTGGAGAAGAAAAGAGTGCATGTTTCATATATTCAGGCAGTCAAGAATGTCTGTATATATGACAGATGGGGTCAAAACTAGTGTTCAAACAAATGGTGTGCAGGTGTGGTCAATTTTGATCCTTTATCTTTTTGCCTTGTTATTGAGAGTTCTACTGAGCCAGGAGCAAATGGCTCTTACATGGTTTTTTCAGATGATATTGGTCCTGTTTAGGTGAACTTGTAAATAAGTCCTTATAAGAGAAGAAAAACAAAACAAAAAATGAATAAAACACCTCCCATAAGTTAAAATTATCTTATGCTTACTCTATTTTTTAGAAGTTACTCTCATTTAACTTCTTTAAAACTTAAGTTATTTTTAAATTATGAGAGAAGTTTTATTCCTTTTTCATATTATTTTTCTTCTATTACAAGGACTTATCCATAAGTTCACCCAAAGAGACCTGTAGTCTTTGTTGAAGAGTTTGAGGCTAAAGTTGTGCAGAGAAGCTTTAGAATCACATGGTTTATGATTAAATAAAAGTAAAGTGTAGTGTATGGGATGCAAGTCAAGCAAGAGGCCTTTTAGCATTTGCTTATTAGAGGTGAAAATTGGAGATTATATTAAGTTGCACAGTGATAGGAATTTATGAAACCAGTAACTAAGTCTCTGAACACCAATATATATTGACAACCAAGAACTATCTTGTCTTTATCATATAAAGTGATGAAGAGAGGGATATTAGGTGTTATTTGTGATTGAAAGGCCTATCAAGATCGAAGAAAATTTGTCTGTACAGCCCAAACACGCATTAAGCAATAAATTGCCAATAAAATGCATAAGTTAGAGAGATTGCTGTGGTATATGAGTTGACATAAAAGGTAATTTTATGAATTGTGATCTAATGTGTTGTTATTGCAGTTTAGAAGATTCTGTTTCTTTTTTTTACTGTCTTTGATATAAATGGAAGATTACACATTGAAGTGATTCTCAACTTCTCATGCATAAAAAAAAAAAATCAAAATATAAGCTTGGTTGAGTGATATTAGGAAATGGCAATTATATAATCTGATTCCCATATTTGTCCTGCATTTTCTCAAGGGTATTTGGGCTTCTTCTTGGGCCTTTCCTTTTCAATCCTGAACAAACTTCACCAGTGCATTGTTCTTATTTTGATACTGTATGCAGTTTAATTCATAAAATTATTATACACTCAACTTTAGTTTAAAAATAAAAACATTTTAAAAAAAATTAGATAACCCATCGTGGGTTATGAAATACTAGTTTCCTTTATGGGAGGATGTGTTTCTTCTTTAGTTTAGTGACTTGCACTGTTGGTATTGTTTCTATTCATATAATAGTCCTTTTTGTCCAACAAATTTGAAAAAGAAAAAAGTAATATCCTTGAGCATAAACTTTGAGTGGATCTTAGTAATTGTGCTTGGAACCAACATGTAGGAATAATGGTCCTTGAAAGTGAGATACTTTAAAGTTGGTGCAAAGTTTTAAGTTTTGACATGTGCAGCTTGTGAGTGACTAGATATTTGCATCAGTTAGTTGACATCGAGCATAACATATTATTGCTGTTCAAAAAGATTATTCTTCAGCTTTTTTTTGTCCTATCTTCCAAGGTTATTAAAACACAAGAGTTTCTGTAAACTCATAGAATATCCTAAACTCGACTTGAAAACTCGTAATCATTTACCTTGTACAAAATTAATATTTAAAAAGCCATAATAATGACATAAAGCACAATAATAAAGTTAAAATCATACTTAAATAGCCAACTCATATTATGATAATGTGATTTTGGTGTCTTAATTGTAAATGTAATGTTTTACAACTTGTGGAGAGGGAAGAAAAGTGGTGCCTTTATTTCAAACTTGTAGAATTGGGTATAAACTCACGAGCTTACCAAAAAAAACGTTTACATGTGATTTGATATGATTTTCTTACTTGGGATATAGGAATTTAAACATCAGTTTAACAATCATGCTATCATCTGGTAGTGGTACAAGAATATAACATGAATAACTTACACCAAGACTATTATCTGGACTTAGCATGAGATGCCTTAATCCTTTTAGAAGGGTTAATCCATAAAATGAAGCTACTTCAATAAACTTCTTTTATTAGCCTCCTTACTGGTCAAAGCAATTGGTTTCTCTAAAGGGAAGATTTTCTTTATCATCTGATATGCTAAGTGATTTCAAAGCATTTTGACTTGATATTCTTTTAGGAAAGAATTGAAAGTAAATATAGTTAGGGATATTTAGAACAGTTGGTTATGGACAGTTAGAGCAGCTAGTTAGAGGCTATCAATTAAATAAAAAAGGGTGGGGGAATAAGAATGGGAAAAAAAATAATTTGGAGAATTAGAAAATTTGTATGAAAAGGAAGCCCTTTGTGTTGGGGAAAACCCTTGGAGGAGAATTCTCTTAAAAAAATTAATCCTCTTTGTTTCTGTAAATTTTTCATTTCTCTTTCTTGTGTTTGTAACATTTTTTTATTCTTCTTTTGTTTTAATTTATGGATGTTATATATACATGACTTGTTTGCCATCTTTTACATCCAATCTATTCTGATGGAATCCTATTCTTTTGTCCAACTAAAATAAACAATTGATAGATTCTTTTAATGGAAATAACTTAGTTAAACATGCAGATTTCATTCTTTTAACTATACATCATACTGGGTATCTCATTTCAGGTGTACGCCATTGACTATGGCCTTGCTAAAAAATATAGGGATCTTCAGACTCATAGGCATATACCATACAGGTTGGTTTTATCCTTGGTATTTCAGGAGAGTTGCAATATTTAGATATGCAACAAAACTTAGGCAAAACAAATCTTATATTGCTTAAGTAATTGCAGAAATATTCCTTTCTTTATTTCTATGCATTTGCATCAACTTTAGATCTTATTATGCTGTTTTTCTTGTGGAAAGTCACTTAAAAGTAGGTAATATTAGTATACTGTAATAGTAATAATAATAATAATAATAATAATAATATAATGATAATGATAATGATAATATCAGACTAGCTTTGACAAATTCCCACTGGTAGAATAGTGTGTGATACTCATCCAAACTCAACTCTTTGCATCAGACACCCTGGTTTGAAATATAGCCCCTTTGATCTTGATTCTTTTCTAAAAATGATATTTATGTTCCTTCATAGGGAAAACAAGAACCTTACAGGCACAGCACGCTATGCAAGTGTCAACACTCATCTTGGCATTGGTTAGTAATATTTTGTGCTTGTTTTTTCCTTTTTCTGTACAATAATTGGAGGTAAATCATTACGTTATTAGACTTGAATGTTTTCTGTAAACTAATTGTATTTATTTGGTTGGTAGAACAAAGCAGAAGGGATGATCTGGAATCTCTTGGTTATGTGCTCATGTATTTCTTGAGAGGAAGGTATGGATAATTGACAAATGCATCTACTTTACCATCTACTGGAGGTCGGATGTTATTACAATATTTTTCTCACTATCAGCTTTCTTTTTTACATTTTCCTTCTTCAGTCTTCCTTGGCAGGGTCTGAAGGCTGGCACCAAAAAACAAAAGTATGATAAAATCAGTGAGACGAAGGTGTCAACTCCCATAGAGGTATTATGACTAGCTGGATATGTCTGGTTTTTGAAGAAGTAAACATTATATCTAGATTTGATACTTCAACTTAGGTTAGATAATCTGATGCCATAGAGGTTAACTAGACAGGCCAGGCTTGAAGCAAGCTCCATGATAGTTTGGACATGTGAATGTAAATACTTATGCAAGCGCTGTTGCTGGTTTTTCTTGTTCACTAGAACTTCAATACTAAATATTCTTCTATTTATTACCAAGATCAACTAAATGCTCTGAGGTTGATGTTCACCTTTACATTCTTAGTCGTATATTAATCCTTGCATTCAATAGTTGGCACTTGACATAACCTGTAAAATTTTGCTTCTTCTCTTCCTCTTCTGTCTCTGATGATATTTCAGTTTTATTGATCCTGTTGAAATTGTGCTTGTATAAACACTACAGGTGCTGTGCAAGTCATACCCCTCTGAGTTTGTATCATACTTCCATTATTGCCGATCATTGCGGTTTGAGGACAAGCCAGATTATTCATATTTAAAGAGACTTTTCCGAGACCTGTTTATTCGAGAAGGTATGTTCCCCAAAATATCTAATTGAGGTAATGCATTAAGTGTATTTTGCTGGAAACTATTTAGTGGTTACAAATTGGTCTGGGCATTCTTAATGCAGGCTATCAGTTTGACTATGTTTTCGACTGGACAATGTTGAAGTATCCACAGATTGGTGGCAGCTCTAGAGGGAGGGTTAGTAGTTTTGTACTTGATTGTTTAGATTAAGTTGTCTATTGTTGGTCACTTACTGTAGTAATTGTTGTAATAACAGCTTGGAGCTGGCAAGGCAGCTATGAATGCAGGTCCACCTGTACAAAAACCAGAAAAGATCTCAGGTTCATTCTCTTTCAGCTGAATATGTAAATCAAATTTGGTGTACTGCTAATTCTTAATGAGTCTGACCTTTGGTGGTCATGAATTTTGAATTAATATGTACTGTGCCAGAAAATATTTGTATGTAAGCATTCAACTATAATTATCCTTTTCTTTGCTAGCATCAATAGTCAAACTAATTTGCTTTTCTCAAATTCCTTTTTCTAAAATTTTGGTCATGCAATTTCTTTCAGTTGGGAAAGAGATTCGAGAGAAACTCTCTGGTGCGGTTGAAGCATTCTCCCGGAGGAACCCTGCAAGTCCTGGTCCTCGTGGTGATCACACCAAACATAGGACTTATGAGGATGTACCTGTACAGAAGGATTTGGTAATATTATTCAACAATAGAGAAAATAGGAATCACAGATTTAAGTTTTCATATTGGGGCTTGTTTGGTTTTACATAATGTCTTTTTCCATTTCCTGTTTTCACTAATAAAAGCTCACATTGTTTTCATTTTTCGTACCGAGTAGAGGAAATGGTGAAATCACAAAAATATTTTTTACCAATTCCTGTACAATCTTTGGATTGGAAACGTAACATTTTTGCAATTGTTAATTAAGACAGGAAATGGAAATGGTAAACGACAAACAAACGCTTATTTTCTAGATATCTGGTTTGTTGAGATGTTGCAATTCTATTTATCTTTTCTATGGGGGATTTACAGTTTTGACTTTGGAGTTCTTCGTTCATGGAAAAAAAGTCAACTTGAGAGTGGATTAGTTTACTTTTTCTCAAAATCAACAAGGATGATATTCTTTTTAATTTTATTGCATCTTTACTTTAATTATCAATTATTCAAATATGTTACTTTACCCCTTGTCCTAGTGGGATAAGGCTCTGTTGTTGCTGCTGTTACTCAACCTTGCCTTGTCTTGACAGCATTATGCCCAACATAGTTCCACTCGATATGGCAGCAGTTCAAGAAGAGCCATGATCTCATCAAACAAGCAAATTTCCTCAAGTGATTACACTGGCAGGCTAGCCTCAAGTGGTAGCCGTCCATCTGGTGCTCATAGAATTCAACCTGTGTATGACTCCAAACCAGCAACTTATACACGCAGTGGCTCTACAAGAGGCCACCGTGATGATCCTCTGCACAGCTTTGAGCTTCTCTCTATTAGGAAGTAATCAAGTAAAGGGTGTGTCATTTTGTTGTCATTTCTGAATTCTGACACACCTGAGATGCAAGATCAGCTTTTATTCAAGAGTAGTCTCAAGCATTATGGACAGAAACCGAAGAATCAAGTTCATATGGATATTAATGAATTATCTATGGAGTCATAATGGCATGATCTCCTGACATCTTTTTTGGACCAAGGTGGACTTTTTTCTGCCCTCCAAAATTCCTTCAGAAGGTTTCTCAGTCACTGTAACGTGGTTCTTAAAATGTCAAAAAAATAACTGAGGTTTTTTTTTTATATTTAGTTTCTGTACTAGATGAAACTTGAGTTATAGTAAGTTTTATGATACACTATTTGTTTGTTAAACAATGAGGTCCAACGCTACCTGTATGTTATTTAACACTTTTCCTTAAGAATGAAATTCATTGACAAGCTAGATTTGGTTACAAACTAGCTATTTCAACAATACTTGATCTTCCATTATTCTGATGTGGCTTGGATATGTTGTTTAATTTGTCTCTAAAGAATCAGAACACATGAATGCACGTAGAGTATTTTAAATGGAGCTAGACATGAATACAAATTTTGCTTGTTTTATCCTCCAAGCTGTTGAGTTGTCGCTCTTGCGATGCTTTTAGAAGAGCTTGTGAATTTTATAAAAAAAAAAGCTTATATTAATAGGGATTTTGATATAATTTATTAAATAAATTCTTTAATTTATTCTAATAAATTTTGTTATCAAATTTATACTACAAGTAATCATATAATAAACACTTAATCTGTTTATCTAAATGCACTCTTTAATGATTTGAAGTAAGAGATTACTATTTGATCATTTGAATATAACTCTCGGCAAAAGAAAACGTTCGGCGCTGAGATTTTGACATACACTTGAGTATTTGATTATCAAAAGAAACATATTTAAGAGGTTTAGTTATTTATCTATTATATTAAATATGGAATTTTAGTATGTATCAAAGATATTTCTTAGCAGACTATTTGAGATTAATATGTTTTGAGACAAAGAAATCTTAATATTTTTTCTATAAAGCTTTTTCTTACACTCCGAGTGAGGAATCCATCCTTAGTATTATGACCCAGCAATTTATGAATGGTGTTGGACCTTGGTGGTATATGATATTAATCAAAGGTATTACAACCATTAAAAATTTAGTTGTCACATTAATGAATTTTTTTAAAAGATAATAAATAAAACAAGGTCTCTGATAACAATCAAATGTGTTCGTAAATCCCAGTTGGCTTTGCATGTTTCAATGCTACAGGAAAGTGATAAATTCCTACTTCCACCAAAATCGATTTAGGCTGCCATACAAACAGGCTATAACTAGTTTGCAAAAAATTACTTCCACCTAAGACATTGTTTGTAAGCTTGATTTAGAAAAGGAGGGCTTTTTTAAAAGCTATTACTGTTTGGGAGTCATAAAAAATGGAGGGAAAGGAGTAGAAAATTTTAGAAACCCTTCAAAGCTCCTCATACATGTAATTTTTAATTTTTTCAAATTTAGTTCTTTTTTTTCTCAGAAAAATTTAATATTTAAATAAGGAAGGGATTTAGTCCCCTTCTCTTACCCTTCAAGCATCTTTTTCTTTTTACTCTAAATTCCCCAAAAAACCGTAAGATGTGCATGTATCACATGGAATAGAAAACACATCAATAATTTCAAGGAGAGTATACACATTGAACTTTTGGATTCTAGTTTACATGATGTCTAGTTTTCTTCACAACTTACATGAGAAATTCATACCTTTCTTTGTTTTTAATATCTTTCTTTAAATTATAAGAAAATAACTGTTAGAACTTAGATACCAACCGACATTTCGAGTATTCTTTGTTGTGACTATAAGTTACACAGATAAATTCATATCTTCCTTCATCTTTTAACTTCTTTGAAGCCTACTAAGGATGAAGGAAAAAAGTAATGATAAAAAAATGTTACATGATATATACCTGCTGACATTTTCAGTATTATTTGTTCTGCTTTCCCTTAGGGAGCCAGAATTAATATAAAACACAAATAATTTGAGCACAAACCATTAAAATTTAAGACAAATGATAGGAGTGCACAGATTAATGATAATTGATTCCAAAAAGAAAATGAAATTTCCATCAATTTGTTTTTTGTAATTTCAAAAGCAAATGTTACCTCCAAATCATCAAATCCTTTACTTCTAAACCATAGGTAAGCTAAGCTACAACACATCAATAATTTTTAAAGTATATAAAAGTCTTCAGAAGGAAGCATTGGCTTACAAGCCATGCCCTTTTCTATTGATTTCAATTTATTTTTTTAAGTTTGGAGGCTATGAGAGAATCCTAAGCTCTCATCTTAGTCACCCAACTATTTTCTATTATCCTTTTAATTTAAAATTTAAGTAGTTTTGCTAACAGCTTTTATGTTTCTATTATTTGTTCCTTTTTTCTGGTCTTCAACGTGTATAAAATAGTTGACTCAGTGGATAAGTACACGGTTGTTTTATAACAACTATAATCTCTCACCCATTAACATAGTTGACCAAGTCAAAGGTAGCATGTAGCATGTTGCATGTTGCATCTTTCTCTTATATACATTTATTATAAATAACATAGGATCAGCTGGCTTCTTCAACATTCAGTGCCCGCAATGCAACACTTCAATAATCTTTTATTTCATATTGACGAATAATAAATATAATTAAAGAGCATCAATTGAAAATCTTTTGTTGTATTTGATTGGTACAACAGGTGGTGTATCTTGCACGAGAAACGCATTATTCTCGTGTCTCCTAAGATAGTGATAAAAGACAGCACTTAACAAACAAAATTGACAATGTTAATGTTATAAATAAAAGTTATGTTCCATGACAAAAATATTCGTATAGATGAATGAATAAAATTTATTTAATATATTTTTTGGATAAAATATATTTTTAGTTCCCATCATAAAATTTAGTTCTTATTTTTTTATTACTTTTATTCCTCGTAAGTTTTGAAACTTGTAAAATAGTTTGTTATCACTCACTAATGAGTGACAAGAATTTAGGCATATCATGTTACTTGTAACCTCAAAATAATTAATGATATAATATGACTAAATGTATGTTATGTCATCACAAAATAATAAAAAGAATCATTTGAATATTTATGGGGACTAAACTAAAAAATATTTTTTCGGAGTACTAAAATCAAAATTAAAAATATATTTGTTTTTATTTTTTTATCATTTTAATATATTTTTATTATAAAAATGATTTTTTTTAACACAATTTTGGGAGAAGATGGTGTTGTGTGGTATATTTTTAAGATATATATTAAAAGAATAAAAAAGTGAACAATACAGATGATTATATATAATATTACATATAATACTAAATTTTTAATGTTCAAATAATAAAATTCTTTTCGTTATTTTATAAAAAATAATGAATAAGTACATAATGATAAGATATATTGTAAAAAATAATAATTAAGGGAAGGAGGATATCTGAATTTATCTGAATATAATGAGAAGATAAAAATGTCTACATAAGTGTCTACGTAATGGCCGTTAAGAGCATGCATATATATATATATATATATATAGATCCAGTGTTTCCTCTTCAATCATTTGGCGAATTATCCTATTCAACACTAATTACCTTCATTCTCTCTCACCTCATTCCCCATTTCGTGCGACACATTCCATTCCCCTTTCTTTCAATTCAATCTCTCACCATTCAACCTTCACCTCCATGAACAATTCATTTACCAAATCGCCAAAGGTACTTCCTTTTTCACAACCCCGATTTCATAATTGCTTGCCCCAAATGGGTTTTTCAGGACACGCAGGCTCGGATTAAGATCACGTTGTTCTATTCATAATTCATTGGAATTATCAAACAAGGATTTGATACGTGTCTTTGTTTTGTTTTTTCTGTTTTTCCGACAATTTGGCAACTTTAAGGAAACTAACGTAGCTGTATTCATCGAAATGTGCTGTTGGCATGAAAAATGACCCTTTTGCTTTGTTCCCTTAATTGAAGGAAAAAAATTAAATATTGTGTGACGTGTTGGGTCTCTTCAATGAGCAGCAATTAATGGAGTGATGGGTCTAAAATAACGACCTTGGAATTGAAAAGGGTTCGTTGAGTAGATGATTGGTTGTGAAGGACTGTGGAGGGTTCTTATGAAGAGTTCTGGAGCTACTGAGTTGAATACCTTTTACCCTATCAGAGAAGAATGCCAAGCCGATGTTCCAACCACTCATTTTAAACCAAGGGTGAGTTTTGTGTTTCTCAGCTAATGCTTTCTTATCACAATTCTTATTGTTTGATAATTTTATTTTGATCCAAAATGCACATAAATATATGGAATGATTGTACACTTGTACCCCAATTGAATGTGATGAGCAACTCATTGATAATTTGATGCGAGTATATGCTTATGTGACATTTTTCTAGTGATATTGTTAAATAAAAGAAAAACAAAAAGTTATGTGATTTACGCATGGCATTTTCTGTTTCCACAGGCTGGGAAAACTCTAAGTTCAAGAAGATGGCATGCCTCATTCTCCGAAGATGGTCACTTGGATATCGCAAAAGTGCTGAGACGAATTCAGCGCGGGGTAACCTTTGTTATTTACTTGAGTACTGCTTACAGTTACATTGCTGAATCTATCAATAATCATTAATAGCAATCTTTCTTTTGGTTTCCTTTCTGTGTGACTTTGTCTCCACATGTTTGCAGATTTTTAATCACTCTAAGTAAGAACTAGTGTTTAACTGCATGGTGATCCTTTTTCCTATGGTTTGTAGACTGTAGCAATATTATAAAAACCTTTTGTTAGAAATGTTAATTAAGTATAAAACCATTAATATATCTTTACTCTATATTAAACTTTTCGAGAGTTGGTTTATGGCATGGTACCAGAGCCTTTATCAATAAGTGGTCTAGAGTTCAACCCTTGTCAGTTATCCTCATTCTTTTAAATGGCATGCGTATTACCTACGCTTCAAGCCTAAAGGGCTCTTATGTGAGGGGACATATTAGGATTGTTATATAAGTGTAAAATCAATCATCTGCCTTTACCTATTTGTGTAACTTTTGGGAGAGTTGGTTGATGACACTTTTGCGTTCACCTGCCTTAAGACAATATTTTCTGTAAAAAGACACCATAGGATGGTGATTTTTAATAAACATTTCACGTGCTTTATATTTTCGGCCAATATACATAAGAAAAGTTAAATTCATTATCAAATTAGTATTATTCAAGTTTTTCTCCCTTCTGATTTGTGCTTATTGCTGAATTTATTTCTATTAATTATGAAGGGTGTCCATCCTTCAATCAAAGGGGAAGTGTGGGAGTTCTTGCTAGGTTGCTATGATCCTAATAGTACATTTGATGAACGGAATGAGCTCAAGCAGCGTCGGAGGTATATTTTCATTATTTAAATGTTATTTTGTAAAATTGGTAAATCAGATTTAGAGAATTAAAAGAACATTAACAATACTCCATGAATTTCTATGGCCTTCTGAATTCAGGTATCTGTTTATTAGGTGTGCAATTGGTGTTGGTTCTAAGATGATTGATGTTCCTGGTGTAATTTTTCACTGTCTTTGTCAACCTGTGAAGAGGGGCTAAGTTATCACTTTTTAGTTGCTAACATAGGTGGGTGTTAAAACAAAACAAATAAGTGGACCATATTTAACCATCATCCACCAATTCCACCATACTCCAGTTGCCACTGCCAGCAGTACTTTCCTGCTGGTTGCTGCTTCCACTTCCTGTGCTTTCCATCACCACCATTCCTGTGACTCTGGCCATTTCCATTGCACCACTATTGTATAAATGCTGGCGAAATATTCAGATTCTGTATTATTGTAAATTGAAATTGTGAGACCATAATTATTTCCTCTTGGATGCCACATGTCCTATTAATTTTTAGCTTGGTTCCTCATAATTTATCAAAAAGAAAATTAATTCTCTTTACTCTATCTCACAAAGAATCCAGACTATAGTAACACCAGACTGAGTTGCTTCCTATATTTCCTTCTATATTCTTGTCTAGGTTTTTCTAAAGTGCTATTAATGTTTCTAACTTTTCAGGGAACAAATCCTAAATGTTCTTTTTTTGTCCTCCCATTCTTTGTATTGAATGAAAATAAACAAAAAATTGAATCGATAGTAAATTTATTATTCAGGGGGCAGTATGATATGTGGAAAGCTGAATGTCAAAAGATTGTCCCAGTCATTGGTAGTGGAAAATTTATTACAACACCCCTCATCGGTGATGATGGCCAGCCAACAACAGATCCTTCTTTGGTAGCTGTCCAGACTTCAGATAAGAAAGTTTTGCAGTGGATGCAGTTATTACATCAGATTGGTATGCATATGCTCTGCATAAATACTGGATACTTTTTCCATTCTGTTTGGCTTCAGTTTTTTTTTTTTTTTTGACAAGTTTTGCTTTGTGGGCTTTACTAAACCAAAAGGCTAGTGCCATAAATTTGTGGATATAGGAAAAGATAACTCTTTTTGTACTTACAGATTGTCTCATAAATCAATGGCATAGAAGCAGGGTTGTGTTCTTTTGTGGGTGTAATGTCATGGTTCTCAGTCCTTTTCACTCAATTGGTTAGCAAGTGAATTTTCCCCACAAAGACAAATATCTTAAATGTATAGTTTAAACTTCAAAGATATTTAAAAAAATATTAATAAAAAGGGAAATGCTTTAAATATGTAATGGCAAATGCACCATCTTCACTTCCATACCCTAGAATTTATATTTCCACAAATTGTAACTAGTTAACAAATTTTAGAAGTCATTAAAACAGGCTTGGGACCTGAACAATGGGATCAGATCCTTGATGTTCAAGGAACAAGAAGGGCATTATATAATAGTTACATAAGTTTATGCTGTTATTTTTTCATTTTGTTTGTGGTTTATTAATGGTGTTATTTTTCCCTTAAAAATGTCTGCTTGTGGTTTATTAATAAATTTATTTTAATAAGCATCCACAGCAGCAAATTGATTATTTTGCGTTTTAGGTCTGGATGTGGTTCGAACAGACCGAGCACTTGTCTTTTATGAGACTGAAGCTAATCAAGCAAAACTTTGGGATGTTCTAGCAGTTTATGCTTGGTTGGACAATGATATTGGCTATGTACAAGGTGAATTACTATAGCTTTCAATTTTTAAATGTTAGATGTACGAGCTTCAAGAAGTTTGAGACATTCTTAAGGGATTATTTTCCTTGCAGGAATGAATGATATTTGCTCACCGTTGGTTATTCTTATTGAGAATGAAGCAGATTGCTACTGGTGCTTTGACCGTGCAATGCGAAGGATGGTAAGCCAAGCATAATCCAACTACAAATTTGCCTAAAAGTGCTAGTTCTGCATGTTTCGGGAAGGTTGGGTGATTGATCCATAGAAACTACACTACAGTCTAAGGGGTGGTGTCCTTGAGAAGGGATGTTAGAAAATATGCTTAGTTGTTCATCAAACCATTATTTCTTTTTTGTGCTTTAGTACTACTACGATTGGGCATGGCTATATTTCGTGATGTTATTCTCACAACTTATTTGGCACTTTTATTTGTATCTTATAGTTGCTGAAACTAGAGATTAGAAGAGGCATGGATAAGAAATTCTTCAACTTTTTTTTCTCTTCTATTCTTTCTATGTACACATTTTCTACACCAAAGGAAATATTGTTTCCCCAAAAGTTGTATGACTCTACAATTGAGAAAGAAGTAGTGGCTTATTTCTTATTTTCATAGTGTGGCACCCTGTCCTTTCTCAAGGGTGGAAAATCAACAGACTACTGTTGAACATTAAATTACTGTAGCTGATTCAGATGGATAAATACTTCTTATTCACTTGGATAATATTTAAGCCCATTCTAACATCCCTGGTTTGATTTCAATAAATTATTTTGCCTGGTGTATTTACATTTCTGCTGTTGTTTCCGTGACAGAGAGAGAACTTCAGGTGCAGTGCGAGTTCAATGGGGGTGCAATCTCAGTTGAGTACCCTCTCACAGATAATGAAAATAGTTGACCCCAAGCTTCATCATCACCTTGGTATGTAAAACTTGTTTGGGAAGCTTCCAATATGCCTTGGATAATAATAGTTTCTTCTATATTTATAATTTGAACCAAATTCAGAGTCAAATGCTTCCAAAAGCTTTTCAGTTTAATGCGGTGGATGTTTGTGGAAATATTTATGTGACAATCATATTCTGTGGTTGCTTGATAACAGAAAATTGTATATGTATCTTCCCCTGCGTGCTATTAAAATTCATTGTCTATAGTAGTTAGGGAACCCCTCCTTAGTAGGTAGCTGTTGCCTGAAACCTTTGCCTCAGCATACAAAAGCTTTCTTCTGTATCTATGTGCAAGAACCAAGAAAGCAAACCTTAAAACTTCCTCTCTTTTTATTTTGCAGAGGATTTAGATGGAGGAGAATATCTCTTTGCATTTCGCATGTTAATGGTTCTTTTCCGAAGGGAATTTTCTTTTGCAGATACTCTGTACCTTTGGGAGGTAAGGATGAATTCCTACAATGATACAATTTTTCTCAAGAAATGCATTTTTAGAATTAGAGGAGCTATTTTTCTCTGATTCCTCATCATTTCTTGACAAGATAGAGTATTTCAAATTAATAGCTCATTTTAAGACATAATATAGATTGTTTCCAGTTGATGTGGGGCATGGAATACAACCCAAACATTTTCACAAAATACGAGGATCCAGATGGTGCTAAAAAAGGCCCTTTACCTGCAAATGACAAACTTTTGAAGCAATATGGAAAATTTGAGAGAAAAAATGTGAAGACTGGGCATACAGAGGAAAATAGTGCATTGGCAGTTTTTCTTGTTGCAAGTGTTCTTGAGATCAAGAATAGGCGAATTTTAAGCGAGGCCAAGGGTGTAGACGATGTTGTCAAGGTCCCTCTCTCTTTCCATCCCCCTTATGGATACATATATGTTCTTGCCTATGTTTCTTTCAGCATGTATCTCACGTGAAACTATCTCTTCAGATCTTGGGTGACATAACCTCCAATCTTGATGCAAAAAAAGCATGCACTGAAGCACTGAAAATTCAGAAAAAATACCTCAGCAAGGTAAATTCCATTCTCCCAATAATCTTGATTTTGAAACTTCAATGATCTATTTTTCTTCATTCTTTTTGTCTGTTCATACATAATCATTCACTTTGCTTACTATCCTTGTTTACATTTTCACCTCAAACCTATAAACTTAAGTCAGCATTTATTTTATTATTTTGCTTCCATCCAATAAATTCTGTTGGTGGCTGTTTGTTCGTGCAGGCCAAGAAGCCATGACAGATACAACAATAGATTTTCTGTAACTATCTGATAGCAGCTGTGGTTACATGATCTTCTGAGGTTTCAATTGTTCTCCACAGCCCATTATTTTCTTTCTTTTATTTATTTTTCACTTTCTTAGTGATGGCAAGCTGTCCCCTGCTCTGCCCTTTTTGATCATTTGAAATCAAATTCTAATCTTATACTTTGAAATATACTTCAATATCAATGTCATGAAATCTAGAGAACCAGAAAATGTCAACTTTAGATGCAAAATCTATTCATTTGTTGGGGGTCTTTCATATTGTAGAATTATTTTCACGATATCTTATAGGCAAGAAAGACCTTTTTCTTCCATAACAAGGAGACATTTATATTACCAAATCAAAGCTCATAAATTGGGTACATAGAAGTCTAGATTAATATAACTTGGGTGCATGTTATTATGTCAAGAAATTCATTCCCTCCTTCCAGCAATAGCATCGCAGTTATTGCACTGTTTAAAGTATAGATATAGAGGGAAGAAAAAGATTATTGTAGAAAATGAATCTACCATTTCGCAAGCGCACTTCCATCTATAGTAATAACAAAATGATCTAGGGATCTTTCTTAAACCATAATGGGAACTACTCGTGTATATTTACAACAAAAATAGCCAATTAGATATTGTTAAATAATATTATAGAATTCATGTATTGGTAATGCTTATCATTTATTAATTTATTATGATATACTTTTTAACACACGATTAAAAAAATTTGTTTAAATATCTGAATAAAAAAATCTCTCATCATCCACTGACAACGTAGTTAGGTGCATATACACAAGAAAAATTAAGAAACTACTTCTTATGATGAGATTATTATTATGCCAAAATGTTTATTATTATTTTTCAAATAAGTTTTATATAAAATATCATTTTTGTAAGTTAATTAGATTAATAAAAGTAACAATAATCATATAAAAATGGGAAAAGACATGGCTTGAAACATCGTTGAAGTAAATAAATGGTGAGTGAATGAGGCGTCGGGGGTAAAAGTGGAACTGAGCAGATGATGCTGTTAGGTAAACGGCGTTAGATGTCGCTTTCTAGAACAAGACAGAAGAAGTCGGCGAGTGCGGCGCATCCCTGTCGCGTATTTGGGTTCCACTTTTGTGTCTCATGATCCTCTCTTCTTGTCCTTTTCTTCATCGTACCTTGGTTTGTTATTTTTGCCTCTCTTCTACCCTCCTACTAATACCAAACAAACAAGCCTCAACAACAACAAAACCAAAACATTCCTCTCTCTGCTTTCATGAATGCCAATGGCTCTCTTCTTCCTTATCATTGCCATCACAACCACGCTGTTCCCTCTCTCACACCAACAACCACCCTTGGACTCATCAGAACAACAAGCACTCTACCAAGTTCTCCACTCTCTCAACCCCTCCGTTCCCTGGCCCACCCTTTTCCCCGATGATCTTTGTCTCTCCGCCCCACACGGCGTCGTTTGCGAATACTCTACTCAACCATCCCAACCACCGCACATTGTTGAACTCAGCTTCGGCTATGTCTCTGATGAAACCCCTAACCCACCTTGCTCCCTCAATGCCACCTTCAACCCTCTTCTCTTCACCTCTTTCCCTTACCTTCGCAAACTCTTCTTCTACAAGTGCTTCAACCAAACACAAAGGTTAACACTGACACAAGCACTTCCCTTACCCTCTCTCGAAGAACTCGTCTTCATTCACAACCCTTCTTTCGTTGCTCCTCTTGGTCCTTTTCTTCAAAACCTCACTTCTCTCAGGAGACTTGTTTTGATCGGAAATGGGTTTCACGGTCAAGTTCCCAAGCAGGTTGGTGGTTTTGTTAACTTGGAAGAGGTTACTCTGTCTCGGAACAGCCTTAGTGGTGAGGTTTCGGAGAGTTTGGGGTTGTTGAAGGAACTTAAGGTTCTTGATCTGAGTCAGAACAGGTTTGAAGGGTGTGTCCCTGAATCGCTTGGTAATCTCACTCAGCTTTTGAAGCTTGACTTGAGCTTCAATGGGTTTGGTTGTAGGATCCCAGAGAGTTTGAAACACTTGCAAAGTTTGGAGCTTTTGGACCTGAGCTTCAACCGGTTTGGTAATTTTGGGGTGCCTTTGTTTTTGGGGGAGATCCCAAGGTTAAAGGAAGTGTATCTGAGTGGGAATTCGCTTTCTGGGGTGATTCCGGAAATATGGGAAAATCTTGGAGGTGTGGAAAAGGTGGGATTTTCAGAGATGGGTTTGGTTGGGCATATTCCACCCTCAATGGGGGTTTATTTGAAAAAATTGTCTTATCTTGGGCTTGATAATAACAGGCTTGATGGGCCTGTGCCTGAGGAGTTTGGGCTTCTTGAGTTTGCTGATGAGATCAACTTGGAGAACAATAATTTGAGTGGTGTAGTCTCATTCTCCACCAAAGTTGTTGGACAGAAGCTGAAGCTTGCAGGGAACACAGGATTGTGTGTGGACAGCAGAATTAGTTGTGGTAGTGGCAACTTGGATCAACTGAAGCCCTGCAAGAAAACAGATGTTCCTGATGCTGTCATTTTCAGCGGGGTTTCTATGATGCTTTTTGATCCTCTTGTGTTGGTCTTGGTCATGTTCCTGGGGTGGTTTTTTGTCTTCATCGGATTTTGAGGGTGGTTTGCTAGGTTGTCTTTGGGAAGTTAGACTAAGGCGAGAGCAAAGTTCTTTTTGACCAGTGAACAACAGAGAGCAAAGAAACATGTTTATTCTGACTAGGAAAGGATTTTTATCAAGTGTAAAGTCGAAGTGATAGTGATGGTAGTGACCAGTGAAGAAAATGTTTAGGGAGCAAGGAGAAAGCATTAATTACTTTATTTTTACTCAAAATAGAAGAATATATGTTCTTATTTTGATGCTCACTTTTACTTCTTAATTGCTCATTATTTTCTGTACGTTGAACCGTTATAGACGAGAGTTTTAATTCACCTGTTTTATTTTCCATTCTGAGGTTATAGTAATTGTTAATTTGATCTTTTATCCTTTGATGAATGAGGCACACATGTTAAAATTGCAATTTCCTCTTCCTAATTGCATCGATCGTGCTAATTATTTTGAGAACTGAAAGATAGTATTAAATAAGTGACGACACTGTGATATTAAATATAAATTAAAGTTAGTAACAAAAGATGGATAATAGACACCACTGAATGTGTTTATAAACTTGAAACCACATTCATGCAGAAGATGCTACCAATAGGGGTTATTACAAATGTAGATCCAATGTTTATTTAAAGTGATTCAAAATAAGTTATATTTACAACCTTGGCCTAGCAACCAAGTCATTTAAAACTGAGCTATATTGTTTATATAATATTTACTATGAATATTATTTTACTTTTTATCACATGAATTATCTTATTTTATATACTTTGTAATAATTTGTCTTTTAATTGGGTGTAGAAAGTGGCAGGAGCAATATCATAATATTGGTACGATGATGAGCTTTGGGATGGATGCTGGAATCCATTAATAATTGACATAGCATCATAGGCATGCATGCTCGCATGGCATGGCATTGCATAGCATAGCATATTATTCCCATCCCATTTATTGTCTGTCCCTATTCTCACTATTCCGTCCTGAAGATGCGTCAAAGCTATTCCAGTTTCTTCCATTTCAATGCCAACTATCCTTTCACTAACAAGAAAATGGAATCTCATAGCAATTCTAAATACAAAATTTTAGTAAATTTTTAAGCTGTTTTTGAGATTGTATTAATAATATTTTTATTATTTGAGATTTTAATTTTTTTTGGTAGTCTCTAATTTTATAAAGTTATTATTATTTTAGTTTTTTGAAGTGATGTGATGATAAAAAAATATTTTTTATAAATGTAATGATTAACCAAAAAAATTAAAATGTTAAAAAATAAAATATATGGTTCATTTAACCTCAAATTAATTTAAGAGTTTACTTTATAAAAATATACTTTTGTGTTAACATCAATCACTTCTAAGAAAATTTTAGATCTACCTTAATTATGATAAAAGTTACTCAGATTTTTTAAGATTTTATAGAAAAGAAAATAGATTAGAATTTGTTTTGATTTATGAGCTTTCTTTTAATGTTTTGAAGTAGAGGTGTATATCAAATCGGGTAAACTAACGAACCTAATAATTTAAACTGTTTCAAACTGAAAAATGATTCAAATAAATATTTAATGGGTTACATGATTTGGATCGAATAATGGATGACACTACGCCAATCCGATCACTCGAACATATATCCAATTAATCCAATATTATTTGATAAATTTTAATATTTTTTTAATTAATTACTATTTGTTAACTAAGTATTTATGTTATTGTAAGATAGTGAAGAATCAAGAGTGGATGAAGAAATGAAGAATAAGTATTTATATTATTGTAGTGTATAAATTATTTTAGCTTTAGAGATCTTTGACACTTATTTTGAATTTAATTTTTTTATTTTAAATTGAGACTTATTTTGAATTTGTGTATTTGTGTTAGAATATTGTATAATTATGTTAAAATTATGTGTTAAGAATTATTCGAATAAAAAAATAACATTTTTTTATTTTTTATACATTTTTTATTTTAAATTATTTAATCAGACAATTCGATAATCCAAATCAAACTAACCTGTTTGTTTTTGTGTCAAATTAGTTATTTTTTTTACAAATATGAACCAAATCAAACTAATCCATTTTAATTGATTTTTTTTTTTAAACCCAAACCAAAACAACATGTGAACACCCCTATTTTGAAGGAATAAGAATTTATAAAAAAAAAAAAAAGAAAGAAGTTAAATAGATACCTAAAGTTTAAATTATAATAATAAATATTTTTTTCATATTTTATTATAATTAGGATTTATGTAAATTACGTAGGAAATAAATTTTATCTTAAGCGAATCAAAAAAGTTAAGAGATTGTATTTAAAATTATGTTTATTTATTATTTATATGTAAAATTTCAACAATTAGAAGTATATAAAATTTTTTAGTATTGTATATAACAAAATTATTTAAACTACCAATATTTCAGAATATTATAACTTATACTACAACTTTTTATTCTAAAAAAAATTATTTAATTTTTTTTAGACAATGTTCTCACTTCTCTTTTTTATTTTTATTTTTTCATTTAATTTCCTTCATTTCTAATGATAAAAAAATATAAGTTTCTTTTTGTGATACTCTTCTCCCCTTTAGACAATATTCTTTTTTTCCTCTTTGTTGCAGGTTGTGATTAAATTAATTTATACTTTCAATAATAATGTTATATTTTTAATATTATAGATTTATGTATGTAAGTTGTTCCCACAGCTTAAATACTCTAGATCCATCACTGATTAATACATATGTGCAATCCTTATATCAAAATAAAAGTCTTGAAATCGATCCCAAACAAACTATTGAAAACTAAAAGGAACAAGTTGCACTAATTAAAATTACATGTCAACAATTGGCAGGCAATACAAGACTATGAAAAAAAAATTATCATATTAAGAAAATCACATAAATAAATATTAAAAATTAGGTGAAAAAAAATATTCTAGGTTTAAGAATTATCTATACAACACTCTAACTAATAGGATGAAAGTACACAAATATCTCAAGACATTCTATTCATTTCTCGTTCATACTGTTCATTTTCTTCGAAGGACCTTTGTTCATCCCTAGATTTGGACATAGATTCGGGTTCAGAATCCAAATTAGAATCTAATTGTTGAGCTTTAGATCTCAATTTGGATGACCCACCACCACTAGAATTCTCTTTTGATTTCTTTCTACGAGCCTTTTTAGGGATATCTGGTAAGCTTCGTGCTGGTGACCCATCTCCTAAGCATGATGAGTCTGGGGACATGAATTGTTGTGTCTCCATAGAATCCTTTGGTTGTGAATTTTTGTTTGATGATTTTTTTGATTGTCTTGTTTTCTCTGTCTTTTCTCTTGCTGGTGAATCTCCCATTGGTTGCCTTCTAGAAGCCCTAGGTAATTCAGGCAAATCCCTTCCCACTCCTTGAGAATGCACAGATCTTGAACTTTTTCTCCTTGAATCTATGTGGAAACAATTTTAGCAATCAAAATTCAATCAATATATTATTTTGTGTTTTACTTTCATGCACGTTCTTTTTATTTTACCATTAAAAACATTTTTAAATTTGATTAAACAGTTATTGTTATAAACATTTTGGCATGTGGAATTTATAAAACCTTAAATTCTTCAACTATAACAACTAGTTTTCATAGGATGTTCTCTCAAGGTTTTTATTGGAGAAGGGAGTTGAGTGAATTATCACATCGTGTATGGGGAAAATTAACAAGATGTACCTTCGGAGACCCATTTCACTGCATTATCTTGCCCTTTATTTTGAACATCCCCAGTAAGATTTATAGGTGCTGATGCAAATCCTGGAGAAGTTTTAAATTCGTTCATCTGAAAAATAGTCATAACAAGGCCCCCAAAAGCTTTAACTTGTGAAGGAAAATCAACTCAAGCATAAGTACAAGACATTATTTTAGGTAACTAGGTAATTAACATAATCTAAAAGATTGAATATTATTTAACAATTAAGAAAGTTGAGAATTACCCAGCTAGGAGAATTTACAGAGGGACCATCCCACCCTATATGAGCCACATGCTTTACATCCGTGGGATATCCAATCTGTATATCTTGTTCTTTTTCATTATCTGCCAAGTGACATATTTTAGTTAACATGAAACAAGAATCATAAGAGAAAATAATAATATTTATTAAAGCAATAATTAAATTGCATTGATGAAAGGTTTACTAACCAAATATCTGAGATATGTATCTAAACCCTTTAAGAAGGCCCTTGACCTTGCTGCCGGACATGCTCAACTCAAAAAGTGCAATGCTTTGGAATTCTCTCTTGACAATTTATGACTTTTGAGACCCAAAAGAGAAAAAAGAAAGAATTTCCTATGTTGAACATTCACCAATATGAAGAAATAGCCCAAAGAGAACCCATCAATGGAAGGGTATGTTTTTGTGTTTTTTATCAAAGGGGCCACCAGTGTAGTTGATTTTTAGCTTCTTCTGTCATTTGAAGAAAAAGAGTAATAATGGTTCAAAAACTTAAAGCAGTTTTTGACAAATATGTCACGAAGGTGACAATGGGAAGAAAAGGGATGATTCTAACTAACACGTTCTGTTTAAAGAATGACCATTTTTAATTTCATTGATTCGAGGGTAATTGTTTGTTTGTTGATTTTCCTAGTCAATCAAAACCAGAAGCTGATCGAAATTTTAGGTGTAACAATGAGAAATAATATAAAGGGAAAAGGAATCCATTTTGAATGAGTTAAATTTAGAAAGCCTTTAACAGGTCATTTATATGATGAATGGACAAAATAGGAGTTTCGATGTTGCTCATTCCTGATTTACTGGAAGAAAAGTAACTGGAATGGTTCTATTTCTATAATACAATATAAATTATCCTTAAATATGTAATCAAAAAATTATCCTTAAACACAATCCTACTCGTCGATTATGTTTTTCAATGTACATCATATCACGGATACAAATCAAAGTTAAAGAAATTTTAAAGCCAAAAATAGGATTAAGCTACTTACATCAGCCATAGTCAATTGGATAAAACTTGAATGCAGAATTATGATTGTTTTCAAATTAAAAAATGGTATGAGTCTGATATTTCACCTCCTTAATTACTATTGACTATTAATGTAATTATCAATTTCATATCTCGCCCTAATTCAAATATGTGTTACCAAGTACGTACAATATTTACTTTATCTAAATTTTATCCAAGGAATAATGATAAGATCACTCAAAGATATGTTAGAAATTTAATTAAATGTTAAAAAAATGATAAGTAAATTTTTAGGCTGTATGCATTAAAAATAATTTAAATATATTTTTTTACATTGTCATTTAATTATAAATTATCATACAAAAAAGAATTGACAATTTCTGTAATAATTAATATAAAAAATTATATTAATAATGTATTTTAATTGGTTGACAGTATAAAATCTTTACATTGATAATGCACTAAAATTAAACTATTAAAAAAGGCAAAAAAAAAAGAGTACAAAAATTGAGTTCTCTCCTCACTTGTTTTGTTAAAAAAATAAAAAATGAACTTATATTAAATTTTATTTAAACCCTTAATCATTGAGTATTTTTATCAATGCATAAAAAAAATTTCCTCCTCTCCCCATTTTCTTCCCACATATGAGGAGAAGATTTTACATGTACGCCTACAAATAGATTTTTTTTTTACTCTCCCTTTTTCAACTCTTTCAAACAAATATTTCAAAGAAATTGTGTTTTCTTCTCTTAATTTCTTTTTAGATAAATTATGCTTTGAAAATATAGTATAAATGTGTAAGTTAACTAAATGAAAAGGAACTGTATTTGTTCAAGGACAAAAATAAAAATATATCATTTTTAATCGTAATTTGTTATAGCAGATAAAATAAAAATAAATATTAGGAGAGTTTTACTCCCTTAAATGGATCTACTTAGTTCAACACAAATTAAATAAAATTTCAATTTTAACTTTGATACTAATGGTCTTGTGGAGGAAAAATAAAATAAAACATAAATGTTTTCATATAACCCAGTATAATTGAATAAAGGACAAAACTTAATTATAGTATTATAGTTATTGCTTAGAATTGAAGTTCTACCTTGATAATTTGCATAATAGAGGAATTTTACTTACATACAAGAGAGATTCTCTGTAATCAATTCCTTTTGTTTGCGATTCCATTCATGATGTTGCCAAATGTTCTAATAAGAGTATGTGTTAACAACTTAACCTTTTTAGAAAATTTCGAGCAATAGTAATTATGGATTACGCACGAAAAAAATTATATTAGGAGTAACAAATTTTGCCCGATTGTGCAATATTCAGTTTTTTTTCTTTCATTTTTTTTTTTTTAAAGATTCTGTCAACGTAAAGCTCCTTTGTATACGATTTCAATATAGTAGGATATAAAAAATCTTCAATATCTTACGATGTCACAAAATCTTCATTACGGCACTCCGTAATTAGCTGAAAAGAACGGAGGAGCTTGCCCACGGCCCCCTTAATAACATAAACACAACAACTAAAAATTAACAACGTTGAGCAAATAACGTGAAATATTTCAGCGCAGCGGAGATTAGGACGTGTGAATCAATTCGGCCTTGATTTTCGAGTGGGGTACGACTGATCAGTGATCAACCTCAAAGAATAAACAGTTCAGACTTTGACCGAGAGTCATCAAGCTTAACAGAGCCCGCGATTCTGCAAAGTCAAAAGTAACAATAAAATCGTACGATTACTCGTGATAGTTGGTTTCATTAAGCACCAGACAATTGAAGGATCGGATCGGCTAACGGTGGCCTACCAAATTTCATCCATTGATTTGATTTTAAACGGTTGAGATTTTATTTAAGAAATTAACAATCAATCGTTTGATGATTTTATTTGCAATAAAGTTCATCTTCTTCATGCACCTAGCCACCATGACCGATGCCTTGGCTGGAAAATACCTCCACCAAACCATGAATGAGACCGGGAGGTGTTGGCGAAGGTGAGAGGTTGTCAGAGTGAAACACGCTAATACCCCTGAAGCGGCTGAGGGAGACAATGTTGGGAACGCTTGTTTGGGGTAGTCCGCGGTGAAGGGTGTGGCGGTGGGGGAGGGGGGAATTCAGTGGTGTCGGATCTGTGTTTGTGACTGAGAACAGCTGTGGCAGCGGTTCTTAGTTTCGGATGATGGTAGTTATATGGTTTTGCAGTGATGGTTGGGAAGTTGGTGGTCATCGGTTGCTGCTAGGTTCAATGGTTAGTTGTTCTACAGGAAATTAGAATGTAAGATAAAAAAATTGCAACTAAAAGACCAATTAAACATTCAAAATTGAAAATTGTCAATTGAAAATCAGCAGGTTTGGCCACTTAATGAGCCACCATGTCTAACTGAAAGACAAGTATTTCCATGTTATTTGCACAAAGAGAATTCAACCAGGAAAAAATAGAAAGGAATGGACCAGTATCTTGAATTGTGTGAACGAAGCCTAATATCAACTACGTGCTTCAACCCAAATGAACTACAATTTGGAAAGCACTAACTTATTGGATACGCTTTGATGAGCACCGTGGCTTCAATAAGAAGATTTCTCGCATCAATTCCCTTCTCGTCAATAAGTTTAACACAAAAAATAATGCTGTAACTAAACTGATTTTTAAATTTGAACAGAAGTAACCGCTCATTTGTAAGCCGCTTTCACTGCTTTATGAGCGGCATCATCCAAATCTTCAGCCGTTATTAATGCCATACCACTTTCCTGTTGAACCATTGATTATAATCAACATAATAAGCATTTTAAAATATTCTTGCTTCCTTTTCTAAACGACTGTATTAATAAATCCAACATTTACCTTCAAAATTCTTTTGCCTTGATCAACATTGGTGCCTTCGAGACGAACTATAACTGGGACTTTGAGTGCAACCTTGAAAATAGAAGTTCATGTTATTATAAGTTGTGTTCAATCCCTATTCTCTTTAATTCAAAAATTTAAATAAAAAAAAAACGAGGCTGAGAAGAAAAATATCTCACTCTTTATATCTAGATTTATTTCAAAAATTGCAACTATCAATTTACATCAACATCAAACACAAAAATTGGAATCTTATAAAACATCAAATATAAAGAATTTACATTCTCTTAGACTTCATTATAGAGGCATAACTTTACTAACCTGTTTTGCAGCATTCACTATGCCACTCGCTATAACGTCACACTTCATTATACCCCCAAAAATGTTGACCAAAATTGCCTTCACTTTGTCATCAGCAGTCAATATTTTAAATGCCTCAACGACCTGATTTACATATTCGTATTAAAACATTATAAAATGGAGATCATTTAAGGTAATATCTAGCAACAACTAATCAATTTTTTAAATATCATCATTTTGGAGTGAAGTTCACGTTAATTTCACCAGCAGATTACAAATTGATCTCATAAAGGAACATAACAGCAATCATCCTTGATCATAGTAGTGTAACTAAGACCAATACCATAAAGGAAGCAATCCTGACTTTAAAACATTACCTGGCCTTCAGAGGCATTCCCACCTACATCCAGAAAATTGGCAGGAGTACCCCCATGCAATTTAATAATATCCATTGTGGCCATTGCTAACCCTGCTCCATTCACCATGCAGCCAATTTCTCCATCTAACCCAATATAATTTAAATCTGCCTTTGCAGCAGCCACCTGTTTGAAGATAAAAGGAACAAATAATGTTACACACACTCGGTGAACAGAAAGAAGATCGAGGATTGGGCATAATAATCAGGCACAAATAGATCATGTGAAATATGTCATTGCCGTATAAAATCTAATAGTCACGCCATAATTATACCATAAACATAGGCTCTACACTCATGTCAAAGCATCGAAGTGCAATGAAAGAAATGTAAATAGAGCTAGGCTGAGGAGTGTATGTGGGATAGGCTGAACTGGGTTTACTGACATGAACTCATCCAATAGTGATCAGGCCAACTTTTGGACCCGGACCCAACCCAATTAATAACTGGGACAACCTAATTTTCAGATAAAACGTACAAATTTGAATATTATGCATATTGTATAATTAAGTCTATAAAATTTTAGAAGTACAAAACTAAAACAAAGTATATCAATATAAATATATTATCAAGTTATGTAAAAGGTAAAAATTTAAGTCAACCATTCATTTTAATTATTTAATACTGATTCTCAAAAATTCCTTTCAATATTGTGTGGCATTATACCATGTCGGGCTTACCTAAAATATGTCTTGATTCTAGCCCCAAAACCACACTGCACCTAATTTTTAGAACCCAAGACAATCCAATTAGCTCTGAGCTGGGTTGAACACCCCTGGGCTCAAGTGGCAAGGATGGAGTTGGTTTAGGGCATATATGTTCCATTAACATGTCGTGTAAAATGCAAAACAAAAAATAGTAAGTAAACCTCTCGAGGATCCTCTTGCGTTGTATCACGAAGAGCAAATATCTCTTTCTGGCGATACGCAGCATTATCATCAAAATTCAACTTAGCATCAGCAGCCACCAATTGGTTATCAGCTGTCTCCGCTATGGGATTGATCTGTTCAAGATAATCAACGGTCATCATCAACATTCTTCATAAAATAAACTCATAGAAAGTGCAGAATACTAAAAGTTGCATATGCTTACTTCCAAAAGAGTGCAGTCACAATCAACAAAAAGTTTATACAAATTCTTCACTTGTTCAATTGATTTATTTCTGTCAGCCACTTTGGGAGCCAAACCATCAACAACCTTTGCAGCATCTTCATCAGTAATTCCTTCAAAAACATCAACTGGTACCTACATGAAAGAAGGACTGTGTAAGGTGTATCTTGCAAAGAAAACTGCTCAGATGAAAAATTTAAACCACCAAAAGAAATGCCAAGAACAACAAACCTTTACAATCATGTCTGGAAATTTCTCTGCAAGGTCTTCAATGCTGGTTCCTCCCTTTCTACAAGCAATAATAAGCTGCAAAAGTAAAACCATAAAAAAGAAAGGAAAGGAATTGTAATAAGCTACATAACTGTTTGTTGCTTAAATTTAAAGAAACTAAAACAAGGGGAAGAGAGAGTCAAATATTAAACATGATATAGAAGTTATAAGAATTTAATTCAGCCAGAATATAAAGCAAATCAAAGATAACGTTGAAATAGGAGACTTACTGGTCCAGCACTCTTACGATCCAGTGTTATAGCAAAGTACATCTCATTCACAAGTGACAGTTTTTGGCACAAATAAACCTGTTTAAAATAGACAATTGGACATTAAACAATCAACCCCCTTTTGTAAATAATTCTACACAATGAAATTGAATGATACCCAAAATAAAACCAAGTAGCAGCTGTCATTGCGTTTCCAGTTTTAAAAAGTAGGAGAAACTATGAGCAATTACATAAAGTATTTGCAATATCCTATTCACAGGAAAATTACTTTCATTATCAATACAAGAAGAGCTTAGAATCCTATGGAACAAGTAGTTACCAAAAGTGGTTATATAAGTTTATTACTAGAATAAAATTGATAAAAATCCTTTGAAAGAAAGAATGTCCAGTTGACCAGTCCAAAACTCAATTCACACTGGTTCATCAATTCAACTGCCAGGCTACACCAATTCGTATGTTGAACTATATCCACATAAAACCAGGTCAGCTTGGTGACCACTTTAGCAGTCCAACCAGCAGGGTCAGCACAAAAGAAAAATTAAACTTTGAAGTAACAATTGGAAGCACCAATTTATCCCCAATACATATTACACAGAAGAAACAAGACCCATGGCCATGGGGAGTCAAAAAAGGAGGGCAAATTTTGCCATAAAGAAAACAAACAATAACCACTCAAGCATAATTTATCAGTGAAGGTTGTTGATATCATTACATTTCCTCACCAAAATTTCAATTTCTATAAATGAAAATTCAAGGCATATACGTGCACACTGAAGATGCTAGCACGTTTGCAAATATAATGATTGAATAATTTCAAACCTTGCTAACAATTTTTCCCTGAGGACCAGTCTGTTTGGTAACCAGTATCTGTCCAAGCATCTTCCCTGAAATAGTAACAAAGACAATAATAAGAAAAAATTAATAATAGCACTAAGCAAAAATATCACTGAAATTTAGATTATGGTGTAATATATCCTCTACGAATTCAAATTGAATAAATCATACACATGAGCATGACATATGTTAACAGAGTCTTGTATTGAAGGCCAAGGACATAAAATGAGAACAAGGAAACTTCCAATTTGACGAACAAAGGATGGGACATGCATTACCAGCAATGTCTTCAACTTGGTCAGTGTTAACAATGTGCACTCCTCCCTTAAGGCCACTTTTAAAAGTTCCCAGGCCACGTCCACCAGCTAAAATTTGACTCTTAACCACCAACTGCACAATAATCCCAGTTACACTACATGTCATAACAGGCAAAATTCTCCACACTAAGACATTTGATAATGCGAAAATTGCAGAACTAAGGTATCAATATTTTATAAAGGAGAACAATGAAAACACGTTGCGCGTTGCAATTTTAGAATTTACATCTTAATTTTTTGGGAGGATCAAGTAGGTTACCTCATTTTCACCAGGAAATACGTCCTTGATAGCCTTTTTGGCTTCTTCAACAGAGGAAACAGCTGCACCTCTCGGAACGTTGATTCCGTATTTGCTCATCAATTGAGCTCCCTGATTTCGTGGAAATTCAAGAGTCGTCATTAGCGACGGTGGATCAATCAATCAAAGAGCTTCAACAAATAAACATCGACGGTTTCACATATTATACATTCAACAAATTCCAGATAAAACATCCACAAAAATGACTTGTCATCATTTGAAGGAGACGCGAGGAATCTAAAATGAAAAGAACAGATTCCACGAAACTTGAAATTGATTTGTTAATGGTAATTAAATCGATAACGATGAACTGCGAAGAGAGAAAGAGAGAGAGAGACCTGATACTCGTGGATGTTGAGGCGGCGGAGCTGGTGGTGCTGCCATTTGCCGGCGACGGAGAGGGAGCGAGAGACGAGCTTGTTGAGCAATCCTCTCACCATTGTTGCCGTGGATTTCACGATCGGAGACTCAAACGAACAAAATGGATTCGATTCGGTTCGGTTATACAGTGAATGCCTCTGCCTCTACGCCCCTTCAACGTTCAAACACTGCGATGCCTATGCCACACGCCAAGACCAGACCCTAGGAATTTTCTATTTAAAAAAAAAAAAAGAAAAAAAAAATTTCAGAATGGTATAACCTTGAAATTTTACGTGACTAAATTAATAGTACATGATTATTTTTTAAAAAAAACTATAATAAAGTGTTTATATTTTTTTAATAAATGATTAGTAAATGTGGATTGAGATGAAAAAAGGCAATTTTTCAAATTCAAGCTTTGTAATAGAAAAATATAATTTTTAAAATTAAAACTCAAATGCAGAAGCGATTTTTAACTTTTTAATTACAAATAACTATTAATATAACAATCATTATTGAGTAATTTTAAATAAAATTTTACTGTTTTGTTAATAGTATTAATGGAAATGTCCGATTTGATATCATATTTTTATTTGCAATCTAAACAAGTGTAATTTACTAATTTAGAATTACACAGTGAAAACACAATACAAGAGTTATTCTTGAATTTGATCTTGATCAAAGCCAACGCCCGGGCAATTCAGGTGTTGAACAAAATAACTAGAACAGAACACCCACTAGGATTTACGAAGTTGCACAGCCAAAAAATTGCAGTGATAAGTTCTTCCTGTCAAATCTGATATTAACCTCCTTAAATATTAAAAAATGATAAGTTTTATTAGAAAAATATTTAACACACTTTATTTTTAAAAAATAAATTTTATTAATTTTAGACGTTTAAACTCAATTTTAGGAGTTAAAGTTAATAAAAACACATAAACTAATTACAGTAGAGGAGAAGTACATCGTTTTTCCTGAACAATAGACAAAAACAAAACGTTAAAAGCCTTATAAATTATCATTATTCATACATCCATGAAATTGCTGTCGTCTGAACCCAACTCATATACCATTGAGAGCATGCAAAGACACAGTAGAAGGGACATTATTATGAGAAAAGAAGAGTGACAATGACAATGGTGCATGGGGTGGTACCAAGTACCAACCAAACCATGTTTCTTAAATGCCTGAAATAAGTATCACATTGTCTCTCTGTAAATCGTTTCCCTATAAAAAATTTATAAAAAAAACGATTTTTGGGAAGTCTCTATGCCAGGTCTCTATCAATATGAATGTCTATATCTTTTGCATTAGAAGATATTAATGTCTATAAATTAGCAGCCTCTAACTAGAAAATTGAACGTATCATGGTAATAAAACGTTGTATCTTAAAGCACGAGGAAAGTACAATAACAGTATATGAATGAAAAAGGACCATTTCTAAGGAAGCAATCATTCTTTGCACCACACTAACTACGCTCAATTGCTTCCTCTGGTACCTTCAAATTCAAACAATTAACAGTTGCTCAGGGGCAGAAATTAACACTTACGGTGCTTACATCAACAAAAACTCGTTTGAATATTATAATGTATTTGAATCATCTCAGAGGGGGAAAAAGGCGCAGTCGATCAGTTCCTTAGTTTCATGAGAACGCATTTACTTCGGAATAATAACAAAACCATGACGAGAGAATGTGAATTTCAGTACAGCAGAAAATCAAAGAACTAAACGGGGGTTCAACATTAACTCTTCACAAACCATGTTTCTTAAAACCATGCGTTAATCTTGAACCTGGATATTTTACATTGTAACTCGTGAGACACGATTGAGAACGCTTTCATCTACCACAGATACTCTGTACCTACTATAAATATGTGGATATTTATTATAAAAAAATTTAAAAATAACTTATATAAAAGTTATATTAAATAAAAATACTTAAATTATAAAATAATAAAATATTTTGTTACAATGATATAAATATAATATTAATTTAGAATCCTATTAAAATTACCATAAAATAATAACATGAAGAATATAATTTATTAAGTATATAAAGGATATTTTAACACCGTTGTACACATGCTTTTAAATGTATTAAATATCAAGAGTTTTGTGATTCATATAAAAATATTTATTATATATATATGTAAAAAAAGGCAAGATCTTTCCACATTGTATAAGTTTAAAAAAAATTATATTTAATTTAAGTTTTTTATTTAACTTATATCTAATGATTTATAATTTATTACTTTATTAGTAGTTAAGTGTAAGTTAAATATAAAAATTTATATACTTACATGAATGTAAGAAGATCATTTTTATATATAAATATTTTAATAATTTTATAGTTGTCATTATTAGTGTTTTTATTCATCCCATTAACAAGCAAGTAAAAAAAAATCTATTAATTAAACATGTAAATATTCACATGTACTATTTGTGATAAATTTTTATAAATATTTTTATATGAAAATTGTTAATAACACATATTTTGTTGTTCAATAAAATTTATTAAAAAATATAAATATAAACAAAATTTAAAATTAAGAGTTAAAAAAATAAGAATCGTCTAATTTTTAAAATTTCAAGTTTATTATAAAGTCCATTGTTCGTTTTGTTATTCCTAAGTCTAATCTTCTTTCGGTTCTAACTTCTACTAGTCATTTCCTATTTCCTATCTATGTTCCACGGAGACTGCCCAACGACCAAAAGAGAGAAAAAAAAGTCTTTAGGATACGTTTGAACGAAGACTTCCAATTAAAAAGTCTTCAAGACAAATTAATGCATTTAAAAATATTTATAAATTAGATAATATTAAAAAATTACATACAGCGTTTTATTGATTCTTTATTAAAAAAAGTCTTTTTAGGACATTTTATTAAAACACTAGTTAAAAATAAAATAAATAATCTTTACAATGAAAAAATATATTACTATATTTTTAATAATAAATACATTTTAATTTTTCATTTTAAATTCTAAGATATTTATTTCATTTACTTTAAAAGGTTACTAAACAACTCCGGCGACAAAAGAATAGAGAGATAGGCATGAAACTGAATAAAATTTTGCATTTCGTCACATGGCAATTTTAAGCTATTCATTGCATTAAACATTGCAAAATAATGGTCAATCACAAGGCTAAAACTTATAAAATTACACTATAAAATCAAGCATTTGATTATCCTCTTTCGGCCACATTTATCCATGTTTTATTGAAAGATAATTTTAAGTTATTCAAAAATTAAATAAAAAATACTTTGTAAAATATTATTTTTAAAGTATATAAAAATAAACAATTTTTTATGTATAAAATTTGCATAACAATTCTTCATTCAATCATTCTCATTTTTAAAAAAAATCAAATACAAAAATATTTTCTTAAAATAGATCCTATATGTTTTTTTTCTTTTAAAAAATTATATTCAAATTGAGCCATATTTTGATGTTTTCTCTTATTTTAGAACAAATATTTATGCATGTATATATAGTTCTTACAATAATGACTGTATATTATTTGTGAAAAAAAAAGTGATAGCGAGAAACACGTTGAATAAGTTAAACGTTAAAATTATGTAAAAAGAAAAAAGTTGTCTACTTACTCTTCTATCTAGCTATTTCCTTAATTTTCTTATTTGAAATCTTATTAATTTATAAATACTAACAATTTTTTGTACACAGCATAAACATTATTAAATTAAATTTTTAAAAAATAATTTAAAATATATTATAAAATTATTTTTAATTTAACATATTTTATAAATTTTAAAAATATAATTAGTAATAATTATACCAAATAAAATTTAAATTAATATTAAATTAAAATAAGTATATGATGTAAAAAAATCAATTATTATAATAAAAATTTAATTCGTAACATTTAAGAATATTTTAAAAAACATTATATTTAAAAAAATTAAATAATTTCGTTTAAAATTTAAGATTAACAAATCATACATAAACATCCATTATTAAAGTATTTTTATTAACAATGTCATGTAATATTTTAAATTTTAAATTTTTTAATAAAAATATTACTTAAAAATGATATATTATATGATCATACCTAAATCAACTAAAAATATATATATTTGCTGGTGGTCAAGGAATTGTTTCCGCATGAGCACTAAAGTCGGCGGGCCAAAACGACCGTCTTCTAATATTCAAATAATCATTACGTCAGAACTTAATTAACTTTTCTTTTCCGATGTTGAACTTACTATCTTATTATATTTTTTAAGATTAATATTTGTGATTATTTTAATATCTTAAACTTTAAAAAATATTATATTTTTTAAAATAAATTACTGTTTGTTAATGTAAGATTAATAATTATTATTATTTTATTTATGAGAGAGTATTTTATACTTCTCAGTATAAATTACCAATTAAAACTGGATTTACACTCTTTTATGTATAATTTTATGTATAATTAATTTACAAAATTAATTATTAAAATACTCTTATTCAAGATAATTATTAAAAATATTTTTATGTAAAAACGAGAACTCACTTAAAATAGATGAATTTGGATTTAAGGAACTTGTTAATATTAATCCATTCCTCAGCATCTATAAACATATATTTCTTACGATTTAAAATATAAATTAAAATATAATATTATAAAACATAAGTAAAATGTATTTAATTTTATATTATTTAGTAAAAATATTTATAAGATTTCATTTATTCAGTTTAAATTTTATTTTAAATGGTGTTTTTATTTGTAGTATATGACATCAACAAATTTATATAATTTTTAAAATAAATATAACTACTTGAACCAAGTTTTCAGATTTTTTTTTTTTAAGATTGACATCTAACCTAAAAATTTTAACCATCAACTAATTTCATTTAATGTTAATAAAAAATCAGATTATTATTTAGTAAATTATTTTCTTATGAAGTATATATCACGAAGAATATATTGGAAAATGACGTTTAATTTTTAGATAAAATTAAAAACATTTAATAAATTTAATTAATTTTTCAATAAATGTTATTTAGTGATTTTTTACTTAATATTACATTGGAAATAAGATATTAATATTAACCTTCATTGTTTAATTTAAATTGCCACATTGATTTAAGTTTAAAATATTTAAAATATGAAAACATATTTGGTCAATGCGTGGTTAAAAAACTTAAGACAAATATTTTTTTAAAGCTTATTATATATAGAGCACCACATGACATATAATTTGGGAATATTTTTATAATTATATTTATAAAAATTATTATTATTATTATTTGTCTAAACTATAAGAAATAAATAATTTTTAAAAAAAATAGTTGCAAAAAATGTATACATCCATCTGCTCTGAGATTTGTGTTATCAATGTAGTCATCCTAACCCACCTAAGTGGACACTGTTGTTCATTTAAAACATAAAACGTCAACCAATACTACAGATATTTTTAAAATAAAATATAAAAACATTATGTATATTTAATTTTTATAGGTCTCAATGAATTAAAAATTTATTTGTTATAAATAAGACTAGATACAGTAACATATAAAATACTTAAATAAATAATAAAATTAAATTTTTGTTTCATTTCTTTAGATAATATTTTTTAAAATATAATAAAAACTTGACAACAAGTCAAATTTTTAAAATGAAAATTGTAACATATTTTCTTGTGTTAAAATAATTTTATCATGTAAACATATACATACATAGAAATATGACAAAATACAAATTTATATTCAACTAATTTGTTAATTAATGTTACGCTTCAACTAATTTTGTTCAGTCTATTTTTTTAATCCTTTGTTTGTGAATTTCGTAACCATTGACGATGTGGATGCTAAGAATGCTCTGAGATATTCAAAATAAAAAAGTGTAAAGAAAAATAACAAATTAACTATTAAACGATTATGATTTTAAAACAACATTTTTTTTTGGTGATGCTATTTAAAAATATATATAATAAATTTTTTAATTAACTACGATAATCATTATTTAAATTGTATAGTCAATATTTTATACGTGGAGATGATGTTATTTTTTGGCATGATATATAAACAATAAAATATAAGAGTTGAATGAAAATATTAAATAAAACTATGATATACTTTTATTTAATATTTTAATATATATTATAATAATAAAGTTTATATATATCATCAAATATGTGATTGACTAGTAAGATTATTTTAACTTTTTTTTTTGCAAAAATATATACTTTTATTAAAATTATAAAGTAATTATTGTTTAGAAATAAATTTATTAAAATTGTTGTTATTATTTGAACCGGAAGGAATAAATTTTTTATTTTTAATTAGTTATAATTGAAGATAAAACATAATTAGTGTTTTCTTGATTTTATAAAAAAAACAGTAGATTAAAAATGTAACAAATAAAAAATAGAGTAAACATCTAAAATAAGATGGAATATAAATAATAAACTCTTTAATATATTTATATTAACACATACTTTATTTAGTTAAATTTTATAAAAAAATAAAAAATACAAGTAAAACTCTTTAATAAAAAATATAATTCACATGGTTTTATAATTCTCAATCATTTTAAATAAAAATAATAAATATAAAAAAAATGTTAAAAATATATTATTAATTTTTCTAAAAATAAATAAATTTTAATTTAGCTATTAAATTGCTATTGCCTAAAAGTTCTGACAAGACAAAAATCACTTATATTGAGAGGAATAATCTTGAAAGACAGGTGTTTATCCGCCAATTCAACTACACATAAAATTGAAAAAAAAACAATTTAAAAATTAAATTTGAAATAACTATAAGCTAAGAAAATTAAAAATTATAAAAATAAAAAAATAAATTTTATATTCTATTAAAAAATTATTTAAACATATATAATTAACATTTTATTCATACTTTTAAGATTACATGTTAATAAAAAAATATTTAACTATTTTATATTTAAATTTATATCATAATATGTTTTAGGAATATATTTCATTATTTTCATTATTATGTAAGTATATATTTTAGAATAATTTAAAATTATCTTACATATAATTTTTTATATAAATTTTATATTGTATATAAGAAAGTGTAAAAATAGTAAAATAATTTATTTTTATTTTTAAATAATTTACAAAAATAAAATTATCTAATAAAATCCAAATTACTTTTTGAATTATACTTTATTTTTAAAGCCAATCCCAATCAAATTATATTACAACCTCCGGTCAAATTAGATAATATTTTATCCAAGAAATTAGGAAAGAGGTTTATAGTTAAAGGTGAGAAGACATTAGGCAGTTCGTTAACAGTCCATGGTCTATTATTTATTAAGCATAACCCTACTTAGACCCATTTATTAAATAAATTAAGTTAATGTTTTTTGAATTCAGATAAAGTCTGATTTAACCTTGTTACTTGCTGGTAAATGTTCTACATGTTAAAAAATTAAAGGTTGAAATTTTTAAACAAATTTATAACTTAGGAAATATTTTATTAGATCATATTATTAAAAGTATTTTAATTAATTTTAAAATCTATTCACTTTTATGAAAATTAAATTTAGACTCATTAGTGATATAATAAAATAGGCTGGTAGTTTGCATGAAATGTTAGATCTAAACTCAGATGATATTATTATATTTGGAAAAATAATTTTGATCCATTAATAGCATAAAACTCATTTATGCTAGTTTATAATTACACAATACCTAATTAATAAAAAAGTTGACCATTCTTCCATCACTGGAAATTTAAATTATATATAAAAAAATTAATCGAACCACCAACATATAACTTAATGTTTAGACATTAAGATTACTTCAGAAAAATATAATATTTAAAACAATATTACACATGAAATTATCGTTGAAAAAAACACAAAATCAAATGGGTTTAAATCAAGAATTAAAAGCCTAATCTAGATTTGATGGCTAAACATGAAAACGGGCTAATGCTGAGCAAATGCAATCTGAATTGGCATTGTGATAAGCGGAAAAGAATTGAGGGTGGTTTGGTTACAAAATAAAAAGAAGGGGTAATTGAGTCATTTAGGTCACAGGATGGCATTTACGTAATAATCGTGACTTCAGAAGGGTGATTATGCAGAACGCCCACTATAAATATGGAGGCCCTTGACGCGCAGCGCATTCTCTTCTTCTCAAATTTTTCTCTTTCCATCTCTCTGTTTCCCCTATCTCTCTCTCTCTCTCTCAATTCTTTCTCTCTCTATCTGATCTTATTGGGTTTTTTTTTTTAAATCTTCGAAAATTGCCAGATTCCGGCCACATCTTCTCTCTCCTCTCTTTTATCTCTAATCACATCCTCTTCACCCTAAGGAGGCCCACTGTTATGTGAATTTACCTTTTTGCGCTTTGATTTTCTGAATTTACCTTTTTACCCTTGTCAGTTTTTTTTCCCCACCCGAGGCCCATTCCGCAAAGATAAGAAGATAATTACCGTTGGTTTTTTAGCGAAACATTTGATTTGTTGTAAGTTTTATTTTGGAGTGGTTTGGTAGTGACGTGGCATGCGGATAGAGAGCCATGAATACCAAAACGATGCGTCTCCCCCCTCGTCGTGTGCTGACACCTAGTGGCACTACCAATAAGAGAAAAGAGAGAGATGACCCGTTTGATAGGCCCAAGCCCATACCCGCAACCCCCACGAAATTACTCAAGCCGGATAAGCCGATCCCGAGGCCCGGCTCCGAGCCGATCACCGGCACAAGCAACAGCAAAGGCTCCGACTCGAAGCTGTCAAATCAGCTGCTAGCGGGCTACCTGGCCCACGAGTATCTTACCAAGGGGACCCTACTGGGCCAGCCGTGGGGCCCGGCCCGAGCAGAGGGTGGCTCCAGAGGGAAGTCGACGGAGGAAGGCGGCGGCGAGGACGGAGAAGCGGAGGCGGCGCCACCGTGCCGGAGAACGGAGGAGGAGCTGGAAAGGTACACGGAAGTGGCGGGCTTGTTGAATGGTGGTGGGGCCCACCTCCCCGGCGTTGTGAACCCCACCCAGCTCTCCCGTTTCTTACACTTGTGATCTGACAGACAAATTGGGAGAGTCCTTGGTGACACGTGGGACCATCCCATTCGCTCTCCCTCGTTTTGTTCCTCTGGAGACAAAACGAACCCGGGGAGAGAAATTTCTCCTCCTTCCATCTTTTTCATTTTTCTTTTTGATTTTGAGGCAGAAGGGAAATTTTCTGATGCATGCAACTTGTATGTCATCCCTCATGATGTATCCATTCACATGCAAAATACATGCTTTTCGCTTCGACAAGTTTTAATCCCTTTTCATTTTATTTGTTTTTCTCTCTGTTTTAATACTCTATTCTGAACAAATCTACTTGTTTATCTTGCTGCCTTTTTGTTCATTTCTGCTCGTACGTGTGCCTTTTATCCCTCATTTTGATTAGATTATTGTTATCACAAGTGGAGTTAATTAGACTCTGCGTGCTGCATTTTTAATGTCTAAATAAATTATTATCAATAATCAAAGTTTGTGTCTTTGTGTCATTTAATTGCGAAATAACATGTGAATTGATACAGGGCATGAATATGATTGTCATTTGAGGTGAATTGTGTTATTGTTGAATGAGTGAAGTGTGTGATTTATCCTTGTGTAAGCAGAATCTGATGCGAGAATTGTGAGGGCATATGTGACACGCGTTTTATTTCCCTTTTATAAAATGGTTTGAGGAGGCATAATATAAAAGACTTGTTATAATAGTCGTCAATTTTAGTTGGGTAAAGTTTAATGTAAGGTTTGCTATCCAATGATTCTTTGTTAAAGTGCTGGCTTTGCTGCATCGGGAATTTCAAAGCTTCAAATCTTTCTCTCATAGATAGGGGCTTGGAAATTGGAAAGGCTCTTGTCTAATTCCTAGTGCTTACATGTGTCTTGCTGATTCAACTGTTGTGCCACTCATCATGGTAACAAAACAATGCCTAATGTTTAGGGTATGAATTCAAAGTTTAGTTTTTATATTTCAATTAATTAAAATTTACTTTAGATGTGAATTTTAAAACAAGGAATCTAAGTATTTATAAGTGATCAAATTTTATTCAAAGTATAGGTATATAATATATTAAAAATATAATAAATACTTTATTTTTATAAAAAATCATTTTTATATGTTTAAAGAAAAAAGTAAGAGCATTGATTAATAAATCAAAAGAGGAATTTTTTTATTAAAATGTTATTAATGCATATTTATTGTCATTTTAATGTAATTTTTAATTCAAAACTTTGTTTTTAGCCTTTTAACTAGTAATTTTAGGATTAATTAGTGAGACTAGGTATAAATTTAGGTTTAAAAATGTTATTAACAAAATTATTAAAATAATTATCATCAAAATTATCGATTTTTAATTTTATGATCATAATTTGTAATGGAATTATTGTAAACAAATTTTGGAGTATGTTTCAATTAAATTCATTGAATGAATAATTAAAGGTAAAATATTTATATTTAAAAATATTAACAGTACATTTTATCATAATTTTCAATATACTATTAGTTAATTTTCTAATAAAAGGTTTATTAATTAACCGCATATTCTTGTTAATAGGTGTCTATTAAAGATTATTTAAAAAAACGATTACTATTACTGACACACATATATATATATATATTACTTTCTAATCCAATATAGTAGAGGAAAGGAGGAAAAAAAGTGCATGCATAAGAAGACACAAAATAGTAGAGTATTAAATGAAAAAAAGGTTTTAAAAAAAATAAAAAACAGCTTATGAGTTATTAGTTAATTTTCTAATACAAGGTTTATTAATTAACCGCATACTCATGTTAGTAGGTGTCTATTAAAGATGATTTTAAAAAAACGATTACTATTACTGATATACTTTTTCCATATATTTTTTTTAGTAAAAATTCAATTTATTAATTTAATTAACCGCATATTCTTAAAAAACAAATGTTAATTAGTGTCTATTAGAGATGATTAAAAGAAAATTATTATTACTATTTACTAGTATACTTCTTCGATATTTTTAGTTTATTTTTACCTGGTGAATTTTATTGGGTAAAACATACTTTTAAAATTAATTGTATTATGGTCATACAAATTTATTATATATTACATGATTTGTCTATTTTGTCTTCAATCTATTAGTTGTTGTTTTTAAGAAGAGAAAACTAAATAATATTTTTTTTAATAATTTTGAATAATGCAACGATAACTTTGATTTAAGCGAGTCCATTTCCTTAAGAAACTAAATTTGGATAAAGAAAAATAATTTATTTGGATTTAGCAATAACTTGATAAGAAAATAAAGAGTTAAATAGTGATAGGTAAGTAAACAAAAATTGTTAAAAGAAAAAGGAAAAAACTTATAGTGATGGATGAAGTCCACAAATCAATTTGATATGAACTGATAATATAAAAAAAACAAAAACACGTGGCTTTCTATCAGAGAGAGTAGATCAAGTGAACGTCACACCATTTAGAGTTATGACTCTAATTTCTTTAATCGAAATTGATAATTGCAATATGTTACATGACGAAGTAAGGTACAAATTAATAATATTTCAACTAGCTTGTTGAAATAATAAAATAATGACTTAACGGAATCAACAATGGTCTAATCTTTGAAGTCAACTTCATTAAAAACTTTCATATTTTTATTAAGTTTTTAACAATAATTTAAACATTAATATATAAGAAAATCAAAATAAATTAATTTATTTTATCATGGATAACTGTAGAATATGTATCTTTTTCAATGATTGGTTATACATAAATAATTAATGTGAATGTTATTTTCATTACAACTTTTACAAATTTATAATCTAAATTTTATAATATATAATTTGGAATAAAAATTAAGAGGTAGAGATGATAATGAGTAGGATATTGAAGTACATGTTTCCCTATTTTATGAGTAAGAACCTTGATTCTCATTTTCATACTTGCTAGAAATATAAACTTTATTATGTGTACTTGTTGTTACTTGTAGTTTATTAACTGAATATAATTTAAAATAAACTACGAACTAATAATTATAAACAAAGTTTAAATAATAAAAAAAATTAATATAAAGTCAAGTAAAATATCAAATTATAATATAAGATATGTATAAAATTGTAATAAAACTATTTATCTAAAATTTTATCTTTGTTATATAGATGGTTGTGATGTGTCTGTTTATATAGATGTATTTTTTATATATTAATGTAGGTAAAGGGATATAACTACTATAATGTTTATAACCTTGTAGGTAACTATCAAATTTAATATGTAATTATTCATAATCGAACTCAAACTTATTTTTGGGGTATCTAACGAGTATAAGGCTCATTTTTATTCCTATTAGTGCCTTTCTTTATTGCATAATGTTAAATTAAAATAATTTTATTTAAAAATATTTATTATATGACTTCTTAAATTTAATATAAAATGACAATAAAATTTTATCCCATTAAATAAAGACCAACTACATGAATCATACAGTATCATTAAATTTAATTAGAATTTAAATATTTAAATATATTATTTTCTCTTAACAAGTATTACACCAATCTCTCATTGTTATTAATCATTTTGTTACCTAATGTTTTCATGTATTTAGACAACCATGTTATCATTTTTATTTTTAATACTTTAATATTTTCCTCTTTTAGTCCTTTTAAAGTTCAACATCTACCATCATAAAGAATAGTTAATTATATTACAATATGATAACTATATTTTATTTTTTTTACTTTGATAGTTATTTTATTGCTACAAATATTTTTTTATGTATTTTTTATTTTAACTACTCATATTATGTGTATCACATATTTATTATTTTTTACCATGAAATAAAATAAATTTCAAATACTTAAATTTAAAAAATTGTAGCATTATATTGTCTTCAACTTATACTTTTTTTAATTATTTTTGTTAGATTTTTTACTAAATTTGTAATAGATGTAATCTATCTCACTCCTACTCAATTAAAAATTCTTTAATTTTAAACCTCAAGTTTGAAGTTAGTATTTTTATTTAACTGCTTGACCAAAATTATGTCAAGTGTATAAAATATGAATTTAGAGATAATCTTTTTAAATACTTAGTAAACGCATCCAATACTCAGGTAAATAAGAAAGTATTCAAAACTAAATATTAATGCAAATGTATCATAGTGAGATAGCTCTTATTCACATTTCTTAGAATTTTTATACTTAGAGTTATTTCACTATATTTTGTGTAATCTATATATATAAGAGATAGAAGCATTTTTTTTCCAGAATTTTCTATATTTTTCATGACACACAGTTATATATCTTTTAAGTCAATAAAAAAATAATTATTTTAAATATAATTTAAAAAAATAATATATATTAAAATATGATATTTAAAAAATATAAAATAAAAAATCGTCAATAGTGCGAGTGTAAAGTTTCAAAAGTAAAATAACAAAAAGATATAAAGTGCAAAAAAAATGTTAATGATGATTTATTAAAAATAATATATTAAAAATTATAAAAAGTTAAAAATTCATCAATAACGATTTTGTTAATTATTGAAAATTGTAAATAAACATAAGAAAAAAGAGTAATATTTTAAAAATATTTAAGTTCAATAATATTAAATAAAAAATAAATATTATGGAAAATAATGAATTGACACCTATTAAACGAGTATAAATTGGGTAAAATAATATACAAATACAATATAAAAATATAATTAATGAAGAGCTTAGGGTGTAGAGTGTGGCGTGACCCAATGGTGTCTCCCAGCCGCCTCACCCCGTCAACTCTCCCTCACTTTATTCCGTATACCATTTATTATTTAATATCACTCACACGTGTGAGACACCAATAATACATTTGCAAATCCATTTTTTTAATATATCTCATAGATTTTGTTCAAAATCATAATTAATATTAGATATCATAATTTTAAATAATAATAATAATAATTTTTTATTTTGTATCCAAAGACACTAAAAAAATAATGTATATGCATGAGAATGTGCTTATATAAGGTTCTATAAAATTGGTTTTAGTATTTTAATAATGGCATCTAACATGTCATCAATTGGAGTCTTTTCAACCTTTCTCCACCACATTCCAATCTTCTATCTACTCTCAACTTTTTGGTAATGCATCCATGTTACGTAACATTTAATTATCAATTCAATTTATTGAAAAATTATCATTTAATAAATAAATAGAAGAGTTAGTTATTTATATTAAAAAATATAAATATTCTTTAATTTTTAAGATATTAAATGAATCAAAATAATAAATTTAAATAATATATATAATAAAATATCCTTCAGCTCAAAAGTCAAAACCTAAACTTGTAGAAGCTATTCCTTTCCTTGTTTGTGTTCTCAACCGTACATATACTAACAGTAACTTTCACTTTGCATAAATGTGATATGATGATAAACTTTCAAGGCAATTAAGTACAATTTTGACTGTGTTTAAATTTTAATTAGTCTATATAATTACATAAAGTTGAGTTTATCAGATGGACAAAGGAAAGAGATGATTAATTAGCTGAGATTGAATATATGATCTGTAGATAAATAATAAAGTTAAATATTAATATAATTGTAGGTCCCTTGTTCCTTGTAGTAGATAACTTGTCATTTTCTAACTTAAGTGAATTAATTAAAGATTCTGATAATCTCGTTTACTTAATTATCTTTGTGGATATTCACAGTTCAGTTTGTTTTATTTTTCATTCAAAAAAGTCATTAAATTTTACATAACAATTTGAATATAAGTTAAAAATTGAATCAAATCAAATTATAAAATATTAGTTGAGTTTTTAGTCTTCATTTATTATTAAATTATTTTATTTATTATATGACTCTTAATTTGTTTTTAAATTAAAAACAAGTAGTATCTCAAAAATTAAAATGAGTTTATTGAAAAAAAATTAAAAATGATAAAATATATATATATATATATATATATATATTACAAAAAACTAAAAATTTAAAGCAAATAAAGGTGATGCATGTTTATACAATGTTGTAATAAAATTATTTTCTAAATTAAAAAAAAAGTTGTGCATTCCAACTAGAAAAATTATTCAATGCAAGATAGAGAAGACACTTTTTAATGCAAGATCATAGTTATACTCATATTTTCTTGCAAGTAAAGTCACGATTATTTATTACTCACCCTATTTCGTTTACATACCTTATTTGCTTTCTTTTATGTTAATATCTATAGTTAGTGTTATTTATGAATTATTTGAGTTTGATAAAATAAAAAACATATTTAAATAAATAGGTTAAAACTTAATTGTTAAAAAAAATTATATTTAACATTTGATAATAATTTTTTTAAATATTTTATATATATGTATTTAAACAATATTAAGTTATTTATTATATTTATTTAAAAACAACATTATATTTAAGATTTTTTATAAATTCTTATTAATTGTTTAATTTGATTATAAAAATCTGTACTTTAAACAAAAATTTTAAAATTATCATTAAGTTAGTAAAGATTTTTTTTTAATTTTAAGGAATTTTATGAATATAAAAATATATTTTATTACTAATTTACTTAATTTTAGTATAAAAATGTATGCTAAATACTAAAATATTAAACAAATATTTATTCAAAAGAAATTCAATAAAAAATAAATAAGTTATAGAGTTAATTTTAATTTTTCAACTAAGGTTTAAATTTTAATTATTGAGATAAATTTAAATAATATTTAGTGTTCAATATATTTTAACTCGCTTATATTTTGATATGTGTAATATATATTATCAAACTAATTAGAGAAGTGTCTTGTTTATATTTTAATTCCTTTTTTAATACATTTTAATTATTGATTATTTTTTATTTCTTGTGATTTTTTTACTTTTAATAAAATTTAGCTTATAATTAATAATGTGTCGTTAATATTTTTTACCTAATTATAGTGCACGTTTGTTAAATAAATTTGAAAAAAATTCAAAAAATTGGGATGGGAAAAAAAAAACTACGTAAAGAACACAATAAATGTCAGGCTATATTTTCTAGTGACAATTTGATCTAAATTTTAATAAAATTCAATTTTAAATAAAAAAATTTTACAGAAAGAATTGCTTGGTTAGCGTCTCTGACTAACGAGGGTCGATTGTTCACTCAGATCCATCATCAACGAGTTGACTTATTTTTAGTAGTTCCATTTATTTGTGGAAAGGAAACGAAAACCCAAATTGATAGAGTAACATTTTTTTATTTTGAAGTAAAAGTAAGAATTTCAAGGATTGAAATTGGCTCTGCCAGAAACACCGAATTATAATGGACTTTACATATATAGAAAGGCAACACCCCAGAATGAAAAAAGTATAAGATTATTATATTAGATAAAAATATTACTAGTTTTTTTTATAAATACCCATCAGTGTCTTTAAGGAAATTATTAAAAAATCTTATAAAAAATTCGAATGAAAAATGAAAACTCTAATATTTAGTGAAAAGTAATGCAATAAAAATGAAAAATTGCATGGACTAATAATCAAAGATGGATAAGAATAATGGAGTAGTAGATGGGAAGAGTGATGCATGAAGACGTGAGAAGGTAAGAGTAGTTGATGACGGTTTAAATGAGAGACAGCGCACAGACCCACAACATTGAAGCTTATCCCACGTGGCAACTGCTTACACTCTATTCCTGTTACCACATCCCCTGGACCCCACATAACATAACACTAACGTTAACCATTAACCATTAACCATACAACACACCTTCTGTTATTGTCATTGCTTTCAGATCTTCTCCTTTTCTTTTCTGTGCTGTTTCTCTCTTCTGTTTCTACACCAATTTTCACTTCTTGTAAATATCACCACACACAAGAGGGAAAATAAAAAAAATTAAATAAAGAAAGGTTCTCTTGTGGCTCTTTGATGCTTTGCTTTTTTACTTTCCTTGATTCAAAGGTGCCTTTGATTTGATTGCTCAAATTCAGCAATGGCTGTTGCTGTTTGCACCCTATGCTTTTCTTTGTGCAAATTCAAAGGGTGAGATTTTTTTAAATTTGTTCAACTCTTGTATATTCTACTGGTTTCTACGGTTCAAGTTCACACCTTTACCCCAGCTCAATTCACAAGCAAATTACCCGGAAAAGTCCCCCCCCCCCCCCCTCCCTTAATTATTCTAAATTTCAATTCAGTTTGTTGGTTCTGTTATCCTTTTTCTTTATTTTCATTTGACGTGCGGTTTTAAAAATTTTAGTGGGGTTTGTGTCAATGAAACAGAATGAAGATGAGGGAATCTGAGTGTGTTTGATTCGGATTTTACTTTTTTAGTGGTGGGGTTTGCGGTTGTTGCTTAAAGAGTTGTGCTTGTTGCCAATTGTGTTATAATTTTATGTGAACGTTCTTTGCTGTTCTAGGATTTCAATTCCACTGTATTAAGCTTAGTCAGTAGGTTCAATTCAATTTTTTTATGCTCTTGATTTTTAATTAATCTACATATATGAACAGATAGCATAAAGTTCCCAAACGGTTGTTTTTGTGATGTGTGAATTTTAAATTATGCGTGACGTTGCTGGTTTTACGTTTGTTCTGAGCAGAGTTTTGAGTCATGAGAATGGGAAGCAGGATTAGGCAGAGGAGGGAAGGTGAAACTAACAAGGAGGAGTTTGCAGGAAGATAATGAAGTGCCTACGCTCAGGGGACCCATTGGGAGGAGCAGATGAAGTGTTTCCTTCATCCGAATCTCTTGTAAGTGCAACCAAGGACTTTTCAGCTAGTGGACATTCTTTCCTAGCTGAACATGTTGATACGAAGCTGGACACTGGCAATATAGAAGAAGCTGAATCATCCTTACGCGAGAGTGGCGTCTTGAACTATGAGGTTGATTTCATAAAAATAACTTGTCTTTTATGTATGCTGAGACAACCGTTACTGGTTTGCTACTCTTTAGTAGATTTCCGGTTGCTTGCTTTTGGGTATATCCAAGAAGTAACTATTGCTTTCTTGCACTAAATTACTTCAGGCTTTCTTCTTGGTTGGTTATCAATAGTTGTATAAACTACTTTCAGATCTTTCAGTCTATTGCATGTGGTATTAGAATTTGAGTGCGGGCCTGATCCAAGAGGGTATGAAAGAGTGGGCTTAAGCTAAAGTGACTTGTTTGTCAAAAAAATGCACGGTCCTCTTGCTTATATAATCTTGTTGTTAACCGACCAATGTGTAACTTAGCTATCCAACATTGGTCTGTTTATGGAATTTGATCAATACAGTTTTTTGAGACCTTAGAGTTTACATCGAGTTAGTAGAGTCTGTAACTTTGTGTGTGCGTCTGTGCATTTCAATTATTGTTATTTATTAATATCATTATTTAAATAAAAGTATGTCTGTAATGTGCAGGAAGCTAGAGCTCTACTAGGAAGATATGAATATCAGAAAGGAAATATAGTAGCTGCTTTACATGTCTTTGAGGGAATAGATATAGGTGTTGTGACTCCTAAGATTAAAATTGCCCTTACTAGAAGCAAAGAGCGCCGCAAGAGACATCCCCAAGATCATGCTGAACCACAAATGTCTATACATGCTGTTGGCTTACTGTTGGAAGCCATCTTCCTAAAAGCAAAATCTTTGCTGGTTCTTGAAAGGTTTAAAGGTACCCTCACTGTTGTTTGATTCAGAGATTTGCTCCTTGTTTTTTAATTCAATGAATTAACGGTTTTCATTGCATATTTTCTTTTCAATCTCTACTATGGTAAATCCTTTACCTGTGGTCTACCTTGGTTTCCGATGGTTAATATTTGGTACATTTCTACTGCTGTGTCTCTCTTTTAACAGACAATAAGATTTCTTCTGAATGCTAATTATTTTTGTTGCCATACTTTTTTCTCTCCGCAACTGTTCTATAGTTGTGGATGTGGAGTTTTGTGAGTGAACTAAAAGATAAAATTTTCAATGCCAGAAGTTTTTTTAAATAATAATTATCATTTTGATAATGTTGGAACCTGGGTTTCAATAGTCATTCAAGCCAAAAAACAATACTATGGCATAAGCACTTGTAATAGTTACCCTTTCATTGCTAATCATCTGCAATGCAAAGTATTGCTTTAGAATTGGTATCCATCACAGTGGGACATATATTAACTTTCTAGGTAATGTCCATATATGCGCTGCCCCTTAATATATGACATCACTTGACCTGATGATAATTGTGTTATCCACCTTCTTTACTTGAATTTTATTACCTAGAGATCCTGCTAGCCATGATCTTGACATTTGAGCAGAGATTATTTGATGAGAAAGAAGATGGAATTTCTTGAATTTGTGTGGTTTTTAAAAAATATGGAAGTTCTAGGCTATATGAGAAGTTAAAGTATAATCTAATGTATCCTTTCGAATCATTCTTGCAGAGGCTGCACAATCTTGCAAAGTTATTCTGGATATAGTGGAATCTTCATTGCCTGAAGGTTTGCCTGATAACTTTGGTGCTGAATGTAAATTGCAGGAGACCGTGAGCAAGGCAGTTGAGCTGCTTCCAGAATTATGGAAACTTGCTGATTGTCCACGTGAAGCAATTTTATCTTACCGGCGAGCACTTCTTCACCAATGGAATCTTGACGTAGAGACTATAGCAAAGATTCAAAAAGAATTTGTTGTTTTTCTTCTATATAGTGGAGGAGAATCAACGCCCCCTAATCTCCGTTCCCAAATGGATGGCTCATTTGTACCTAGAAACAACATAGAAGAGGCTATACTTCTTTTAATGATTTTGTTAAGAAAAGTCTCTCTAAATAGAATTAAGTGGGATCCTTCAATTTTAGACCACCTTTCATTTGCACTGTCTGTTTCGGGGGATTTAACAGCTTTAGCCAATCAATTAGAAGAATTGCTTCCTCGGACTATCCGTCGAAGTGAAAGGTACTATGCTCTAGGTATTTGTTATTATGGAGCGGGTAAGGACAAGGTAGCATTAGATCTTTTCAGAAAATTGTTGAGCAGTAGAGAGGACAAAAACCATGTTCCTGGTTTGTTAATGGCTTCTAAGATTTGTTGTCAAAGCTCGAGTCTTGCAGAAGAAGGAACAGGGTTTGCACAGCGAGTGCTTGAGGGCTTGGATGGCAGATGTAATCAGCTAGAAAATCTTGCTACTTTCTTTCATGGTGTTTCACTTTCAGCACACTCGAAATTGGCCATTTCTGATTCTGAGAGGTTTAAGAGACAATCTGAAGCACTACATGCCCTAGAAACTGCCGGCAGAATGACCAGAATGAGAGACCCCATGATACTATACCATCTCAGTTTAGAATATGCAGATCAAAGGAAGTTGGATGCTGCACTTTATCATGCAAAGTTATTTGTAAAACTGGAAGGTGGTTCTAATGTTAAAGGGTGGTTATTGTTAGCACGGATATTATCTGCTCAAAAACGGTTTTTGGATGCTGAGTCTATTATCAATGCTGCTTTGGATCAGACTGGAAAATGGGATCAGGGTGATTTGTTGCGAACAAAAGCTAAACTTCAAATTGCACAGGGCCAGTTAAGGAGTGCCGTTGAGACATATACTCAGCTTCTTGCTGTTCTTCAAATTCAGAGTAAAGGCTTTGGTTCTGGGAAGAAGCTATATAAGGTTTATTGTTGTAATAAATTATGCTGATTGAATATTTCTGGAGTGTGGGCCTTTATTCTTGTGTATTACTGTTAGAATTCTATGGATGTAGTCCCTAAAAATGACTGCTTATAGTTGAAAATTCAAAAATTAGCTTTTGCTCCAAGATAGACATTATTGAATCTATTCTTTTTGTTCTTTCTATCCAAGTTTTTTCTTTTCCTTTTGTAACGAATTTTAATTCCACTTGTGCCATAAAATAATTTGCTTCTAGCTGCTTACCTTTTTATCCCTTCCACGTGACAGGACAACAGAGATTGTGCTCGGAACTTGGAAGTGGAAATATGGCATGATCTTGCTTATGTATATATCAGTCTCTTACAGTGGCATGATGCAGAGGTGTGTCTTTCAAAATCCAAGGCCATCAAACCATACTCAGCTTCTAGATGTCATGCAATAGGTAAATATATATATGTGATTTTTATTTTTGAGTTTAATATTTTTCCATTTAATTTTTTCCGGAGATGAAAATGACTCCAACAGGTTATAATCATTTGAAAATAACTGACATATATTGTTTGGTATAGATTATTATTTATTTAAAGGTAATTAGCAATGCAATATGTTGGCATGCTAAGGTAGGAAGGTTTCAAGAGATCAAAGACTGATACAACACACAAGGCATGGACCTTAGGGTGGCAATAAATCAACAAAATAGATCCAACATTCTCCAAATTGTTGATATTATGATGTTTCTCGATGCGCTTCAGAAATCAAAACATGTGGCATGATATTTATTTTCAGCAGATTAAGTAGTGTAAGCATGAAATGGGAAAAGGGGGGGGGGGGGGATTTTGTAGAATAAGTATGAAAATTCCCATTTTAGTTGCTTCTCAGTTGGATTGTTTTGCCTATTAATTTCACAGGTATAATGTACGAAGCAAAGGGTCTTTACAAAGAGGCACTAAAAGCTTTTAGTGATGCTTTGGACATTGATCCTGGCCATGTCCTTAGCTTAATCTCCACTGCTGTAGTTCTTAAACGATGCAGTAATCAATCGAATCCTGCAGTGAGAAGCTTTCTGATGGGTGCATTACGACATGACAGATTCTGTGCTTCTGCTTGGTATAATCTTGGCCTTCTTCACAAGGCTGAGGGTACAACATCATCATTAGTAGAAGCTACAGAATGTTTTCAGGCAGCACACATTCTTGAAGAATCTGAACCTGTTGAACCTTTCAGATGACTGATTCTATAAGCCTCAAAAGGTTGGTCTATTGCTAGAAGCAAAAGCATGTGATGCATGTTTTATCTCCTATCTTTACTTATTTAAATAACGATTTTGTGTAATCTCAGCCATTAGAGTCAGAGTTTTAAGCATCCAATAGTAAATTTTTATCATAAAAAAAAATTGTTATACTTTTGTTTTTTCAATTTAATAAAACTGCTAGTGAATCTTCTTCTCTAAGCGTGAACAATCTACATCTGATCTTACAGGAGAGATGCATTGACCATGGTGTGGAAAGATAGTTCAAAACAAATAAACAAAGGAAAAAGATGGCAAACTCTATCAGTAGTTTTTGTGATGCAATGGTTCACGGTTGGTATATTCATTTATAATTTTCACTTGTCATCTTTAGTTAAGAGGTCAATCAGAAAGTAATAAATGGAAAAAGAAAAAAATAATTTAGAGGCTTGTTTAATGATTTAATTTGAGTTTGATTAAATGGCTAAACCTGCCATTGTTACCCTCAGCTGCAAACGTGGGCTTAGATTGAGTAGATAAAAAACGTTATAATAAGAAAGTTTTAGACATAGCATATTTAGACATTGTTATTTTTTGTATACATTTTATTACATCTAAATCATAATCATCATTTGATGAAATCATGAAGTATATTCATAAGTTTAGTTTATTTAAACTTCCTATAGTACTAATCGCTGTTTAGCTACCGAAGATGAGGATTATGCGATTTCTATTCAAGAAGATGTTTGCTTTTTGATATTTTAGCTTTCTTATCAGTCGTAAGTACCATCTTGACACACTCATGGTGAGAATCAAACCATATATTTAACTGTTTGATTATCCAACAATATAATCTACATCTAAGTATCTAAAGAGGTTGTCAAAAGAAATTAAATTTTCTCATATGGTTAAGTAATATGATACTATCGCTTTAGGAAAAATAATTTCACATTTTATTGAATTTAATTAATAAATTTTGTAATCAAGAATGATGTTAGTAACACTCTGTCTCTAATATACTTTTTATTATTAGTTAAAATTTATTAAAAATTAATATATTAAAGAAAAATATTAATTTATGAGTAAAAAGAGTGAAATGTACATAATTTTTAATAAATTATAGTTAATAGTAAGAAGTATATTACATGAAGTGTGATGATAATATCATTTTTAAGATAGAATTTTATTTGAGAAAAAGTATATATTTTTCACTTTATCATGATACATTTTAATTGTAAAAGTTGCTTAAGCATTCTCAGGTACTATAGTAAAATTTTTGAAGGTGAAGCCAGGTGTCTAGATTATGATGGTTATGCACAAGGCGTGAAGAAGGTGGTGGAGTAACAATGTATTATTAAAATATGTCATAATTATCTCATTAAGTTTTATCCAATTAGGTTTAGTGTCTCTTTCTCTACTCTTCTTTCTTTCTTCAAAACTTCACTTTCAAAAGAAAATGTATTGTAATATAAAGGAAACCAAGACAAAGACAACTCACTCGAGTACGACATGCACAATTAGTCAATACATGATTTTCAGAGATCAATGTCTCGTTTAATAAAATTTATGAAATTATCATTTATATAAGTTTTTTTAACTTATGTTAATAAGTTTTATTAATTAAATCGTGTTTTATTAAATGTACGTTAATTATAATTAGAATATTGCATGGAAGGCTTCAGCTAATGACTTCAAATTTTTTTCTTTATCCTAACTAATTTACTGTAACAAATAAGTTCTAAATAACTGAAAAATGGTTATTTTCCCACCGTTTTATGTCTTTACTTTAGGGTATAAAAAAAATTGGCAGCATTTTAGGTTTGCTTAAGTTAAATGGTATTAATGGTATTTTGTTTATAAAAAATATATACAACTTTTAATAGGATATTTTAATTTCATTAATTCACTTAGAATTAAGTTATTTATTCTATGGATTAACTAAGACAAATTCATGCATATTTTTGCCTTTTAGAGCCTAAGGTTCTCAGTTTATACTTTTTTTTTTTTTAATATAAACTTTTATTAAATAATTCAATAATAAAAATACACTAAAAAAATATATTACTAATATTTCACTGCCTAAAATATCTTATCAAAGCAATTAAAATTCGACATGGATAGCGAATCAGCGATTGCGTATACACTTTGTCTTATCTATCTATCTATCTAGTAAAAAATTCTGTTTTTTATAATTTGATTATAGTCAAGAGAAATTTTTTTTATTAGATTTTGTGATAATTTTCTCTCATCATGAGCTAAGAAAATTGAAGAGTGGAAGAGACAAAAACTTATATTATAATAATAAAATAAATTTTTATATAATATGATTACTTTTAAAATATGAAAATAAAAAGATATATATATTTCATTACACAATATATTTTTCTTTCTTCTTATTTTTTTTTATTCTAAACCCAAAACCCAATGTCCACCACCATCATCACCTATGACCACTTTTTACATAATTTTTCTTTTTTCTCACTGTATTTGTGCCATGAAATTGAAAATAAGGGATGCTCCTATTTCAGAAAGGTAACTTGTATCTGAATTTCTGATATAAAGTAAATTCTTCTTTATATTCTCTCCATAACTTCCAGTGGGAAAAAAATTCCATGCAGTAAATTTTTTTAAGTATGTTCATTTAAACAGTTAATTTTTTGCTCATCCATATTGAAGCCTGTCAAGTATCACACGTTTTATTTTTTATGCCATTTCAGTTATCTCTAATGGTATTTTCTAATTAAATTACAAGTATTTCATTGTAAAAGTTGCTTAAGTATTTCTGTAGAAAAATTCTTACTATACTTGAGACTTCTTTTATTTAAAAAATTATATGAATTAAATATTTTATTATTTGTAAAAAATATGGAAGAAAATACAAAGAAAGAATGCCAATCTATTTTACAATAGAACAGAGATCAACCATAATGTATCTCACTTTATTAATGAATAAGAGTGTATTTAACAATAATAATCAAACATTCTTTCATTAGGTGTAATCTGCTACACGAATCATACAATATCGTTAAATCTAGTCAAAAATTAAATTTTTAAAATTTTTATTAATTAAAATGTCATTTTTAATAATTTTGTTTTAAATTTTTTTATCTCTTTTAATCTTTTTAAATAGAAATGCAATATATGTTGAGATACTGATGAAGTTAATGTACATTCCTTAATCACTGTGCACCATATAATATGATGGAACTGTTATACCATACGCACTTATTCAGCTACTATGACGGTTCAAAAAGACTCAAAATTAATACTATTTGTTTCGGTTTTGTTTTTATTACCTTGTTGTTTTTAAATTTAGTTATTTTTTAATCCCTAAATCATTATTTATTTATTCATTAATAATGTAATGCTTTATAATTAATTGCTAAGTCATTGTAAAATAATTTAAGAGTGTATTTAAAAATTTATAAAAGATTTATAAAAATAACATATAGCTTTTATACATTTTAAGAAAATTTATTCAAATTATAATTTTTAGTAAATTGTTTATTATTAAAAAACATCAGTACATTTAAAATTTAATTAAAATGTATTAATCTGTATAATTAATAATTTCAAGTCGTATTCTAGCTGATTAACTATAAAAATATAAACATCGATACACTATATATATAATCACTTCATTAATAAATAGTAACAAGAATTATTTAAAAAGGTTTTAAAAACAAAAAAATGAAATAGAGAAAAGAGAGAGAAATCATGTATACACTTGAGATAGAAAGAAAGAAATTGCAGGGGAAGCAGAGTATTTCCGCATACTACTCCTAAATACTCATTCGCTGCTCTTCCTTCCACACTAAGTATTTTGAAATACAATATACTGTGTGCATTGTGAGAACAAATCCACCCACACAGCAAAAAGCACCTTCTCTACTGAGTCTGAGAGAGACAAAGATCAAAGATGAAGAGAGCAGAGGAAGAAGCAGGACCATCATCTGCTTCTGGAATTGGTGCAAGTAAACAACATACCCACCATGATATTAACCACCAAGAAGAGCCTGAAGAAGAGGAAGAAGAAGAAGAACAAAACATTAACCATCTTCATAAAAATACCACCTTTGTTCCTGGTCCTCTTCTTTCTCTCAAGGACCAGATCGAACGGGACAAGGTTTCCCATTTTCTCTCCCCCCTTGCTTTTCTCAGCTCTTTTGAAATTCTGGGTTTGCAAAAAAAATTGCTTTTTTTTGGTCCCTTTTCAGTACCTTGCTTAATACTCTCTTTCTCTTCAATTCACGTGTTCTGTTGAAAACCCTTGTGTGACGGAAACCTTATGTTGATGTCTACAACACCCCAAAATTTTCTATTGCTAAATGTTCCAATCAAATCCCAAAACCTCAAATTTTTAAATGTTGGTTGTGCTGTGCAGGAAGATGCTAGCCTAAGGAGGTGGAAAGAGAAGCTATTGGGTTGCCTGGAAAGTGATTTAGATGGTTTGTTTATTATCATCCTTGTTTAAGCTTTACAACAAACACTTTTGCTTCTTATGTTGAACTTGTTTTTTTAATCAATGTAGGTCAAATAAATCCTGAAGTGAAATTCCACTTCATCGGAATAGTCTCTGAGGATTTTGGTGAAGTCATTACTCCTTTACCTGTGGATCAAAACCAGAATGGTCATATTCTATTCACTCTCAGGGAGGGATCTCATTATCAGCTTAAGCTCAAATTTAGTGTTCTGCACAACATTGTGTCTGGCCTCACATACTGCAACACTGTCTGGAAAGGAGGACTTCAAGGTAAACTTTTCACTCTCTTCTCACCTGGTTTTAAGTTGTATCTGTTCATTTGCCCACAATTTCCCAGTTGCTTAATTTTCCAGATAATCTTGGGTTTGTATTATTATTGTTAATTGACTTGTAAAAACCATAGGTTTAAAACTTTAATTTCATATATCACAAGTCACAACTCTGCAAACTTAGCTCCCTAATTTTTTGGACAGTGTAAAATAATGATCATGCAATATTCTCTTAGATAAGTTTATCTGTTAGTTTATATCTGGAACCTCAGTTCCATGATGTACAGCTTCTGGATTTAATGCTTTAGGAAACTTAACTTTTGATATGTCAGAGAAGCAGTTGAAACTGTTACTGATTATCCGGTCTTTTTGTCTTCCTTCAAGTAAGGTTGCATTTTTTGTGATCATTGAAGTCCTTTTCAATTATACTCTGTAGGAAGAATTTTTAGGTTTTATTATCACCCTAAGAGGAAATAACAATTTTTAGCATGAATTGCAATTAACAATTAGTTTTAATTACTGGATTTATTTATTGACATTTACATTTTGTCAATTTGCACTACTGCCTCTCTTCGTTGTTGTAGGTGGTATGATTGTACGGAAAACATATGTCTTTTGCTAGACATTAGGTAATTGATAATGACCTATCTTTTATGCATTGCATTGAGAATTCATTTATGTTCTTTGCCATTTTAGTTGACCAGAGTAAAGGAATGCTGGGTACCTTTGCACCTCAAAAGGAACCATATATACATGCCTTGCAAGAGGAGATCACTCCATCTGGTGCGCTTGCAAGGGGTGTCTACTCAGCCGAACTTAAGGTATGCAAAGTAAAAATACACTAGTATGTTTTACTTAATATTTGCGGTGAAATTTCTGTGTCTTAGTTTAAGTTTTTTTTAAGTGAACAACGCATTTTCTTTTTGGGTCTTGATAGGCAAATGTATGGTTACTTATCTGAATAGTTTTATTGAGTAATAATTGTTAAGCTTAATTGCATTTTATGTTCTTTTGGTATGCACTGTGTGATTTTGGTCCCTCGAGTTTTGTTTTTTTTTAAACTAATGTCTTCATTTTTAAAGTAAAGCATATTTGGTATTGCTGATGTTCTTCTGCCTAAAATCCTCATTCTCAGTTTCTACTCAAAATCTTTATAAATTGAATTAATAAAATTTTCTCTTACTCAAAACTTACCACCAAAACATTAAATTCCATGGAAAATAAACTCAAATTTTTTCTGCCTTAGACTCTGATCTCACATCTTATGAACTCTAAAGCCTTAAAATTATTTCATATCCCAAATTGATCATAAACCTCTCAATATTTGAACAAATAACTATTTGAGGGTTTTAATTGGAGGAATTCTGTATGTTTTATATGGAGTTCTAGACAGCCCGAATATAGGATCGGACCTGTGTGTTTAATGCTTGATAATCCTTAAAACTCAGACCCAATAATTTTCCTTTTTGCTATTTGTCCATTTTAGCTGCAATGTCATCACAGCGAAGAGATGTGAATGGTTAGGTATCAATATCAATAATAATCACAATTCACAAATAATTATATATTTTATCACTTACATATATTTTACAGTCACCATTTTAATTTGCTAAAGGTTATGTTTTACGAATTCAAAACACAAATACATAAAGATGTGAATGGTTCCTATGGTTGGCCTAGTTGTTTAAGTTTTTAGAACTTAGGAACAATATTTCGTGCTTTGGCATATTTTTGTATGTGTGTGATTTGTATGACTACATTCATAAACTCGGTACTCTTTGTTTACTATGTTACAGTTTGAAGACGATGACAGAAGGTGTCACATGGAGCTCCAATATTCATTACAGATAAAAAAGAGGTAGTCAAGATTTATGGCACGTTTATGTCATCATGGGTCTTTTTTTTTAAAATCCCCTCGCCTCAATGGTTGTTCCTCTAAATTCTTAGTTATATAATATTGAAACTTTTGTTAACTATGCTATTTAGTACTCAGAAGTTCTCTTTTATTGTTGAGTTGTGGTTGCTAATCATAAAAAAAATGGTCCATTAGGACTATGGCAAATGGCAATTCCACCGTTGGCAAATCATGTTTAAGGACAGTAACATTTAATACACAAACAATTAAAAAATGACACTAAATGTGATGCTGTTATACAATTGTCTTGATTTATTCATATTTACCTTTTATCTATAACACATTTTAAAAACAAATTCTAAATCTAAAGACACCTAAAAAGATGTTTTTCCAGTGATACAAAAATCATTTGAAGTGTCAGCATCTCAAATTCTCATTCAAAAACACGATTGAGGTCTCACTACGCGACAGTAAGATAGAGCGTAGGTCTCATCATAGATGGCATGAAAAAGAAAGATCACCATATCAAGTTTGAAAAAACAAAAAGCAAAATCCATAACAACTCCGACCGTTGCTGGAAAACACCATGCGTTGGTGGTGGAATGAGTGATTCAAAAGAATTCGTCAATATTTTGACCAAAGAAACAAAAAAAATATGATAGTCTTGTGGACAGTTATATATATATATAGGTAAGTTCGAAATTCCCCTTCACGCAAACAGCTTGTGTAATGAAAGATTGGATTCAAATCGATGAGTTTTTCATGCTAATTACAAAAAGAAAACTGCTCTGTAATACGAACAAAATTGTATGAAAATGACGCGATTGGGTTCTGTCAATTCCCTTATTTACTATTTTTTTTTTCTCTTTCACTCATTAAATGGTTGATTTTCTCATAGCCACGTCAATTCTTGATTAATTGTACAAAAATGAATTTTTTACGGCAATTGTACCAAAATATTATAGCAATACTGTTACATCAATTTCTTTATATATATACATGTATACACATAAAGAAGTTTATATAACGGCTATACAGATATAAAAGCCTAACTTTATGGCAAGTACGGTACCAATTGCCGATCCTAAGTCTTAAGGAATCTTTAAAAAATTGGTAACATAATGGGGTGGTTTTGTTTTAATATAAGATAATAATAACAAATTAAAAATTTTAAAATTAGTTCTTATGCAAAGTGATTTTGAGAATCTCACTTTTCAAATTTTTTTTCTTTTTTTTTATGTTTTTCCCCCTCTCTCCTTGGTTTAGACCTAAAGTGACTATTGAATAAGATATTCCTTGTAAGGATCACTCATTCTTAATTGTCAATAAACAAGTAAAGGGGTTTGAAACAAGAGGGTAAAGCTTCATCACAAACGATTATAAACCAAATTTAGGTAAGGGGTGTTGTTTTGGGTTTTTACATCCCCTATGATTAAACACCAAATATTCATAGAAAAATGGGGGCAGTTTCTTATGCTTTGTCTTTAGCCAAAGTTCAAACACATGAATCCTATCCTAACGCAGATGCAGGCAGTGGAATGCTATGTAAAAGAAGGGACAAAAAGAGAGGCTCAACTGGTTTCGCCCAAGTTAATGCAAAATGAAAGAGTTGGCGAAGATAACAACAAAGTGAGGATTGAGCATTTAAGTTTGGCTTTTACAAACACACAAAATGTAGTGCTTAACGGCGATACCAAGAACAATAACAAAGGACGAAGCCATAGTTTGTATCGGAAATTCCCAAGTCCAAAAGGACAACAAAGCATCTCATTTCATAATATTTGTCATGTATACAAACACATGTATCTCATTTTCATTTAACGACCAAGTGGATAGAGGCAACTGCCATTTGCAAATACAACTTAGGAAATTCATCCATTTTTTTTGGGTTATGCATGGAAATGGAATTTTCATCGACGCCTCCCCCTAAGTTTCGCTTCAGAGATCACTCACTGCCGGAGGAGTCTCAACACTCATCAGAGCCTAGCTCAGAGGACGTCGTTTCTGCCGTGTCACTGTCTATTAGTGATGAAGCAGATTGCGAGCTTGATGTTGAGTCCATCACCGGAAGAGTACTTTCACATTTTATCAAGAACAATTCTATTTCTATTGATGCTTTATATATATATATATTGCTAGAAGAAGAAAAGATGAAAAAGAAAGGATGATAAGAGTAGTATAAGAGGGATAGTTCATGAAGATATATAAAGAGGAAAAATAAATTATAAAAATATGTTATAAAAATATAATATTTATTTTGTTTATGGGTAATGTCCTCTTGACATCTAAGTAGGTGTATAAACTTACAAAAGAAGAAAATAAAAATGGAAAGAACATGAAGATATGACAAATGATACAAAGAGATAAAGAAAAATTAAATATTGTGAAGAGGGTATGAAAAGCAAGTGTGAAAGACGAAACTCATTTGATACTAGTTTTTTCATATGTGCTTTGGCTTAGGTGAATAGATTGTTATTTGACAGGGCATCAAGCATCTATGTGATGAACTTCGGGAGCTAAAGGAAGCAGCAAGTGATGATTTACAGAAAAACATTTTTGCTAAATATTCCTCATTTCTTAGGTAATTAAAATGCTCAACTTATTTCTTTTTATGTTTATCATCAACAACATCTACTATATGGTTTAAGCCCCATGCTGCAGAATTAATGTTAGCTTGAATTTTGCAACAAGCCAGCAACCCAACTACTTCACATAACTTTTTGATTTATATTTTTTGAAGGATTATTTTTTCTCTTTTTCACTTTAGCATTTTATCACATGCATGTGGAATACAGAGAAGGTGTATAAAAAGTGGAATGAGAATTTTTTATTTTATGAGAAATTTCTATTAAAAAATGTAAAAGAGAAAAAAAAAAAAGCATTTTCTATCTCTGAATCAAACCTATGCCTTGTCACTATATATATATGTATGTATGTATGTATGCAACTCCTCCATTGCATCTATGTCACGTGATAAAACCCTAAGTTATGTGAAAAAATAGAAAGAAAAAGGGCAAAAGAGATTCTTTTTCAGGGAGAGTAATGAGGGTGTAAAATAGTAATACAGAACAATAAGAATTGCTTATGTAAACTACTTCTTAGACCTTGCAACTTCAGAAGTAGGTTTACTCATTATTATTGTTTTGACGGTTGAATGGCATACAATATTGAGGTAGTGTTATGCTCTCATATGTGTAGAATCCTAGAGGAAGTAACAGAAGTGGAAAATGAGCTTGTTCAACTGGAAAACCATTTCCGATCTCATAAAAGGCTAGTAAAGGATCTTACAGATCGCATATATCCAAAGATATTGTCCATAGACTTAGCCTTTGAAGATCATATACATGTTGTCCAATCTCACTCCAATGAATTGGAAGCTCATATTAATGATGTTTCAGAGAAGCTAGACATTTTCATATTAGAAAACAGGATAGATGAAGCCCTTCACATTATAGAATCTGCAGATGAACATTATCGAAGCATTCAATTGCAAGACAATTCACACAGTGAGATAATGTTATTATATAACTCTGTCATTTCTGAGAAAAAGTCAATGCTAATACAACAATTGGCACAAATAGCTGAGAATGAAAGAACAGCAGGACCAGAACTACAAAGGGTACTAGTTGGTCTTTGCAGGCTTGGTGATTGTCAACTTGCTATTCATTTGTTGATTAAGCATTACCACTTGCGTATTGTGGCTGGAACAAATAATTTGCAATGGGAAAAATCATCATCAAATGAGACATATATTAAAGAACTTGCAAAGTTTGTGTTTTCTATGATTTCACAAGTGGCAAGGAGCTTTGTGAGGTTATGTGGAGAAACATCTCCTTACACATCAGAACTTATGTTGTGGGTGTATGAAGAAACAAAGTCATTTATCACTTGCTTTGACAAATATGTTAAAAGCCCCTCAGCAATAAGTGGTGGATTGTCCTCTACCATAAAAGCTGTGAAGTTTGCTGTCTTGTATTGTTCTTTGTTACAAAATCAGAAATTAGTGTTGCAGCCATACTTGGTAAAGCATCTTTGTCCTTGCATGGAAGAAGTTTTAAATACACATATAAACCATTTTAAGAAAGTGATTGCTATCTTCTCAGCAAGTGATCCTTGGATTCTAGAGAAATACCTTGTGTCTGGAGTATTCGTTGGAGTTGGATCTTCAACTCTTGCTGTTGAGGAACAACCTGACTATTGCCCACTAACTACCAGTGGCAGAAAGGTTCTGACATTATTGCAGGTTTGTTCTATATATTATTAATTTGCTTTATAAGGTAAAGTGAAAAGATGACTAGGTGAATTTTAATGTTACAAGTGCTAGAACTCCTACCTGCACAATACATTGATGGTCAATAACTTGCCTTAACTGATTAGAGTTTAGACATTTGTTCAAGATAAAATGTGTATACTAACCAAGCTGCAATTTTGATAGTTGTTTTGCTAATGCTCCAGTGGCAAAACTTGTTCATTTAGATTTGTTTAAATATAACCTAGTGGGATAAGACTTAGTTGTTGTTGTTTATTTTATCCTTTCCCATGAAAATAATAAGCACATGTGATTTTTTATGGAGTTACGTAAAAAATTGTTATAATTTTAAGATAACTTATGATTTATAACTGGTATCCAACTTCATTTTTTTTACCCAATTTTTTTTTTCTTTTTGACTTGCCCTGTAATGAGACAACCGTTGTATGAAAAAATAGGAGAGATTATCATTTTTCTTTATTAATTTGTCATTTTCTATCTACTATATATCAGGCCATCATAGAAGATATTTCTCCTTTAGTTTCCCTTCAAATGGGAAGTTTAGTTATTAGTGGAATCATGAACCTCTTCAGAGAGTATATTATCATACTTGAAAGAGCCCTTACTTATGAAACAAGTGCAACAGAAAAGGGTAGTCCAAGAATCAAGTTAGCCGAGTCGCTGCCACAACAGATTGCTATTTTGGCTAATCAATCAACGATAGTGAACTTTCTCTCAATCATGCTCAAAAGTATCTTTAGTAGCATTGGTCACATGGATTCACTAGTAATGGAAAACCATTCAATTGTTCATCGGCAACAAGAACTTGATGATTTCTTGTTGTTCATTGAAGAGGGCTCCAATAAATTGAGAAATACGTTTTGCCAGAAATTAATTCTTAGAATATTGTCTACTTACCATAGCCATGAAATATTTTCAGCAGTTCACCACAATGGTCAGTTTGATGCTAATCCAATGCCTTCTGGTGTTTTTCAGGTATTATTTTCACAAATAATTCCCTAAAGACTATATGTTACAATCAAATATGACTGAAAGAGATTAAAACAATTGATAGTATAATATTTTTTATGCTCAAATTTTATCTTACTTTTTTGAAATTTTAAAGGCCTTTTTTTATAGAAAAATATTTAAATTTGACATAGAAGCTACTGTAACTTGAAAAATGGTGCAAATAGTTGTGGACAAATAGTTGCTATTTGTTGTTGTAGCCTGAAATACTCATGATTTGGTCTTACTATTTGGTCTGTCTTGAGAAGGTTTTATTTCTAGAATTGAGGAAAATAGAGCAACTTGACGAAAAAATGTTTGATGCAAATTGGTTAATGGGATTATTGAGAGAGCTGATGGAATCTATGTTTATTTGGGTTTCCAATAACAAAGAGATCCTTGTAACTAAAGAAGAGAATATGAGCTTACAAACTGACGAAGCCAAACAGGTTTTTCTTTCCTTCGTTTTTGCTTTTTGTTCAGTCTAGATTCAAAAACTAAATGCATCATTGCAGCTGTTTGTGGGCATATTTACGTAGCTAAATCTGTCCCACTATTTGTTCGCATATTCACATGCTTGCTATTTTTATTGTCAATATTCATGCAGCGTTACAAATATATATGCTAATCAAATAATTTCCCACATTGTGTAATATAGTTATGCATAGTAGATATATGTTGCTGATGATATTTCCGTTGACTACAGAAACCTACTTGAATGGTGGGTTAGTTCTCATAAGGTTGATTATTTCTATGTTAGTTTCCTTGATTCCCTATCCTGTACCCAAAATTTACAAACTTTTTTGGAAAACACCAACTTCTTAGGTTTCAGGTGCTATTGCTTCTTTTTTTTTTATGTAAGTTTTGGGGTGGGAGCTTTAATCCAAACCTCTAATACCTTTGAGGTAATATAAATTAATATTCCAGTAATCTTTATCACAAAATTTTAAAATAATTGACCTCATATATGATATACCTTTTTAATTTTTCTGGTTTAATAGATCTAGTTTGTTTTTTAGAAAGATATGATTTGGTTGTAGTGTGTTGTCTTCCAGAGCAAGTATTTACTTACATTTGTTAAGAGGAAATAATTCCTAAAGCATTTTCTTTCATAATCTCTAGTAGGCATAATTAACAAGGGTCTGCATATTAAACCTAAGTATAAATCCTTTATAAGGATGCGTTTTTGGTTGGCAGAGGTTATTTGAAAAGCTTAAATTGTGTGAGACTATGAAGCATGGCGTATAAGGAGAGTATTGTCATGATATTAACCTATCTAAAGTGATTCTCATCCATTTTCTTCGTTCATTGACCAGTTTATTTTGGACGTGCAATTCTTGGTGGAAATTGGAATGTATGGAGGATACTTCTCCAAGGATCCTTTGCTCCTTCTCAGTCTCATGAAATCAACCTTTAATTCAGTTGGGCTTGACCCTTTCAAGTAATGCATTCTTATTTATTGTGCTTTAAAAATTTAGAGTTCTTTATTTTTCACAGTTTTGTAAACCTTAAAACAATCTAATCGCACATCTACATATTTCTTGATCAAAATGTACATAGCTAATGTGAAATTTGACAAATAAAGTTTACAAGCAATAATTTCATGGCATCCTTAAATGAAAGTATCTCCAGTCCCATCTTCTGTATAAAAATTGATGAGCAGAGTCAACTGGTTGTCGGCAATTGAAGTTCAAACATTGACTCATAAGGAGTTATTTCCTGATGATATTATTGTTGTGTTCTTTTTAGAGATGTAGATGATGATGATTGGGCCATAGATGCTGCTACTAAAACAATTCAAAAGTTGTTGGAGATTGAGAAAACAAGTTTGCATCCAAAGGAGCTTGTAGCTACCATCAAAGAGGAGTCACATGAACATGAGAATCACATCGATCAATCAGCACATGGATGTAATATTTCTGAGGAAGATGATATAAATTCCTTAGAGGATAACAAAGATACAATGGATGCAGGGAAAGATGAGGTTCCCAATGATGAATCAGAAGCTGCTACTGATGCAAAAACGGCTTCACCAAACATAGTATTTATCCATGGAGAGGGGTCACCCTTGAAGAAAGATTATGTTGATTCAGACATTTTAAATTTGACACAACCAGTTAGCATGAATTTGCAAATCCAGAATACTGATTTTGAAAAGGTTACATATTCTAAAGATGATGAATTGGCTCCAACATCTTCTATGGATGAGGTTGGACAGAATCAAGAGGAAACTAAATTAAAATTAAATGAATGATCAACATTTATTTAATTTATTCATTACATAATCTTGGTTTTATATAATTTTGTTTAAGACACTTATTTGAATGTCTTCATGTTCATGTAAATTTGTAGGTCCCACCAATTTAAGAGACATAGGACTAAATTTGGTTATGATTTTAGATAAAAATTCATAAGATAATCGTATAAATAAAATGCAATTCGATTTGAATTAGTTTAACTGTTATGTGTTTAATATTAATTTTGTTTGAGTCAATTAATCAACAATTGGGGTGGTGGCGCAGTTGGCTAGCGCGTAGGTCTCATAGCTTCTGAGCAATCCTGAGGTCGAGAGTTCGAGCCTCTCTCACCCCATTGTTCCTTTTTTAAAGTTCTTTATGCTAATGGGAGAACTCTGATAACGCAACTTTTTGTACAATCTTCCATGTCTTAATAAGCCTCTCGAAGCACATTATCTATGTTTTCACTACACACTTGGACCATTTTTCTAATTTATAACAGCTTGTTTAGTCTATAAAACTTCTGAGTTTTTCAAATTTGTTAAAGTATATTCGGTTTTCGAATTTTGTAATTTGTCATCACAATTTTCAGATTCTTTGGTATCATTAATTTAAATTTTCCAAGTTATACTTACACAAAAAAAAAAAAAACCATTGGTTTATAACCGACTAGTTTTATTATTAAAATACCCATAATGCTATTTGCAAAAAGAAATCTTAAAACCAATAAAAGCAAATAGGTATTGATCACAAAAATACCAAACTCTTAAAAACACATTCTATTAATTATTACTAAATTCGAATCTCTCATTCAATAATACTATAAAAAAAGATATTTTCTTTTGAGTAATTAGCATTTAAGCAAGTTATATTCATTTGGAAAAACGGACGCCACTACAAAGGCCTAAGATAAGAACAAGACAACTTGGTGGGGCCGGTTTCTGGAGAGATGTTAGAATTATTATCATTAAATTCACAATAAAAAAGGGAAAAGAAAGAAGAAACTGCAATTTACAGTGTGTAAAACACAGTGAGTGACGATGTTCATAACGGTCAGTTCCCACTTTTTCAAATAAAAAAGAATTTTTAAGAAAGAAAGAAAAAAAAGGGTTTTCAGGTTTGTTGACCGTTTTTGTCCCTACCCACCAACCAACCTTAAACACACGCTCTTCCTATTCTTCTTCTTCTTATTTCTCTTACACATGAAATGTACTATTTGATGCCTTTGCCACCCATCATCTCTACCATAACCATTGTCCAAACCTTCTTCCTTTGAAGTCTTAATGGGTTGCTTTCTTGGTTGTTTTGGTTCCTCCAAACACAGAAAGCACAGGCACAAGGTCCAAGTAAGACTCTTTCACTCTCTTCAATTCCATCACCCCTTTTGCTTCTTTGCCATAACAACCCACAAGATTACCAAGATTTTCTTTTCTTTCTGTTTTCCAATAAAAATTTTATTTTTCTTTCATTTTACAGCGAAATGGTAGTAGCAATATCAAGCCAGAGCAACCCAGTTTCTCTTTGGTTCAGGATCAACCCAAAACTGTTCTTAGCACGGCATCTCAACTCCAGTGAGCAATTCCCATTCATCATTTTCAAATTTCGTTCCTTACCCCCCCCCCCTCCTCTCGCTTTTTTGGGAGGTTTTGATATTATGAACTATTTTTTTTATTTAATTTTAACTTTCTTTTTTGGTTAATGCAGGGATAAAAATGAGGAGCAGAGTAGCAGAAAGAAAGTAACTTTCGATTCCAATGTGAAAGCCTACGAGCCTGTTTTGCCAGATGAAGTTGGAGATTCCCCTACAGAGAGGAAGAGTGAAGAAGGTGGAAAGGAGGAAGCTTTGGCCCAATCAAAGTCCTCCTTTTGTGAAGATAGTTCCTTGACTTCAAGTGGGTCTTACCCTTCAAACCATAGGTACCAGAATTGCAGGGACAGTGATGATGAAGAAGAAGAGATTGATTGTGGAGACAGTGATCTTAGTGATGAAGAAGAATGTACTAATGAATTGGGTGAAGACTATGAAGGAGATGTAATGGTGGCAACTACTACTGATGCTAATCATGTGTTTGTTGAAGAGGTTGATGTGAAGTCAATTGTGTCCAATCCCAATGCTAGAGACAGAAGTGTTTATGTTCATCCTGTGCTGAATCCAGTGGAAAATCTCACTCAGTGGAAAGTTGTTAAGGCTAAAAGAACACCACCTTTGAGGCCTCAGAAGGAGAACGAGTTTGTCTTTGGTGTCAAGGAACCGCCTTTCAGCTTGAATCCAGAAACTGACAACATATCAAAGAAGGTGAACCAGGAGATTCCAGTTGATGCCAGCCTGTCAAATTGGTTGGTTTCATCAGAAACTACACCAACAAACAAGGCTGGTTCAGGGGCTTTCCATGCTGGTACCCCTGATAGGAGCACCTCACAAGGTTCAAATTCTGTGATGAGTCATGAAGATAGGCCAATCTTAGGTGCATTGACAATGGAAGAGATCAAGCAATTTTCAGCTACTTCTTCTCCAAGGAAGTCCCCCAGTAGGAGTCCAGATGAGATGCCTATTATAGGCACTGTCGGGACCTACTGGAAAGTTGCAGGTTCTGCTGAGGATTCTGGCTCAGCCTCTTCCTTTAAAGGAATTCCAAACACAACAAGCAAGTACAGAGAGGTAAAGATGAGGTGAACTTTATAGGAGAAATTATTACTCATTGGTTGAGGGTGAATTCTGATTTGGGACCTGACTTGTGCAGGATAAGAGAGTGAATTGGCACTCTACCCCATTTGAGACAAGGTTAGAGAAAGCTTTGAATGGAGGCGCTGCTTCTACTTATGGTCCTCGTATATTTTAAGATAAGCTTTGAATAGTGTGGTATTGGGAAGTGAGTGTATTTTTTAATTCTTTTATCAAAGTGATAGAGTGTGATGTTTATTTTTCTCTTGTAATTTGTACTCTTGGGCCCTTGTCTGGCTTTAAAGTTCAACAAGTCATGAGTCCCTTTGAAATTCAAGTACAGCTTGTAACAATTGCAATATGTTTACTATTTTTCAAGTTTGCTTGCACTCTTGCTGTGGGATCTTGGATTGTCTTTATGCGCTGATTGGAGAGGCATGTTTCTCAACGGTCGAGTTGCATAAAAAGATAACTTGATATAGTGTATGATATCATAGAAAGCTAGCATGATACATATTATTATTAAACAAAGGATATCCTCTTATAGCGCATAAGGAATTTAAAGGATTATGCTAGTTTCATGTTACTTGTAAAGCAATCTTTAGTTTTTAACTGATGAATATTGCACAAGAAATCTATCCTTCCATCGAAAGATACATCCTGTACGTATATGCACTAGTAACACCACCAGGGTTGTTTTAGATTATATAAACTGTTTCACTTTCTCATGAAGGTAAAATATTCCAACAAAAGAACTGGGTTGAAATGAAATGGAAAGAAAGCCTCCCCTACTCATCTCCTCCACCTTAGCATCTGATCCCACATTGTTTGAGTACTGGACCTGTCTTCTTGGGCAAGAAAACATCAATTCTCACCCAAATCATAGAGAAAATTAATGCTAGAAATATTGACCAGAGCACTACTATGGTAGGGGTTCTATTTTTCCTTCCCATTAGACCTTTGAGGAAAGGATATAAGTGCACAATGACCCAGAAGGAAAAGAAAAGCTTCCCAAATAAAGGGCCCCATGAGTCATAGCCATTGTTAATGGCGTCAGAGATTCCAGCCACAATTCCCACCATATTCAAAATCACAAGACTTGTTGGTGGGATGAGAAGAGCTGTCCACTTGAAGAGATAGAGCTGTCCAAATGCAGTTTCTTCTGCTGATTTTGCTCTCACAGTGAAGTTGGTGTCCACTCCAGCAACTTTAAGGAGACCATGAAATACAGCAAAAAAGTGTGCAGAAACACCCCCAATGACCCAGAATTGCTCATTGCGCCACCAGTCCTGAATGCTAACCCCACTCCAACGAATCTCTAGCACACATGTTAAGATGGTGAAGATAAATAGAGCCATTAACCAAATGCTAGCAAGGTTTGTCAGCTGCACAGAAGAGAAATTTGGTTAAAAGATATGAATCTAACATCAATGACAATATAGCTGTTTTACCATCTTTTAACATGAATTAAAGCTTATCAAACTGAATTATTCTAGTAATCACAAGAAATTGCCATTGGTTTTAGGTCAAAAGTCCTTAGGCTTATCTTTTGAGAATGGAGCCTGACTGCAGTTATCATTTTGTGCACTGTATTATTATTAAATGAAGCAGCTAAAGTCATATTATATTCAAGTTAATCAAATTTAATGACTTTATATTATTATACACATACAGTGGGGATGATGAACTTCCCAGTCAGAAGACAGATAGCTGGCACTGTACAGTATATTAGCAGAGGGATGGAAGTGAATGGATAAACGATGGCATTAGTGTAAGCCAGCCTCTGTAGCCATTTCAGTTTTCCTCTATAGCCATACCACAAAGGGCAATAGCCACTAAAGAAAATCTCAGTGGAACCCAAAGCCCATTTCAAAACTTGGTGTAATCTGTCTGATAGATTTATAGGAGCAGATCCTTTAAAAGCTGCTCTCTTTGGCATGCAGTACACTGATTTCCATCCTCTACAATGCATGTTAAACCCAGTTAAGATGTCTTCTGTGACTGAGCCATAAAGCCACCCAATCTACAGAGAAAATCATCAAATTATAGTAACTGCTTTGATATGGGAAGTAAATGTCTAAAATAAAAACAAAATACATTCTTGTTGTTTGTCTTTTCCATTTTAAGGAATTTTATGTATAAAAATTAGTAGCTTGTTCTAGAACTGGATTACCTCTTTGCCCCATTCAGTTTTCTCTTCATAGCCACAGCTTATGACATGAATGGCTTCCTTGATCAGTAATTGTGAATTGGTGCCTTTTGGAAGTCCACCATCTTCCATCATAGCAGAAGTAATGAAAACTGGTGATTGTCCAAATCGTTTTTCTAAATTTTTTGGGGACATGAAGGGTGGTTCCTCTTGCTCATCAAAGAAGTCTTCAAGCTCTTCATCAGTCTCTTCACCCTCAAAAATGGACTGAGAATCATCAGAACAACAGCAGCAACTCCTCATCGTTGGCTTTTTCTCAGATAGTGGCTCATAGCCATATAAAGCCTGCCTGTTGAACACACATCCAGTGCCAACATACACTGGACCTTGAATTCCATCAAGGCATTTCATGTTGATCTACGATATAAAATTATAAACAAAGAAAAATCGGTTTATGATCGAAATTGCAATTTGTAGTGGAGTCTAAGTTTGAAGAACATTACTTACATCAAAGAATACAGTATTGTGATTAGCATATCTGTCATTGCAATCAATGCCATCAAACCTTCGCGGAAATTGGACATAACATAACTTCTTTCCAAGTTGAGGGTCCATTAAAAAGCACATAGCCTCCCTGAGAGCCTTGCTATTATTTATGTATTGATCACAATCCAGATTCAACACAAAAGGTGCATTACTAAGCACAGCTGAAACTCGAACCTTTTGAGGAATACAACATTGCAAGAGTTATAAACAGATTCTCTAATATACTTTTCTTATAACTAGATGGAATTAAACTGTATACTTGATGTTTAAGTTACCTACCACAGCGTTCATGGCGCCAGCTTTCATGTGGTGTTGATAGCCAGGACGTTTTTCCCGCGAAACATACACAAGTCTTGGCAGTTCCTTGCCTTCATTGTCCAGTGTACCAGCACTTCCCAGACACACCTGCAAAGGTAAATCGATTTATATTTTACTTCTTGGGTTATTGATATAATCCAAAGTAATGAAGAAAGGTATCAATTTTTTGAACTGAAATTTTCACCATAGTTCTCTTTACATCCAAGAGAACATCAAACAAGAAATGATAACCGGAGAATGCAAAAGCCTAACCTGAATCATTCCTGGGTGATCATCAGTGTTGTTCCCTGGCCATGGAGTACCATCTTGTATCATCCACCCTTCTTCTGGTTTTTTCTGAGCCTTTGCAACCAACACATTGATTTTCACCTTGAATTCTTCATACTCTCTCTACAAAAAGGCAAAGGAAAATGCCTCAAGTCTCACATGGATAACAGAAAAATATAAAAACTAAAATAATATAAAAATAAAATAAAATAAAATTCCGTAGCTTATCTATGTAGTCCTCACCTTCATGGCCCTGCGATCCTTAACAAATGTGGGGTGCACCTTATCTTTCAAGTAATCAACTTTCTGAGAGAAATAAAACTCGGGTGCCCTTGGCTCAATATTATACTTGTTACAAAAAGGAACCCATATTCTTGCAAACTCAGCAGTTTCTGACAAGGTATCAAAGAGAAGCATAGATGCACTGTCATCAGAGACATAGCAACTAACCTTCTCAACAGGATAATCAACAGACAACACTGATAGAACCGTGTTTGCTGTTATAATAGGTGGTTCCTTCAAAGGGTCTGCAGTGGTCACAAAAACATCAACTGAGGCTAAAAGGTTTGGTTCCCCTTCATGCTCAAACCTTATAGACAAACGGTCCAAGTAAGTTTCACGAGTAATAGGGAACCACTTGGGGAGTTGGTCAACTATCCAAGACAAAGCAAGCCAAATTTCACACACTACAGAGATTATCCACAAGACCAATGCATCATGCACTGGTGTTGTGATCCTCAAGTGAAAGAAGAAAACTAGGATAACCAAACGCATCACTATCACTATGCGATATGGGTTGATCAGGCTTGAAGCTATTGGAACTTTGCGCCACAATGGTTGCCTTGCCTCAGCCAAACTACAAGGTGCCAAAAAGAGAGGTGAAAAGAAGAACATAAGTTGGTTTCATATATACATAGAATATTATGATGACTTTTTCAATTGTATTTGAGAGAAAAAAGCTCACAGGTAGTCATCTTCTTGTTCATTGCTCATTAGAGCTTTCTTTTCTTTCCTTTGTTTCCGTTTCTCTACATTGCTGTAGAATGCTTTCTTCCCTTCAAAGTCCTCATTAGCAACTACATAACAACACCAACTCAGAAAAGTGTGTAATGTGTACAACCATAAATTAACACAAGATCTGAAAAAGGAAAACCATTGTGGTGGAATGGAACATAATTAACAACTTAGCCTTATAATTTGACTTTATTTCCAAAATTTAATTAATAGGAGAAAGATGTTTATTGTTTACCATTACGTTGCCACTGGTGTTGATTGTAATCTTCATTTTCCTGTAAAAGTCACTTAGTACTTGTATTATAATGTTAAGTAACAGAAAAATGATATTGAAGAAGCAAAAAGAGTAAGGTGTGAGGGGAATAAACAAAGTGAATACCTCATCCGAGAAATGGAATTCATTTCGGGAGTGAGAACCAGTGGCTAAGGGTGCAGTCATGGTGTTCGAGGCCTTAGCAACTAGCAAGCATGAAAAGAAGGGTTGTGGAGGGAGAAGGAGGAGAAGGGTATTATTATAAGAAATGGTGGGTTAAGAGTGATCATAAAGAAAGGAATAGGATAATCATGTACGTGAGTGTAACCATCAAATCAAACAGTGAGAGTTGGGAAGTCGTGGATTTGAGTTGAGAAGTACTTCATTTGCTGGATCATCACTTGCTTACTGTGTTTTGCTAGATTTGCATATGCATGCATGTCTATCTAGCCAGTGCCTACTAGGTAACCTAGTGTCCATTCAGTTTGAAGTAGAATTTATTTTGATGAAATTGATTTTCAACTGTTGAATGAAATTCAAATACGTGTATAAATGAACCATACATTTTTATTAAGATCTGTGTTTTTCATTAGAAAGTACGAGAGTTAATTTTATAATTTTAAAATAAACAAGCCTTTAATTTTTGTAAAAATTGTACTTTCTTGTTCTTGAGAAAAAATAGTTCATATTTCATAGACATCTCTTTAAGTGTATACAACCAGAGAGAGATAAGAAGAGAAGAAAGAAATATATATGTAAAAATTAATTTGATGCAATAAAAAAAGAGATAAAAAAGATTAAAAATGTTATATAGTATTCACACTATTAAATGCTTGTACATTATAATTAGTTCTAGAGAAATTGTTCAATCAATGATTAAGAAATAAGAGATTTTATTGTTGTTTATAATTTATATCTATTTAGTTATAAGCAATATTAAAAATATAATTAAATTATAAGATAATAAAAACGAGCATGGTTGAGGTAATCCACAAGGTAGCAAAAAACTATTTTGAAATGTATATCACTTCAACTGTAGCAAGAAAAATAATTTGCTCCTGTAAACACCTAAAAATTTCTCCTATTTTTAAATACAGAAGCAGGTGCATGAGTCTCCCTTTCTCTCTCTCTCTTGCATTGTCTATCATTCACAACATAATTATTCTAAAAACGAAACACAAACTTAATATCTTACATGATGATGAAATTTTGGAGTACACCACTTGTAACTTGGTTAGGGTAACACACTGAGTAAAGGTTTTTTGTGACCCCAAAGTTGTCTTTTTACATTGCAGCCAGAGACAGTTATGTTGATCTCAAGAGTACTAGATTTTTTGTGAAGTAGAAAGCTGATGTATATATTTCTACATTATTCCCTACTTTTGTATTGGCTTACTTATTTCTTGATGGAAACATTACTCTCCACTGTCTTATGCAATGGATCTGTAATATAAAGGGATAAGCATGCTTTTGTTACCAATTCTTTGCATTTGCTCAGGTTGTATAAAATTGCAGGCTTATGAATGTCAATTTTTAGTTGGCACATTGTAGTTTTGGCATCTTTATTCTTAACTTTCTATCTATGGGTTGTTAAGACAACAAAGAAAGGTGAACAAATCAAATTAATAACTTGCCTCACTTTCCAAAGAAAATTCCGTTCACTTTGTAAATTTTCTTTCAACTTTTGCACTGATAAAATTGTTAAGAGAAATTGTATTGGTATACAAAACTTATATAATAAAGAGAAAGGATAAAAATATACATGAGATAAGATAATTGATGCAATAAAAAAATAAATTGTAAAATATATTTTATGAATTTGTTGTATGAGCAAGCAATCTTTTGTTATGATTTTGCTTTTTCTTTCATTAGAAAAAAACCCTAATAACTTGTGAAATATTTTAGATAGTATCGTTACGGTTTCAACTGTCCAACTCTCAAATGTTTCAGATTTTTAATAAATGGGTATCTTATATTAAAATAATAAATATATATAATCTTTTGCTGTGTAATCCATGGGGATAGAAGACTATGTAAGGGGTATGATACAGTTCCCTTTATTGATATATACCAAAGAAGGTTTGAGTGAATCAGAAATGCTGTTCACTAAATCAGGAATTGGACTATGTACCAGAAAAAAAAAAAAAAGGAATTAGATTCACTTTATTTGGTGATGTATACATGAATTTTAGTTAATAAAAAATATAATAAAAATGATATATTAAAAAATAAGTTGTTAATATTTTGCTTTGAAAATTATACATACAATCATCGTCGAGAAGTTACTAATGTATGCAATAGTTGTTTTTTTATTTATTTAAATCATTCATAAAAACAAATTCCTTACTAGAGTACTATTTTTATTTATTTATTTATACCGAAAAAGAGTACTGTTTTTATTTTATAAAATATTAAAATTTTAACATAATTTTAGTCCTTCAAATGCTTTTTTTTTTCAAATATTAAAAAAATTAATGTTTACACTTTTTCTTTTTAATTTTGATATTTATTTATGTATTGTTGTTACATTGGAAATTTCAATTGTGAATTGATACTTCAAACATATGTTGCTTCTAAGTTTTGTTTTTGAAGGATGAATCTGATATTACTAAACTGACACGGGAATTGTAAAAAAAACATTACACTTTCAATCGATCAAAATCCATCTCTTTAAAAATCATACGCACATCATCATCAAGACTCATAATATCCATTGCTTTTAAATCAATCATATCAATTATTTGCATTAAACTAGTGTATTAAATGAAACTACGTGCTTATTAATTCATGTTTTATATTATTAAAATTACAGATTTTTGAACAAATATCCCTCATTTTATTCAAGATATGGTTGGTCACAAAATACAAATCAGTAAAATTTGAATCATAATTTACCTTTTGTTAAAAAATTAAAAATATTTCAAAAATAAAGAACTGTGATTCACCACTTCGGTTCGAATAGAGTTAATCAAAACTTAAGAAAAATACTAAAATTACAATATTAAAATATTGTGATTGGAAAATAAAAATATTTATAATTTAATATTATAGTATTATCATTAAATAATTAATAATGATAAATTTAAAATATAAAATGAGAGTATGAGACTACTTCACGTGAGAATCTTATTCTTAAAATATATGATTAGGGGCAGAGCCAAAAATTCTATGTAAGAGGTGCATGTACATACGAGTGAGGAATAAAATTATTTTGTTTAATAATTTTATAAATATTAAGTTTTATTATTTAATGAATAAATAAGGTTATATATTTATGTTAATTAAATATATAAAAATTTAAAAATTTTAAATGATTATAAATATATGATTTTATAATTATTTATTTATATTTTAAAATTATATATTAAACATTAACATATTATTATTTGATAAATTGTTAATTATTTTTTTATAATTTTTTATAGACTTACTTTATTTAAGAAAATTTTTTAATTAATAATTAAATTGATAAAATTCAATTTTTATAAAAAATTATTAAGTGAAATATTTTTTATTAGAATTATTTTTGGAATAATTTGATTTTCGTGTATTTTTTTAACGTGTGTATATATTTTTGTATGTATGTAATTTATAAGCAATTTTTAAATTAATATGTATATAATATATGCAATAAACTTGACATTATTTTTTTATTTGTATTTATTTGAGATTTAGTTTTTGTAAAAAAAAAAAAAGAAGATGAAAATTAATTTAATAATAATCATTATTTAAAAAATTTTAAGATGAAAAGAGAGATATTTTATAAACTATATAAAATCCTCCTAAATATAAATTTTTAACTCTTTTTAATTTAAAAAATATTTTATTAACCAATCTTCCTCTTCTTTTCTTTTCTTTTTCTCCTTTTTTACCTTTAAAATTCTTTACTTTTTTCTCTTACTAAACCTTTAAATAAATTCTAAATATACATGATAAAAAATTATAAGATATAATATATTTATAATATTAAATATTATAATGTTTATATAAACTTACTATATATATATATTAGTTATGTGCCCTAAAGCATATATAAATAAAATTAATTTATATACTTAACTTTTTAAAAAGTTAGACACTAAACCTTTTATAAAAATAAAATGCATAAGATATAATAATTTTTAAAATCCACATATCAAATCTAAATAAAAAGTACCATAATTTCATTTTACATGACAATATAATTTTTTTTTGGAGATTACAGTGACTAAAATAGGTCATCCCACTACCTTCCCGAGTGATATGATTGATAGAGTTAGCTTATCTACTTTTCTATCACATCAACAGCGTTAGTGTTATCATACATTTTGAGACAAATATAAAATATCTAAAATTCTCTTTATATAAAAAAATATTTTTATAAATATTTTAAAAATAATTATATACAATCTAACAATCCCTCCAAACTTAATTTTAATTGAGTTTGTTCGAATCAATTTAATAATAATAATAATAATAATAATTACTGTTAAACTTAATCTAATATGAATTTAAGTGATTGGCACAAATAATTCTCCCGTGCTTTCCCCAAAATCTGACCACTTCAGGCTATATTTGGGCTTAACCATTTACAATCTTATTTATCTAATAAAATAAAATTCAGTTATTATTGTTGTTACAACTTTTAACATAATTAATAGTTAATTTTAAATGTTTTATTATTAATTATAGTTCATTTAGAAGATAAATTTAAATTTTAAAAATCGCTTCTATTTCTTTTTCAATCTTATCTAAAATTTTTATGTCATCTTTTTAAGGTTATAAACTTAATAACAAAAGGTCAAA